GAAATGAAAAGGAAAATGTAGGCGAAGCTATGTTTGATACGTTTTCTTCATATACCGGGGAGGAAAGGTTCAAATTGGTAAAATAATAATAGTAATCCATTTTTTTAAATTTTATTTAATTTATAATTTTATTTTTAACGCAATAGGCTTAATTCTCATAAGCTGGGATTTTACAACCAGCCCTAAAAGTGTTTCAGAAATCTGTCACTAGAGGGGACTTTACCTGGAACATTGTTGTTATTTTTCATTTCTTTTTTTTTATTTTGTGTACTGGAAATTTGAGCTGTTATGTATGACTGTGTCCATGTGTGAAGGTTTATGGTAAATGGAAAAATCTAATGTGCTTTGGGTTTTCGTAATAGTTAAATCTAAAAAAATAATGGAACATTTTTTTTTACTTTCCCTGTATTTTATTTATTTCGACCGATATTGCAAAATAGAACAGATTGTCTTAAGCAGAATCACAAATCTTCAAAAACTGTTGCTCTTGTTACTTTCGAAAAATCGATGAAATCGAATTTTCCGAAAGTATACGCGCTTGGCAACGACCCTTATGTCTCGGCAACGGTAGGTCCTAGGGGACCGCCATTGGTACAGAAATGATCAGCGTAAAAAAAAACTTTTTTTTGTTATCCGTTCTCCGTTATCCGTTCTCCGTTTCTCTGTAGACCTGGCATTAATTGGCTATATCTTTTGAACTCTTTGCAACATGGCCTACAAATTTGGCTCCTTTTACGCCGTGCACGAGCTACACAAACCAGTAAAAAATGATCAGACTCAAACCAAGGCGTCCATCTTTTTTTTTAGATTTTCGACTGTTTTTTGGACATTGCTATGAAAGAAGATAAGTGTCCGAAATTTGAAGCCATCTACTTGAAATTTGACAGATATATAGAGCTTAGATATATAGAGCGAAGCCTATTGAAACTGCGGGGGCTGGAGGGTCGGGAAGTATTTTTGAAAAATTAAAAACCGCACTTGCAGGGTATCGAGAAAAAAATCATTTCTCGAAGATGGTATATGCGATCAAAAAAATTCTTTAGCCAAACGGCGCGCAAGATCCGGGCCAAAAACGTTTATTCTTGATGATTTTTTTAAAATGCAGGGTGCGTCGGTAATTTGCAAAAAACTGAAAGCTGTGATTCCGTTGTCAGTTTTTTTATATTTCTATATAGCCAGTATGGATAGGCAAAACTTTTGTATTTAAGGTTTTCGCATATTGTACAGGGTGTTCGGAATATTCTGTGCTATATTCTAAAACGTCACAGGTGTCTCAAATATGTAGCTATCGACTTCAAATTTGGCAAGGAAGTAAAAGTCCGTACGCACATCTAAGCACATCTGAGCGTAGTGAAATGTCACCAAATTTATTTTTTAAAAATTCGAAAAATTTGCTTTGATTATTATGTTTTTCAGAAAAACATGATTTACTCAAAAACTATTGAACCGATCGGCAAAATTTTAGAGCCAGAAAATGTGGGAGTTCCGAAGCTATGACTTTTATTTTAGGCATTTTTTCGATTATATACATATTATATATTATATATCTAAAAATTCATAAAAAGTATCTCTAATCGGACAAAACTCTGTTATATGCCGTATCAAGAGCTACAATTCTTGTATTTCATCACCATTTTTCAGAAAACAAGTATTTTCTTTAAACCCACTTACACATAAATAAATTTTAATTTTTAACAAAGTTTGCCGTAACTTTGAAGTTCGGCGAGACTTGAAAGAGACTTTATACAGGGTGTATGCACAATAAAATTATATCGATTTTGCGAAAGTGCATAGTGGTCCGCAGGAGCACGATAGAAAAAAAATGCGTTCCTCTAATACAAGAAACCGCGAAGCGGCTTATTTTGGAAATAAAAAGCTGATTTGCGCTACTTGCGACGTACTTGCACCGCCCAGCGACGATTTTTCGAAAGCATTCTTGTTATAAGTCGATAATTGTTAAAGTTTAACCACAAATCGACTTTTACCTGGAAATGTGATTTTACCTAACAGGACTTAATGAAATTTGAAAAAGTCATTGTCACGATCCATTAAAAATTAGTTTCTATTAAGCTTATTATCCAACTTCTACTGCGATGGCCCGTCAGGATCATTCGAACCTATTAATATGAATAAAGGGAGACCAAGGTATAAAAGAGAAGAATGAATACTTCAACGAATACGAGAAAACTTGCTGCTCAGGAAAGAATTTCATGTTCAAAGGTTTCAAGCACTGTATGAGGGCGACGAGCAATTGAGAGTAATTTTATGCAATCAAATTTTAGGAAAACTTCAAAATTACCTGCAAGTCTTAACTGTCATTATGTTCACTGACGCGGCCTGTGAAATAATTAGAAATAGTTTAGGCGTATTTTTTCGTGTTCGACAGAGTTTTTTTTAACGTATAAGAAAATGTTTAGAAATGAAAGGTTCATTTACATTTAAAATTCAAGCTCAGATTAAAAAATCGATTTGTGGCTAAACGATAACACTCATCGACTTAAAACAAGAGTAACGATTTTTGAGGATTTATAACTCTGCTTAACACAAAACGAAACTTTCTCTTTGGTTCTTTACTCTAAACGCCTAAACAGAACCAATAATGACGTAACGGCACTAATGGTAAAACGGAAATGATTTTAAAATTTCGAAGGTGTCAACAATACATCAAGCAGTACTAGGCCTATGGATCTCAAAGTTTTATTAATAACTAACTAAATATGCAAGAACGGTTATCAGTAATAATACGCATCCGAAAAATAGCGACAGAGAGTGTTGCAATTCTAAATTTGAAACGCCCACAAACGATACGGTCACCTAGTGGAAGATAATCTCGTTCGTGTACGATTCGGTATAAAAATAGCACCGAAATTATACACAAACGCGTACGTTTCGGTGGAAATTTGTTTTCCCAAATGCCGAAAACGTTTATTTTCTTCGCAAGCCGCTTTCGCCGGATCAGCGCTTCGATATACTCCCGAGTTTACTATCTGTGGAGATGATTAAATCGCCAAATTTTCTTCGTCGAGTTTTGCTAACAAGACCTGGTCGTCACCGTTGTTTAAGACGACGAAATTCGTCCGTTTTTCAACATTCGGCATAGATAAAAGACACAATTTTCGTTTTGGAAAATTTGAAAAACATTTAATTATCGTTATGAAAAAAAACTACCAACCAACATTATACGAGAAAAGTAGATAACCAGGTAATCTGGTCGATAATTATATAGTTATAACTTCTGACTGCTCTGCATATATATTGAATTTACTGAGCAAAGAGGTTAAAGAACATTTCAGTCCAAATTGTCAAATGCCAGAGCGAAATTTAGTCAGACAGAGAGCAACGTTGTCTTTCCAGTTGATGTGCGATGGAATGGCGTTGCTGATTGTTTAAAGATATACGTCACTCAATGGGATATATTTTTAAAAATCTGTGAAGAAAACAAAAACCAAATCGATTCGAACATTTACCAAAAGAATATTTAAGAATTTCAGTTTCTCTTGATATTTTGCAAAGGAAAAACGCTACTACCACAGATACTGTAGGGCAGCGGAAACATTTATAACAAATCTTCGAGAATTTTGCATAGTTACCTTTATTAAAAATAAAAAAAATCAATATCGATATAAAAGGTAAAAAAGTATTAGGTATTCAAAAGAAAAACCTGTTTTGTATTCAGTTCTGTCTGGGTTGACAGCAGATTTTTTTATTTAGAAAAAAGTTCATTTACGAATATCTCGATATTACTGACTTGACTTAAAAGACTTAAAAGAAATGGTTCTGGCTTTATTTGAAGTAAAAGTAATATTCATACGTTTTCATATCATCAAAAATTTGAAAATTGTATGCATTTAAATGCGCATATGTTTTGGTTTTCTAATATCCTACCTTCAATGTCACGAATAGAATCTAAAAAAACTGCTTATTCCGCAAAAAATCCGCAAGAGAGTGTAAGAAAACTACAATACTCCTTACAGCCTTGAAAAGCCTAATCAAAAACCTCGATTTCAATCCAATTGAGCACCTACGGGATATATTAGGAAAAACAATTCTCTGCCATGAGATAACCAGTAAACGTAAATTGTGAGAAGCTTTATTAGAAGAATGTACAAAAAAATTGGAGAAGAAATAACACGCAAATTAATGCCAAAATGTCTGGAAGCTGTCATAAATTTAAATGACACGAAGAAAAATAAAACGAAATATTAATCGGTTTTATTCGCGGTTCAAAATTTTTATATTTTGCTTTATAATTTGGTATTAAACAAGTATACTGAACTTTTGTTATTGTATATTTCCTCGACTTTGCTTACGTTTTATTTTAACCGCAGTCCCCTTATTTACGCGCCGCATATTATATGGAACAAGGTTTTTTTATGCAACGTCTTTGGCGTAGTATATAAATATATTGTTGCTAGTATAAAAACCACCTGCCTCGTACAAACGATATACATGTTGAATGTCCGATGAGATAGAACTAAGTAAATTCAAGTAACTCTCAGGTATATTTAGCGGTCTTTTTGGCCGTATTCCAAGTTATTTCGAATTTAACAGGATCCGAATTTATTGTAGGTGCAGCAAGATTTCTCGCCCTTTCGTTACGCATTCCGCGCGGTAAATCTCGTTTCGCGATTGTAAATAACAGTTCGACCGGTTATTGTCCCTAAATATAGTCGCGAACCGAAAATCAACACTGTAAACAAACCCGACGTTTTTTGTTTCGCGTCTTCATATAGTGGTTATAATAAAAAGACCAACCGCAGACTATAGATTATATATATATATATATATATATATATATATATATATATATATATATATATATATATATATATATATATATATATATATATATACGTCCCTGTGTGTAATTTCATTTTCGAACGCACCTGCAACACTTTTCAATGTGACGCAGCACCCCTCATTACATCTAAGAAGATAAATTGACACTTTCTTGTGCCCGTTTGGTTTAATGAGTATGAAATAACACGAATTTCACTTACCTTTTCACTCGTTTGTAATTCGCTATAAGAGTTCTTGTCACTACATAAATTTCGAAACGGAGAACCGCACCCCAACGCGTAAACTCGCGGACTGAAAAAATGTTCAGAAATTTAATACGGATTCGCAGAGCTAAGAATAACCAACGCATGCGCATAACATGACGATATTGTTTACATTTTTATTATTTAATTAATAATAGTTGCCTTGTCGTTAACTTCCATGGGATGGCTGCAACTGACGAAAAATGCTTAATATTACGGATTGCAAACATGATTTCGTGTTTTAATAGTCTCGCGTTGGTCCGTGAAAGTACGGTCCTTCACGTGGTCTGTGGTGAAAGGAGGAATATTGAAAGAAACTACATTGTTATTGAATATTCCCTTTTTGCGTTTTTAAAATTTCCTGTGATTTCAAAATGACATAATTATATAAAAATAATAGATCAAATATCAATTGCGCCGTCGATCTAGAAATGTAACCGGTACCTTAGCCGCAGCGAAATATTTATGCTCTGAACACTGTCATGGAATAAACTTTTGACAGCGGTTTGACTTGGGTGACACATTTGCCAAAATATGTCAGAAAATTTGCAAAAACGGCCCGTGAAGGGTATTTTAAAAAATTCCAGTAGTTTCGATAAGCAGGACTCGCAGCCTTCGGCGAAGTGAGTACTATTTAGGTCGCCGATTTTAATTCGGTGGTTGTTTTTGACCTCAGATTGAATTCCAGGAAATCGAAGGAGACGAAATGGGACGAGATGAACATAATAGCGACGCTGCATCCGCCCGGGAAGGACTACGGCCACATGAAAATCGATGAACCGAAAACCCCATATAGTTACGACGTTGATATGGACAATATCGACGGCCTAGACGCCAAAGATCTTGCGGAGAAGTAAGATAATGGCCATGATTAAAGCCCTTATACAAGTCACGTTTAATTTAAGGATCCGAATAGGTGCAGATCGGCCTCCCAAAGTTTTGGAACCGTCATTTGAAAGTTCGGAAGACGAAGAGGAGGAAGAATTGACGGAAGAGGAGAAACAACGGAGGAGGGAATTCGAATTGAAAAGAAAAAAACACTATAATGAGTTTCATGCGCTGCAGCTGGCCAAGAAATTACTCGAAGAGGAGGAGGAAGATGAAGACAATGAGGATACGAACGAAAACGGTAGCGGGAATAGATGTTCCGGCTCTTGCATATGAATTTTAAAATGTAGGTGTTGCAGTTTTTGGTTTTTACAAGGGCCACATTTAAAATATTAGATTTCGACAATGACTTTGGCATTGCTGAGATGTAATATACAAGAAAACTATTTTTGATTCGTAGATTCAGAACATATTGAAAAATTGGAGTGTCGAGTTGTTTTCCATCGTATTATTTATATTTTTTCAGCGGCCCGTTAAAAAATCAAATTTTTAAGTGGGACATGTAACGCGGAAAATTAACTCGAAATTTTCCCGACAACCTGACATTTAGACTATTACTCTTTACAATGTAAACTTTGATCATGTGTTGTTTATTTATACAGTATATTTTATTTTATTGCAGTTTAAAAGGGATATGTTTTTGATTTTTATTTTCATTAGTGGTATATTTGCTTTGTTTCATCAGGATTTGTTTCACATTTAACGAGCGGCAATGGGTTGTATTTCCACGTTAATATATATATTTGGCTGTGCATTGTTGTTCGCTTATTCAGACTTTATAAATATTTGTTGTTTCCAACTATCGTGAGGCAGCACTTTTGCTTAGCTTTTTTTCGTTTCTGTTGACTTAGATTACCTAGAAAACGTGTAAGTCGGTGAGAATTTGGAAAATTTTGATGTGCCAATGAATATTTTGTTAACTGATATAGATATAGGCAGGCACAACAAATATCAAAAAACATGATATAGGTAGGTATGTCGGTGTTTTAAACTGTAAAACTTAAACTGCTTCGAGATAAATTTAGGTTAATATTTGTTAAATGGAACTGTTTCCTAAAAGAGATAACATATTTATTTTAATTTGCTAGAGTAAGTTCATATAAGTACAATAATGAATTTAGAGAGCGGATAACATTATATTTAAAACGAATGAAATACGTGTGCATATTGAATACAATAAATTGTTTTTCTGAATATTCGTTTTGGTTAGTCGAGTTAAACGCCAGAAGCAGCTGTTGAAATACAAGAAAATCGATTCGAGTGGTTTAAAACAGAAGAAATTACTTGCTTTGCTTTGATCTTTAATTTATTTATTTATTTTTTTCTAATAGTCCAATGAATACCTTTATATTTCATTGTTTAGGATTTCCATTTAAAGAACTTTTTTTTTTGTAATGATAAACACTTAGATACAATCAAAAATCTATTAAAGCCTTGGTTGAAATACGACAAAATCAATTGTTTGATTACAAACTTTTAAAATAATCGTGTTACTTTAGTAAAATTCGATTGATTTAAAACAGAAGAGATTATATTGCTTTGCACAAATAGTGATTTACTTTTCTAATAGTCTAATAAATACTTTGATATTTCATTGATACAATAAAAAAGTACTTAAAGCATTAGTGGAAATACAAAAAAATCAATTGTTTGATTTGCCTTGATGTTTTATTTATTTATCGCACCAGTTACACAAATACTGATTTACTTAAGCCCAACAAACGACAAAATCAATTGTTTGATTACAAACTTTTAAAATAACCGTGTTTCTTTAGTAAAATTCGATTGATTTAAAACAGAAGAAATTATATTGTTTTACTTTGACATTTTATTTATTTATTAATTTATTGCACCAGTAGCACAAATACAAGTTCGCAAGTCGAGACAATTTGTAATTTTAAGTGTTATCAAGCAATAAGCAACATGAGCTTTTAGTGCATTTTTGAGAGATTCATCCAACAAAAAATATATCAAAATCGAACCATAAACAAACAAGCCTACTAATTTCGGAACACATTCTTCGGGCATCGGCAAAAATTGCCGAATTGAATACGCGTCAACCATTTACAAGTGTGCAACTAAATCCATTCCAGATTAAATCACTGTCGATGCCGATAATACAGGTATCTATGAAGCAACTACGAAAAAAAATATTGAAAATCCGATTTAACATCTCGGCGGCATTGGACAACCGACATGGCCGCTGACAGATCGTCAATATGAAATATTTTAGGTTAGCGCTTGCGGCGTACCAATTTTTACCTCTGCATTATCTAATAGTTATATACTAATATATACTGCTGCAGAATATTGATGGCGCGATGGAAATGGTTAAATGTTGTCCTGCTATAGTTACAATAAAAAAAAGAAGAATTAGTTCTGACAGGCAGAGACAATAAAATATGTTTCGTATCGCGTTGTATTATTAAGGTCGTTAAAACGTTGAGGCATCACTTCGCCCTCTTGCGTTCCGTTGAATGCAAATCGAAGCATCGGAGTCTCAAAATGACGTCATCGATTGCTTAAACTTGATTTGACGTGCTTGGCGATGGCGCGCGAGTTGACCCGACTTGACCCGTTTCGAAATGGGGATTCCTCGACTACCTGTTCCTTTTTGTTCTTCTTTGAGGCAGCAATGGAATTACCTTGAATGGCCAAATAAAAATATACCCGATCCGGTTTAGCACTAGTTGACAGTCGTTTATTTTGTAAATAATGTCGGTTTTTGGGCTGTGCACGCACTGCTTTCCGTTTTAAAGGTGGTTTGGCCGGCGGCCGTTCGAAGAATCACAATTTTAAGAAACCGCAAGATACCGCCAGGTAATTTGTTTATAAATAGTTTCGTAATTGTCTATCGACGTCCACGAAAATTTCGAACATTAGCATATTCGACGTGGTGATTTTGCATCGTATATTTCTTTCGGAGATGATTTAGTTTCGGTGTGTGTGGTGGTCGCATTTGGACAAAATTTTGAGCTACGTAACGGATAACGATGATTTTCTATTCGGAGTTTGTGTACTCGGTATATTAAAAATAGTTTAGGGTGGTACCTACGCGTGTCCGATATATCAATGGAGGTATCCGCATAATATACAGGGTGAGTTGGTATGGCTGCTATGGCAAAGTAACAATTCTTTATAGTTTCGACTGAAATAATCAGATTGGCGTTTTAACGAAACAAAATATATAAATACATAATTGTAATTATTTCAATAATAATATAAATATAAATAGACATGAAAATTATAAACGCTTACGTAATTTTGTTTTGTCGGATCTCAGAAGGGGAAAACAGAACTATATTAATAGGGTTTCGTCAAAAAATAATTCTGAAAAGCTTTGGCGGACATTTGCAACTGCAATGCTTTAGATTAGAAGATGAACGCTTCTTATTCTGTTAGATTACTTGGAAATCACTCATTTCTGATATCTAAAATAAAATATAATATTGGGGGTCCCCAATCGCCACTCTTTCTTGTTTATAAGTCGAATATTTTTAAAAAAACTTCTGAATTCCTTTTGCGTCGGTTTTTGCTGAGTCGACCTTGCTGACGTTTCGTCAATCATCTTGTTGACTTCTTCAGAGTTTGACCGAAACTGTTTTTTGCAAAAAAGTATTACAGTAGCCTGTGGAAGTTGTCACTGTGATATTGTAAATACAGACATTTTGGAAGCCTATTAGATTTATTAATGAGGACTTACAAATACCAAGTGATCTTTCAAAAAAAAAAAACACCCACAACTGCGAAAACTCATTTTATGATTTTTGAGAGCAATACTAAAGTGGATTTTCTTAAAAGCAGTGTGGAAATCTCCATAGGCAAAACTAGAGTCCAAAATTTTTATTTTATCATTTTCAGTTATCCCTTTTTTATTTCCGTTAAGGTTTCCCTATAACTATAGATGAAAATTTCTCCGTAATATTGGTTTTTATTAATCATTTACAAAAATACCTTAATCCATCGCTACGCGGAGAATATAAAATTTACATTTCAAATTTAAATAATCGATTTGATTCGCTGTTCTTTTAAAAATACGATAAGATAATAAATTTGGGTACTTTTGGTTTTTATTTGGTTTTTTATTGGTATTAAAAAATTTGAGTTAGTATGATTTATGAACAACTAATTACCTTTGTATTTTTTCGGTCCATATCTGTACTTGATTTCCATGGGAACATTACAGACAACTCCACAATTTAACAGACTTCGGTCCAAAGAGAACAAACACTGTATCTGGGGTGCCGCAGGGCTCATTATTGGGACCCTTATTATTTTTGATTTATACGGCGGATCTGGATGGTAAAAGAAAGTAAATTGGTTCACAATAAAAATTGTTTTCAAGCACATATCAATTCATCGCCTGAATATGACACGCTGAGCCGTTACATAGAACTGAAAAATTTCGATGTTCTTTTACATATAATGCTGTAATTTTGTTTCACTCCTTAGATCATGTTCTTAAATCAAAGTTTCTTGGTCCATGCAAAACTTTTACCTTTGATTTAAAAAGGCAAATCAAGTATAAATTTATAAGTTGATATGAAGTTTAAAGTACATGCATTATTATTATGGTTTTATGCTTTTACTTGAAATGCGTAGATTGTATTAAATTTACCTTATAAAAGTCCTGTTGCACAAAACTCTCCCTTTGGACGCAAGCATCTAAGAAATCAATTATGGACACTTAGGTACTTAGATACTGCTTTTTCCTCAACCTTCCGACCAGAATGAAACTGTTTTTGCTGATCGTCGCGTTTTGGATGGAAAACTTCGCGTGCCAAGAGTTAGTTTCGCCATGTCCGAGAATATTTCAATACGAGCGAAAAGCCGGCGAGAATGACAGGTGGTACGGAACTGCAACTCTGACTTCTACTTACGAACTGCTGGGCGTTTGGTTCAAAGTTTTCTTAGATAAACCCTCCATACAGTTAGGGGTAAGTTATTTACGAAATAAAAAGTTTAACATTGTTTTTATTTTGTTTAAAACTGAACCTTCCACCATTTTTAAACTATTCTCGCCGTCGATAGATATCTCAACATTTGTTTGGTTTACATAAATATTGCATTGATAACCAGTTATTGTCAAAGCCTGTTGTTTGAGTATGCATATATTTAAAACTTAAATTAATGTTAATACCAGGATGTGTAATGGGATTCCCAAAATTGAAATATTCGGATTTTGCTAGAGGATCAGACAAAAATACGGTAACTTCAAAAACAAATGTCAGACCTCTCTCGAAAACGGATTTTTTTTTGTTATAAAGAGTTTTCGTTATAAATAGTTATAGGCACTTGAAAAATAACAATAAACATTTAAGAACTACATTTAATGTTTCAAATAATCGTTTACTTTCTTTTGAATTTTTTTAGTATGCCAATACGCATCTCGTACTTTGAATTGTATTTTCACCATTTCTTCGAGAGAGGCATGTTCCCCATGATATATAAAAATTTTTTTTAGCAGCTTAACTGAATATAGGGCTTGTTGAATGGTTGGTGGTGATCCCAGATCAACTTCTTCATCTTCTTCTTCCTCTTGGTGCTCTTCCTCACCCTTTCTTGCTTGTTGTAATACGGCTTCCTCTGTCAAGTCTGCTGTTGTAGGCAAATCCTGATCTATCACCATAAAATCTTGCAAGTCCTCACTTCTAGACATAATTGTTTGAAACTGCTTTATCAACTCTCTTAGTGGCTGATCATCCTCCAAGTCTTGTTCCCATTCTGTCTAGGTAATAAGTTCTACATGACGATACACACTTTTTGCTTCGAAATTTAAGAGTTTTATCTGGCGTCATTTTGTAAAAAATACCAGTTTCGTCAGCATTAAAAACGTCGCCAGCAGGGTACTTTTCTGCTAGTTTTGGCCACGGCTTATCCAGCCAATCGTTAGTGACGTTTCTGTCGACATCACGACATAATTTATACCATGTCTCTGTTTGAACTTCCCCAACCATCCTTCCGAAGCCTTGAAATCGATAATGCCAAGCTGTTCAGCAAACTTTTCTGCTTTTTACAAAACTTCTGAAACTGATTCAGTAAAGCTCTGAAGAAGCCAACAGGATGATTGGCGAAACGTCAGCAATTTCGACTAAGCAAAAACCGACGCAGGAGGAATCCAGAAGTTTTGTAAAAAGCATTACAGTAGCATGTGGAAGTTTCTTTTGAAAAATTAAACTTTTCTGCTTTTAGTTTTACGATAGGTCCAGAGAGTGGTACATTTTTAAGACGTTGCTGAACCAGTGCAATAGTGCCTGATCCAAATCTTCAAACTTTGGCTTTCTTAATTTTTTACTAGAACTGAATGCCGCTTCAGCCTGAATGATTTTTTCTTTGCACTTCCAAATCGTGGATGCAGTCGACGGTTTAAATCCGTATTGACGACCCACATTTCTATTCTTTTCTCCCCGTGCTATTTCCCGAATTAAAGCAACTTTATCATCTAGAGATAAAATTTTTCGCTTGCTTGCCATGCTTGCCGTATTCACTAAGTCAAATTACAACTGATTGAAACAATGGTGTGCGAAAAAAAAAAATAGGACGACCAGGTTCTCGGTAATTAGATTATTAAGGTAAGGAATGGTTTCGTGGACACACTGTAAATTATCACTAGTATTTATTTGACCTCGTGTGGTGTCCGATCAGAAAATTTCGCACCAAAAATTTTTCCATTGCCAACAACGTCAATTTTTGCCTTCACCGAGTACGAGCATTCAATTCGTTCCGTGCCAGGTCCTGAACTTTCGACATTAAGAAGAAAAGAGGTGCCCAAAGAATACAGAAAACATCTTAATTTTTTTAATTGCAATGTATCAACATTAACACGTAAAAAAATAAAAAACCAGACTGTCAAAAAAATATCTTGTCATAAACTTTTATATTGTGTCGTAGAAATAACTTGCACTACTTATTCATTCACCGCGTCTCTTTATTTACTTTTTCCTTAACATCCAAGGTATTTGACAAATTCACAAAAACTTTCTTCTTCTTTTTTACGCATCCACCAAGTTGGGCAACACTGCTCGGATCATTCGCCCATTAAAACAAACGTCAAAAAATTACCGTTAAAATTTATTTGTTGCCACAAATCACCAACTGTGAACAAACACTTTTAAAAAAATGACGATAACTTTTTGTGGGTGATTCCAAGCGAGACGTTTTCAGAATTGGTTCGGTGAAGTGAGGGCGGCGGACAACAACACCGAATACTTGATCCACAACAAAAACTACAAGGTAGCACCGAATACGAATTTCACCGTCAAGTTTTACATAGTGTACGATCCTAACGAGCCGCCCCCGAAATTACTCACTTTCCGTCTCAACGCCAGAGAGCTGTGCCCGGAAAGGCCTGCGACTACGCCGGGCCCCGTCATCACTGGTCAGCTGTTCACGAACCCGACCACTTCGAATGCGATTCCGCCGCCTCCAACCACCGCCAAACCGCTCTCGATTAACCCCGCGGCACCAAATCAAAACACAGGGGTTGTTTTGTAAGTAGATGTTTGCAATTGGCACAGGTTTTGGCCAATATGGGGTGCATAGAGGTTTCATCTATTACAAACTAGATGGCACTGCATTTACGAAACAAACATTTGGTACACTTTACTCAACAATCTCCTTGAAGTATTCAACACTTTTCATTAATTAAATCAACTTTAAATAATAAACAATACAAAACAAAGTATTATTTCTAAATTACGCCGTAAATTCCACACTCATAATTTTTAACCAATCAAGACGCGTGTTTTGGCAGATCGCCATGGCAACGGATGAAATATATTGCAAATTTCTATATAAATATGCGTTGCCATGGAAATCTGTCAACAATATCAATTTTGATTGGTTAAAAACCGCTAAACTTAATTTTTCCCACCCGTTACGTTACAAAGATAATCGGCACTACGAAGTAGGTGATGTTAGATATAAGTATTGCAAAATACGCGATTAAATTGGACCGCGCGGACGGTTTTCAATGAGAAAAAAAAAATGGCGGGTCTTGATTTTAGCCAGAGGCCCGTGTTCAGACCTGAAGTGGGCGGGAATGCGGATGAAGAGTACTTCCAGTCGGACTTTAGTCAGTCCGCGCAAATAGAACAGAATGTTTTGGGCGACGCGTGCGGCACCGTCATCGTAAGTAGTTTAGTAAATTCCCAAAAGCCGTCAAAGGGTGTTTAGCTTTAGTTTAGTTAGTTTGTTGTCTAAACGTAGAATCGACGTTGAAATTTTTGAGTAACACATTCCTATATCTATCGGGATTTTTAATTTTTCCGACCAAAAAGTAGCTTCAATTAAACTTTTATTACTATGACATTGGAACACCCAGTATATTATAACAAATTCGATAAAATCTGTTCAAAATGGAAGGAAACCGGTATTCTAATGCTATTTTAATGAATACGTTTATTGCGCATAAACAGTGCATTATAGAAGAAAATTTTATGAAACTAATCCTGAATAACAACGCATGAACGACGGAAAATTTGCCAGAATTAAAAAACGCTTTAGAAACCGTTCTACAAAAAAACATTTTAAAAAAATATTAAATACTTAAAATTAAAATTGCGCACAGAAGAATGAATGGAATTTTCGCATTAGGCGTTCGAAGAGATCACCATTGCATTCACACTTTAAAATCCGTTGAAATGACTGTACGACTCTAACGTACCCCATGGGCAAAAATCTAATGGGGTGGGATCGGGCGACGTTCATGGCCACAAACGTTGAAATCAATGGTCGATAAATACCAAGAAGTTTCCCAATAATCCATTTTTCATAGAATTTCATTGAATTGGACAACCCTTATCATTGTTCTTAACCAAATTTGAGGGAAACGACACTCGCACATTATCAACAGCCACTTATTATAATTATAATTTAAAGTTATAATACACCTAGATATCTAAATTTATAAATCTGCATACTAAGCTACATTAAAAGAGACAGACGATGGCATAAAAACGAAGTTAAAGCTAGTAAAACTACACCTTAGCAGTTGTTATTATAATAACACAAAAATTAATTTTAATGTTAATTAACAATTTTTAAATTATGTTTTATTTAGCCACTTCCACAGGCGCGTTTTGATATTTCTTTTGAACACAATTCAAAATACGATTATTTTAATCAAACATTTATTAAACCAGGGTGTATTTGATGGAAGTCCATCTAATATAACTGAACGTCATAGTTTTGGTCTCTAATAGCATATGCTGATAGCTATTTATTGGTTTAGTAGCTGACCCGGCAGACTTCGTACTGCCTCAATCGGTAAATAAAAGACCTAAAGTTTTGTATAAAATAATCTTAAAACAAACAAAACAAATCCGTATTTAATATAAAACATTTTTTCTACTCCAGCCTGTAAAATACCTAATTGCACACCGATCTAGCGTGCGGGAAGCGTCACTTTACCAGGTTAGTTTCATTTCCCACGGATCCGACCCACTTCGCACATTTCCGGGAGCAATCGGATGTTTTCGGAGATTTTACCGCACGATTTGAATTTTGACGTTTGTCAATTCTGACGGTCATGTCAGTGAATGTATTCATGTCGTTTTGCAATGTACCCAAAAACTAATGGTCGTAGAAAAAGTATAGTAGTATGGTAAGTCACAAACTCGTGAGTCAAATGCCGTTAACCGCATTTGTTGCATAATATACTATTTTGAATTAGGAATGAAACAGAGTTTTCCTTTTTACAAAACTTCTGGATTCGGTTTTTGCTGAGTCGAACTTGCTGAAGTTTCGGTAATCATCCTGTTGGCTTCTTCAGAGCTTGACTGAAACTAGGCAGCTAAATGAGTGACCTAAACACCCCCTGGGATGACTGATTCCCATATGGGTTAGTTAGACCTGAGTCTGGTTCAGATTGTTAGGTTGCTTATAGATTTCTATAGGCTCTCGTATTTTTCGTCGCTCTTTCCTGTTCTTTGAGCCTAGTTGATATTTTTCATCCGGTTTGTCCAATGTATTCTTTGCCGCATATGCATGGAATGCTGTAAACTTCCGAAGATGTTGAGAGATTTTTGGACAAGTGATAAATCTGGTTTTGACGTTATATTTCTTAAGAACTTTTGATATGTGATCAATGATCTTTTGAATGTACGGAAGGGCAACAGTGACAAGTGTGGGATTGCTTCCGGTGTCATTGCTATTGGAAGGTTGTGGTTAAGTGTATTTTGTGATGGAATGCCTAATATCTTTAATGTGGAAATTATTAGACATAAGAATAGAGGTAAGATGTTTTAATTCTGGGTTCGATGACACCGGCTGAGATAGTTTTACGACTCTGTAAACAAGAGAGTTTTGGGCCGGATGGGAATCTGACAATGCATTAAGGTATCGGTCTGTATGCGTTGGTTTTCTGTAAAAGACCCAATGTTAGATCCACAGTGCACAGCTTCTATCAAAGTCTTGTATGCAATTCTTTGTCGTTGATTCAATTGCGGAACATTTGTACGAATTGTTTCCGCCAATGCCTCAATGTCGTACTGTTGTTCTCTTTGCAGCTCGTTTATATGGGAAAAAAATGCTGTTTTTAGGGTTTTCCCGACAATTATAATTTTCTCACCTTTTAAACCTTCCCTAGGCCTCCATTTCAAGACCAAGATAACATTAATGAGTTCTGCCGTTCTCGAGATAGGTTAGATTTTTGTGAAGTTTTATGATACTGATATGTCGGCATCCTTTCATAGAGGTGACTTGCTACCTTCCAATATACACGAGAAAACTTTTACATTCCAGCATCCTAGCGTCCTTAGGTATATTTTTCATTTATTGGGCAGATTTCTAAGCGTCCGAGCAACGTTGCCTGATTGATTGTGTATTAAAGTACATATAAATATTTATGATCTTCAGAACACGCTGAAAATTTATATAATGCAATAATAATTAAATAATCGAAAATAGCAATTCGCGCAACTAAATGAAAAAAGAATATATTTTTTTAAGTGATCGAGGATGGCTCGGTTGGTAAGTCGTTAGACGTGCCAACTCGACTTGCAGCAGGTTGTACGAGGTTAGCGCCAAAATTTCACGGTCTGACATAGATGCAGCTCCAGTATCACGATAAAACTTAGTAGGCTGCGAAAAAAAATTAAGTCGTCAAAGAGTTTTTTATTGACAGCATTTTAAACAAGACGTGTCCGAAAAAATGTCGCAAATAACACAATGGGGCAGGAGTCCCTTGCAGATGATTCAATTACTGGTCGACCAGTGGAGGTCATAACGGAAGATATTGTTGCGATTGAGGAAGAGGTGGAATTGAGTGATCGACGTTTAAAGGTCAAGGAAATCTCAGAAATTACTAAGCTTTCTGATACAAGTGTTCGTCGAATCCTGCATGATCATTTAGGTATGCATAAGGTTAGTGGAAGATGGGTTCCTAAAAACCTGTCGGCTATTCAAAAACAACGCCGTGTCGAGTGTGCGCGGTCGTTTTTGGAACTCTGTGGGAGGAAACCGAAGCCTGTGATAGAAACTATTGTGACGGGAGGTGAAACTATGGTTCTCTATTATGACCCTCTATCGAAAAAAGAAACAATGGAGTGGCGTCGTAAGGGTAAAGCACCTCGAAGAAAATTCAGGTCTGCCTGTCTGGCCACGATCTTTTGGGATTGTGATTGATAGATTTTAATGAAACTAATACCACTGTTAATGGTAAATATTACGCAACATTGTTACATATATTGCGAGACTGCATACGTGTAAAACGTCGAGGAAAACTGACCAGAGGCGTGCGTTTTTTGCACGATAATGCACCTGTCCATACTGCTGGTTTTGTACAAGCTGCCATTTTAGAGTGTGGGTTCCAACAGATCGATCATCCGCCCTATAGTCCAGATATGGCCCCCAGCGACTATTATTTGTTTGAATATTTGAAAGCTTTGGTAGCAAAACCAATGGACCACGGCCTACCAGCCCGAAAAATCTCTACGCAATTATATCATATAAAGAGTACGGCATTGGCAGCAGGATGTAAATATGATTTTTGTAGATTTTTAATTCTTTACCACACATTTCGAAGATAAACTTTTCTTAATGATTTAATTTTTTCATAGAAAAAACTCTTGTGTATTTTTGTTACCTTTATGTTAATTCCAAACTTACTCTACTTCATCTTAATTTGTGGTAAAAGAAATAAAATTCTCTATTTCCATCGCCTCTACATGCTCGCACTATGGAGCGCCAATCGCATTTATTCAATATGAAAAACAAAACACCTAGGCGATGCATACCCGTTACCCGACAATTTCGCGCCAGTTAATAGTGACAGTGTTGCCACGTAACAAATGCGTAAAGGACGCCTGGAAATCGACGAGCTGAAGGTAGAATATATCTTGGAAAATATACTACGTCTCGCACCTCTACCGGGTATACAGTTAAACCAACAATATACAAGAAAATTCAGTTTACTATGATCGTAGCGTCCTTCTGAAAATTTTAATTTAGACTACTTAGACCGTGTATACACCGTTTCATCCGCTCGGTTCTAGGCGGACGTTCGGAAGATAGGAAATTGTTAATTGTTAATGAGGAGAGGCAAGTGATGACCGTTTATCGCGTGCGGGACTATACCTCCCTTTTTCAGAAACAACCCAGACCGCTCATTACCCACGGACAGGAAACGGTGGGTGGCGAATTCCCTTGGCACGCTGCCCTTTACCACACTCGCGGCATCGATCTGACGTACATTTGCGGCGGGTCTTTGATCACCACGCAACACGTCATCACTGTCGCTCACTGCGTCACCAGGCGGAAAACGAACGAACCTCTGAGCCCGAACAATCTGGTCGTTTATCTAGGTAAACCTTAGTTTTCTATACAAACATATGTCGAGAAACGCCACCTGTCGGAGGGTTAGAACTATGAGTGTTGAATTTAGAATAGACTTTGGCGACTGGCGTGCTACTTTCAACTACATTTGATTTTAGGCAATTGGCTGTAAACCACTGTGTTTTCCCTCTGGGGGTCCTCTGTGTTCTATATTTCTACATGGTTAAAGAGATCATTAACATAAACGAAAAACAACGGACCAACAAGCTGTGGGACTCCAGGACATTTCGTTATAATGCAAAAAACTGCTTACTTTCTCTATCAGATAATATTACGGTGACTATTTTCATTTAGCTTCGTCCAGCGGAGCTTAACTTGTTTTGCATTCTACTGTCCGCCTTAAAGAGGCGAAGCTAAATGAAGGACATCAACGTTGTATCGGGCGACTGACGACTGGCGTTTCTAAGGGTTCTCGAATTTTTCTTTCGTAGAAGAATTAATTCCGGTTTTTGTAACTTCTCATTCTCAATTACTTCTTCTTCCTCTATTTCCAAAAGCTGGAGGTGTGGAGCACGTGGGGTCCCTAGACCACGAGTTTCGTTGGTTAAATGATATAACTTCATTTCCATAACACCCTGTATGGTATTTTAGAGTAGGCGTTTTTTTTTTATCCGGATAATCGTTATTCCAGGAAAGTACTACTTGACGGTGTGGAAACAAAATCCCGGCATACAAAATCGGCAAGTTAGTAAGGTGATCGTCTATCCCAAGTACTTCCCGCAGAATTTCACTCACGACATCGCCATTTTGAAGCTGGAAACCGCGTGCGATATCACCAACTGGGTCAGGCCGGTGTGTCTGTGGGAGGGGGCCAGCGATCTTCAGAACGTCGTCTCCAAGTTGGGTAAGGTGGTTCACGATGCAAATTGAGTGCATAAAATCCAAAAAAAAAAAATGATAATCGGTTTTGAGACCAAAGACCATGAATTGGATTCTCTCCAGTAGCCCAAGTTCGAAACCTACAAACAAAAATGTACCATTTGTTTTTTTTTCTCTTTTAATTTAATATAATAATCATATGCTTATTTAGTCGACTGTGATAATTATAAATTATAAATAAATAAAAACAAATTTGCGCGTTCTTGTATATAATTTTTTTTCTAAGATTTCGTTTACCTCTTGTTCTTTAGGCATTTATATTTATTCGAGGCTTACAAATGGAATCAATTTTTTTAGATGTGTTTTAAAGGCACTCAACCATATCAACATTATTAAATCAAAATAAAAGCAAAAATGTTTAAGGTTCTTGGGTCTATTTGTTTTCTACACTTAGTAGTTCGGTTTTGGTTTCATAAATTTACCCTGTCACATATTGCAGAAAGTGACTCTACATAATTTATATTAATTTTTTTATTTATTCTCTACTTTTTTTTTGTTATTCATTCTTGGATATAATTGTTTATTGCTTCGAGACTTACAGATCAAATAAATTTTTTGAGATGTTTTTTAAAAGCACTCAAGAATATTAACATTCTTAATTCAAAATGAAAGCATAAATGTTTAAGGTTCTTGGGCCTATTTGCCTTCTACACTTAGTTGCTATAGTTCGGTTTTGGTTTTTGAAAATATTTCTAGTTCATTGACATTTTTACGCAATATTTTCACACGATTTCCAATTTTTTGCTATTCCAGTGCTCTTCTCGCATCCCGAAAGACCATATTGTAAATGTCACTGCACTAATACATAATTTAAGTGGAGTATATTTAAAAAAATTTCTTCATTCACCGCAAGTGACATCTGTTTAAACCAGCTCAAGTATTTACTGCAGTCATTTTCGACTTTGATTTTAAGATTATCCCAAGAATTATCTTCGTATAGGTAAACTTGGCCCCCGACGTGTTTACTTGGTACAAATTATGTAGGTAAAGAATGAATACTATATATATTATTAAATTTCGTTTTCTGTGTTTCTTTGCGTAAGATAATTTTTAAACAGGTATTCCAGAATCCTCCAAAACCTCCAACATCAGTTTAATAACTAAACGAAATAGCGCAGGCTTTTTCCTTTTCACTATTGGGTGACTATAATTCTATAATTCTAAATAATAAGATTTTGTCGTGGCCTAAAGGTGTAGGCGTCCGATTAGAAATCAAATTCTTTCTATCAGCTTTGGTTCAAAACCTCCCAGCTTAAATCAGCTACTGGTTTGCTCAAAAATAGACGTTTTAGAACCAAATGGGTGCATAAAATCTTGGAACAGTGATGATCCTATTATTATAGCTACGCTGTACTAGGCACGTCATCCAACCTATTGTTAGAAATCAAATTCGCTCGCACAGAGAACGGAAGATTTTTTCCACAATGGAAATTGAGTGAACAAATCCCAAAAATGGGATGCCTCCACTACCACATTTCAAATTTCAAATGAATTTAGTCTTGGTCTTCAGGTTTAGACGTCTAACTACGAATCAGTTTCTCTCCAGGCAAACGTTTAAAAACGACTATCGTTTTATTAAAAAAAATTATATATATATATATATATATATATATATATATATATATATATATATATATATATATATATATATATAATGATTTTGTCCACTTTGCAAATCGAGTATAACTATACTATATTTGGCACACTAAATATTTCCACTTTTAAATAGTCTTTGTCCAAGGGTTAATGAATCTCTCTAGCAGATTAGTGCATTCTGTCACTTGTGACCTTTTTATTCCTTGACCTCAGTTCTTTCTTGGTCGTACTCTCTTCTTCCCATTTCAGTTCTTTTCGCTCCATGTCCTCTATGGTTGTCTTTTCTATTCCTGTTATTTATCTTACGTGGTCATTTGTTTTATGTTTTGGTTAGTTGATTGTTCATATTTCTGAGCTATATATAATCTTTGTGCAACTTTGTTAGCTAGGTTTGACATATCGTCCAAAATATTCCCAATTTTATATAGATTTCAGTCAAGTTGAATGTATAAATATTTCGCATTTCTTAGGCACCGTGGTCGGTTGGGGTTACGACGAAAAGGGCAAAGTGTCGGAAGAGCTGACCAAAGCTCACATGCCCATCGTCTCGCAGCTCACGTGCGTGTATTCGCTACCCGATTTCTACTCCAGGTTCACCTCGGTGTATACGTTCTGCGCAGGCTTTAAAAATGGTAAGTCGATTTATTTAATGCCGAATGGGAGCTTAGATTTTTACCAATTAATCTCCATTAATTCATAACACTGAAAATGAAACGATGGAATCAAAAATTACTTACTTAATTTAATAATTACACGCTCGTCGTGAATTTTAAATTTGGTATTTTATTACAGAAAGCTAAAACGGGAACGGTTGTAAAGTTGGGATAGTTTAGATTATTTTTTGTTTGTTTTTCTGACTTGGACCGTCGACACCGCCCCGAGCAGATCGATGTCGATCACTTGCGTCGCCGCCAGAGGGCGTTTTGCGACGTCACTATAAATAAAATAAAAACAAAAACTCGAAAACTTTCTTTTAGCAAAATATGCATAAATTTACTGTTAAAATACAAGAATTATATTTAAAATGTTGATTTGAACTCACTTGTCCAAATTTAATTTTCTTTAAATTCCAAGTAACAAAAGTGATTTTAACTGCTATTACTACTTTTATTTCATTTATTACATTTTATAAAACTTCTGGATTCTTCCGGCGTCGGTTTTTGTTGAGTCGAACTAACGTTTCGCCCATCATACTGTTGGCTTCTTACGTTACGTTGTAGAGACCATAATGTCGTTCCCAATTTTCTTAAAATATTCCATCATGTCAAAACCTCGTCCGCTTATAAAATTCTTCGAAAATCTAGTTTCGCTTTACTTTGACAAAGAATTCATCGTACCCGTAAGGAAATAGACCAAATCGATAAGACCCTTCTGTCTGTACACCTTAAAATTGCTTCCATCTTGTCTCCATCCGAGTTCGATACCCTTTGAAATAAAATTCATGACAAAGCTTTAAATCTCCGTTTGTCTTCTACCCAGAATCACATTCAGAAAATTGAAAAACTAACGTCAACACTAGGGAAACCATCAAACTCTTCTCAACTACCAAACAATGTGAAAAATGTATCATGGCACCAACTTTCGGAAACGGAAAAATCAGTTCTTTCAAAAGTCCTTGTCCCACGTATTATCCCAAAAGAAGCGAAACAAACTGCCATCTGCAACCGCAAACATCCTTAAAAAATCAAAACTCCCGAAATCTAATATTCCAAACCCTGAACGCATTGCCCCAAAATCTCTAGAATGTAATCCTAAAAGCAGATATAGGTGGTCATTAACACAAATGAATATCAGGAAAAGATTCAAGATATTATTACAGACGGATCATATCGTCAACTCAAAAAAGATCCTACGTCATCTATGGAACGCATCTATCATTAAGGCTTCTTCTCTATCAGACTCCGTGAAAAAAATCTGTCACCCCTATGACTCTAAAATTCCTGGCCTCTACGAACTCCCAAAGATTCTCAACCCAGCATTACCCCTTGGAGCTATTGTCAGCACTATTGGTTCTCCAACATATTCTCTAGTAAAATATCGAGCTTCCTTATTAAAACCCTTTATAAGGAAAACTGGCCGTTTCGTACTTAACTCATGTCACTCTTACTATTTCATCCCGAGTCACTGAGGCCAGAATTAAACATCTTACCTCTGCTCTTCTCTCTAATAAGTTCCACATTAAAGATATTAAGCGTTCCATCACAAAAAAACACTTCACCACAACCTTCCAATAGCAATGGAACCGAAAGCAATCCCACACTTGCCACTGTTGTCCTCCTTATATTCAAAACATCACTGACCACATATCAAAACTTTTAAAGAAATATAACGTCAAAACCAAATTTACCACTTGTTCAAAAATCTCTCGACATCTTCGATCCGCCAAAGACAAAATTCCCTTCGAGATACCAGGAGATTACAGCATTCTATGCAAAGAATACATTGGAAAGACCGGACGAAAAATATCAACTACGCTCAAAGAACACGAAAGAGCCTTACAACTAAAACAAATAAACTCGTCAGCTGCTGCCGAACACAATTACGAAACCGGACATAAAATTTTATTCGATAAAATTAAAATTCTTGCATGTAATCTATCTATAGAAATCTATAAACATCCTAACAATCTTAGCATCGACTCAGGACTTTATCTGTCACCAATATGGGATTCAGTCATCCAAGACGGTGTGTGTTTATGCCCCTCATTTAGCTCCGCCCCCCTCAAACAATCTATGAGCAGGTACAGAGTAAAATGCGAGCCAGTTTCAGTCAAGCTCTGAAGAAGCCAACAGCGTGACCCATTTCAGAAATAAGTTATTTTTTAACGTTCTTTTTACAACAGAAATTAGCGGAAGACGTTTTGAAACGCCCTGTATGTTACGCCATACACCTGAATCCTAAATTTTCTAACAGACTTTGAGTTTTATATCAAAAGTGACGTGTGCAGGTGCAAATATATATTTTGTTTAGGAACTTTTGTCTCTTGCAATTTTTTCATAAATCTTGCGTTTTATATTATTACTTGCATTTTAATCGAAAATTTATAACCCACATAGTAAATTCAATCTGGTTTCGGTCCGGGACATCGTACTGCAAACTTTTCCGAGTTTTTGATGACAAATTTGCGATCATACAAATTCTACTCGACTTTTCTCGACCCTTTAATTGTGTGGATCATTCACTTTTATACGCTAAATGGCAATACTTGGACGGTCCACTGGCTTTCTTGTTATGACGGCAGCGGATGTGTCGAAACTTGGTGAAGTAGTATCGGGGGTGCCTCAAGGATCATACTTGGGTTCATTGGGTACCGTGTCGCAGTTTTGCCAAACGCAGTCGTATTCTGACGATACCCAGCTTGTTTACATTTTTGTTTGTTTATATTTTGACCCTTCGCTCATCACTCCGCGATGTACTTCATGAAAAGACACTTGTATCCGGAGATAAATGGGGAACTCTTGTCGTTTGCTACCATGGCTAAAAATTTAGCGGTAACAGTGGACGTATCGTTAAGATTTAGTGAGTGCACTTTAAATTTAGGTAAAAAAACTTTCACTTCCGACTTTACATGCCAATAAGCATGTATTGAACTTCACAGTCTGGAAAAAACTCTGCGAGTCATATAGTATGTATTATTTTACCTATGTTTTACCTCCTCGATCGTCGAAGCCTTCAAAAAATACAAAACAACTGTTGCAAGTTTGCGTATGACCGCGTGTCCCCTAAAATTAAATTGTGTGTTAATATACAAGATTTTAAAGTCTTCTAGCCCTCTCTATTTAAAAGGTAAGCTAGTGTTTCGCTGTGAAACCTACAATGTAAATATTAGGCAGAATATACTTCCTTTTTCTTCCGGTGTATAATATACCTGACCTGACTTAGTCAGTTAGACTTCACCCTTTAAGATTTTAGTATTGCATACTGTGTATTATGTATTTCTAATCTCAATAAAGAGTATTATTATCTAATTATTTAATCATTTAATAATGGCTGGTGGTTAGATATCGCAACGACCTTCTCAACATTTTTTCCATAGCTCCTTCATAAGTTTTTACCGTATCGGCACAAACAGTGCCTCGTGGTATCTATAGATTTTTTTATGCATAAGCTCAGCGATTGTAATTGTAATTTGTTAGAAACGCCAGACGTCACTTTTGACATAAATTTTAAAATACATCAAAAACGGTAAAACTTTATTCGGCAATTGAAAGATTGGGGAAAAAAATGTATTTATATTTTGCACATGCGAGAGTTTTCGATTAACAACTTAGATGTCAATACAACATTTTATAATTCTCGTTCACTTCAACAATATCAAATAAGTTATCTTATATTTTTTAATATAACACACATCCGAAGGTACATCGGTTTGCAACGGCGACTCCGGGGGAGGTTTGGTCCTACCCAAACCGGAGTCCGATCCCAAAAATCCAGTGTGGCAGATCCGGGGCCTGATATCCATAAGCGTCGCGCTCCAAAACCGGTTCCGATGCGATTCTTCCCACTACGTGGTCTTCACGGACGTGGCCAGGTACATGGATTGGGTGCACAAAGCTCTACTAGTGTGATACTGTTTTTTTGTGAATATTTTTCGAATTTATTTTTAATGTAAATCCTAAAAAAGTAATTCAGTTTTTGTTTTTGACACACTGAGAATCGTGCATGATTTTGTGATTACATCATTTTGTGGGTAAGTATAAACAACATTTTGACCCGAATAGTTGCTACGGTAACTATGTAGTAAATTTGAAATATTAAAGTCACTTATGTGAATTAATAAAAAAACTATATGGGAGGTGGATATAAATGAAATATCTTTACAAACAATTCGCATTTTTTTAAAACTAGGGGCTCACGAAATCATATTTTATTTATTTTAATTTGGATCTTTTGAACGACAAATTTCCAAATGATGTACGTATCGTTTTCGTAGCGGAAATTGTGATAAACAACTAAAAATTTGAACTGAAGTGGTTTTTACTTGATGAAAATCCGTTTAACAAAATAAGTAAGAACTAAAGTTCAGATTTTTTTAAAAATTTTCCTATTGTGTTGTTGGTTCTGAAAGCTATTTTTAAACCACATTTTGACAAATGTTTTGAAACTTTTTCACTGGCTTCTCCTATGTATGTAATTGTTTCAAACTGTTCTTATTCTGTATTAGGTTTCGGAAAAATCTAATTTGTTTTGCGTTTTCGTAATAATAAAGTCTAAAACATTAATAGAGTTATCCTGTTTAATCTCGTTCCAACAAAGTAAGCAAAGACATCACCCACGTATCTATACCACCACACATCGAAATATCATGGTGATGGTATAGTGGAATAGATACGTGGATGATGTCTTTGCTTGCTTTGTTGGAACGGACAGACAATTGAATTCTTTTTTAAATTACATTAACTCATTACATAATCGTATAAAATTCACTATCGAGATTGAACAGAATAACTCTATTAATTTTTTAGACTTAACTATTACAAAACAAATTAGATTTTTTCATTTATCGTAAACCTTCACACACGGACACAGTCATACATAACAGCTCAAATCACCCTTATACACACAAAATGGTTGCATTTCACTCTTTTATACACAGACTTCTAAATACGCCACTCTCAACAGAAAATTAGAACAAAGAACTTAATATCATTAAACAAATTGCACTGAACAACGGCTACAATCCGTCCATTATCGATAAAATTATAAATAAAAAAAAATCCAGACAACAGTAACCTGTATTTATCCGAAGCCCAATACAGAACACGAACAATTTAAAACAATTACATACATAGGAGAACCCAGTGAAAGTTTCAAAACATTTGTCAAAATGTGGTTTAAAAATAGCTTTAAGAACCAACACCACAATAGGAAAATTCTTAAAAAACAATAAAACGAAATGTCCAAAACCTCAAAAATCAGGTGTCTACAGGTTGAAATGCCGATCTTCTCCTAAAATTTATATTGGACAAACAGGTCGATCCTTCAAGAAACGCATTAACGAACATAAAAGGGCGTTTAAAAACAATAGTCTAGATTCTAATTATGCTACACACTTAAAGACAGAAAAACACATTTTTGACGACAATTTAGATATTTTACATAGAGCCACAAAAAATAGAAAATTAAATTTATTGAAAGTCATGGAGATTAACAAAATAAGACATTCAAATGTATTGCTTAACGATCAATTAGATTTAAATACCTCTCCATTGTTAAACTTAAATTCTCACAACATTAATTAAAATTTATTATCATTTATGCAGAAATGCGTTACGTACCCAGAGAATCCAAATTGCCAGGTATATTACAAACTTCACGCCGTTGTGGTATTTTCGCTACCAGTCGTAATATTATCCTTCTCGGACAATTTTTCACTTTTAAAAACTCACCATTCTCGCAAAACCAAAGCAAACTTGCAAGTGAAAGCAATGTTGTACAACGACGTGAGCAACTATTTTGCTATTAGGATTGTAATTTTATGGATTATGCGCGCCCTCTGTGTTGGACAGCATGTAACAAGATAGGTGGCGTGCTTCGGTGTGTTAGCATTAAAGATAATAGCCGTGAAAACCGTTAAATGAAATAGTAGCGAATAAAATTTCTAATTTAACTATACTTGTTCAAACCTAAAAATCTTATTGCGCATGTACTGGCAACAAGATATTCTCATCACCATGGATTTATAATCAAGGTAGATGGCATTGTTTACATTTCAAGACGGGTAAGGACAATGTTGCCAATATCGCCGCAGTTTTCAAACGTATTAATGCATACGCATTAAGACTCTTATAGTATGGATAAATTGGAGGTTTTATTCGATGAATCGTAGTCCATTACGTGTGTGTGTGCTACGTCCAAGTTTGCCTTGGTTCTGGGAGACTAGTAGGTTTTTAAAAGTGAAAAACTGTTTTGACAATAATATAAGAACTGATAAAAAAAGTTTCCTGGTTATGTAAACAAATCCAGCGAGTGCATTTATTTTCATAAGCCGTGTCATATTTTGTGGTATGCCTAGGATTTGCAAAAAGCAAAAGCGACAATTTATAGCGATTACATTGAAACTTCTGACATCGATTTTTGATGAGGTGGAGTTAAAACGAGTTGTCTTCCCAAAAATATTTAATGCTGATGTTTCTAGATCACAAAAATCAAACTTTTCTTAATTTTAATATTTTCCGTAACAAACATTCCCAACACATACATTAATCACATGGTAAAGTGTAACTGTAATACTTACAGCCTGGTGATGGTGATTTAACATTTCTTGCGTCGCTAGCGACAAGCGGTAGTAGTGCCAATTACAAATAATTTGTTTTTTAATTTTAGTTGAATAGCTCATATAGCTCATATAAAGTGTAGATATAGAAGCCCCGTGTCGGCCAGTAGTATAGGACTCCTACATGCATATGCGCAACATTTAAAATTTCGTTTTTAACCAATGGCAGCTCTAACTGCAAATGTTGACGTTGGACCCATAAGACCTTCCGGCTTTCAACAAGCAATATGTCCGCTGACAGGTCGTCAATACGTTTAGATGCGACAAAATATGCCTGAAAATCATTAAATATTCTAGAAAAATTAGTTAAATGTGTGGAAAACGTTGTTTAAAAAGAAAGTGAAGTAGAAGTAAAAGTTAGATACTGATAACGGTTACATTCAAAGTGATCTTACAATCATGCAGGGAGGCTACTAAAATAATTAAAGAAATTGCAGAAAACTAATAAAACACCAAGAAATCGAAATCACCTTTTGGTATAGCAATGTGCAGTCCATAGAAGTCAAAATTGATGGGTGGCGTGCAACAATTTGACACAGTGTTCACAAAGGAGAATGATGTAGACCCATTGCCATCACTTCCGGCAACATCCCGTTCTATTGCAGAGATGACGTCCATTGGTTTCACACCTAATAGTGTACGTACTATTTTGTCGAATATAAAGAATGAAGCACTAGAAAATGGTAAATTACCTGAACAGTGGAAATCCTCTATTGTAACACAATTACACAAAAAAGGCAATAAGCACATAGAAAGCAATTATAGGTCAATTAGCATAACAAATCAACTATCACGAACTTAACACAATGCTTAGATGACTGGACGAAAAGCTATGGTAAAAATCAACAAGTTGATGTAATTTATTTAGATTTCGAACACTCTTTTGACAAAGTCCCGCAAAATCTCCATTTGCTTAAGCTCGAACACTACGGGATTAGAGGAAATCTACTACGTCTTATTGCTTCATTTCTGAAAGATCGTTACTATCAAGTACGAATAAATGGTAGTAAATCAAATGTGCTTAGTGGTATTCCGCAGGGAACAGTTCATGGGCCGTTGCTTTTTCTAATCTATGTAAGCGACATAAATGAAAACTTCAAAACTTCAATCACACTGCAGATGATACAAAACTCTATGGGAATCCTACACATATTTTTTTTAAGCACTTTTTTTACATAATTTGTATACACAGTACATTAGACATTGTAAATTTTATTTATGGGCCGCATTGGGTTAATCGCTTGCTGTTGTAAATAAATTAAATAAAGTGCAGATTAATAGGTGAAATATTGAGGCATGCGCGGAAAATCACTACCTTCTTTACGAAAATAGCAATCAATTTTTACCGTAGCAGGGCCACTGTATTATCTGATAGCTATATGATATAGTTACTAGAGATGAATATGCGGATACTACTTAGAAGTCAGAATTTTTTTTGAGGTCTTGAAAACCAACAACAAGCAACATGGCGGCTGACAAACCCACAATAAGTTTGAATCCGACATTTTTACGGCTCAAAATATGCCTAATTGTCGTGAAATGTTCTGGAACAACGAGTCATTTATGTGAAAATCCAGGTTATTGGGTGAAATGTAAAAGTTTACTATTGGTAAAATAACACACAAACAAAGTTAAAAATATCTATTAGAAGATAATAATAATAATAATAGCGTTTAATTCGAGCAGTCCTGTGGTACCTAACTGGAACGGCAATAAAGAGGGAAAAGAAGGAAACACGAAATACCACAGAGCCACGCGAACACTATGACACCTATAGTATATAGTGTATAATATATATTTATAAATTATTTACAAAAAAATTAATAGGTATGCGTTACACAGTGAGAGACGACCTGTTCATTTACCTACCTACGGTACAAAGCGCTATTACACTCCAACCGGCAGCTATGCAGCAAAAGAACATATATATTATCACATTTTTAGTAACAATCGTCTCCAAACAATATTTTAAATTTCCCTAACAAAATAAATAACGGCTACTTTATACTTAAATGGTAATATAGATTCCGTGGGGGTTCGTTTCCCGGTGACACATTCTCAAAAACCCAGCCACCATAGACACCGCTAGAGAACCCAAGGATAAAACCATTTTTTTTACAAGTCAGTGCTCATTGTTTTCCCAATAAAACTAGTCGAATAAAAACCAAAAATTATATTTTCCTTGTCCTCGATCATCGACAAAAACCACCACGTAAACGGCAAAATTTAGTTTCCTACTCGAAATTTGATGGCGGAACAATGCAATTAGACACCGACGTTTTAAAATAACGATAAAGTAAATTTCGCATTCCCAAATTTAATCTATGCTCGTGGATACCGTGGATCCTTAGCAGGCACAATTGTCACCTTGGCCCATTGCACCCTGGGTGTTGGTCAGCTTGATTTGATCGGGAAACTCATTGTAGAGGTCCACGGACGAGTTTTGCTGGGCTAACGCGTTTTTGGCTATCGCCAGGAATGCTTGTTCCACGTTTAAACCCTCTGGAACAACAACGTGTAGTACGTTATCAACAAGATTGCTTTCGAAAAATCGTCGCTGGGAGGGGCAAGTTCGTAGCGCCTAGCGCGAAACAACTTTTAATTATAAAAGGAAAGAACTTCGCGGTTTCCTGTGGTAAACGGATGCGCTGTTTTTCTATCGTGCTCCTGCGAACCACTATGGAACTTTCACAAAATGGATGTAATTTTATTGTGCATGCACCCTGTATAAAATGTCCTTCACATCTCGTCGAACTTCCAAAATTACAGTAAACATCGATAAATATTAAAATTTGCAAAAATGACAGTTTTACAAATATCTCTCGCCCCGTATAATTGACGGAACTGCAACTCTCTCACGACACGCTTTTCGATACTGTTCAAATAAAATTATCCCATCTTTAACCGTTTTTGATTTATCGCCAATAATTTAATCAGAAAAACGGAAATTTTTACGATCTTTTAGATTTTTTGCCCATAAACGACACATGATTCAAACAATGTTCGAAGTAGAGGTTATAGCCCTAGATCTTCCACGTTTTCTGGTCCAAGGATTTTTTGAAAATAGTAAATGGTTTTCGAGAAAGTAAGTTTTTCCTGCAACCATGCAGAAACGGCGATTTCAATATAGTTTTTTTTCAAATATACCGAGTTATGAAAGAAAACATATTTTTCTGGAAGCTAAAATTACCAAAAAAAAAATCAAAAATTTTTGAAAAATACTTGGAAAAATTTGGTTGCACCCAATTTCTACCGTTTAAATGTGGACACGGAGTTTTACTTCTCTGCTAAATTTGAAGTTGGTATCTGCAAATTTCTCATTTAGCAAGGAATATCGGGAACAATAGGTGAAAAGCTTAAATACAAAAGTTTTTGCTGTCTATACGGGCTATTTCGCAAAAAGAAAGTGAGATCTGATTCACAGTCTTCCAGTTATTACCCATTTTTCAGGTTTTTTTTTTAATTTACGGCGGAGCCTGTATATTTTTGAAAAATTGTCAAGAATAAAAGTTTATGGAGCCGTATCTTCTGCGTCTTCTGGTCCTAGATTTTAAAAAATGATGTTTTTTGTAGACCCTTGTACACGCGATTTTTAATTTTTTTTTAGAATACTTCCCGATCCCTCAGCCCGCCCATTTTCAATAGGTTCTGTCACGGGGCAAAGCCGTATATATGTGCCACATATGAAGTCGATTGCTTCAAATCTCGGACACTTAACGTGTTTTATAGCAATGTCCAAAAACAGTCGAAAATCGCGAAAAAAAGATGGATACCGGCGTCGGATTATTTTTTATTTCTTATAAGCTTATGTGCCTCGTGGAGGGTCAAGAAAGGGGACAAATTTCAATTTTGGAGCTCCAACGGTTCGAAAGTTATTCAGGAAAAATCAAAAGGCAAGAACGGAGAACGGACAAACATATAATTTTTTTTTCGACGATATATAACAGCGAATTTTTAAAACATTTTGCGCAAGAAGCTAGACCAAAAAGAAGGAGATAAGACATAAGACCTTTATCGAAAAACCATAGGCCTATTAGTCTGTTGCCTACATTTTCTAAAAATTTTCTGAAATTATTGAACACATCATAGCATGACACCATTTCTTCAAAATGGGAGCGTTCTGATACCATCAAATTTTAATAGAAAAGTTAGAAACACACAGAGCAACGTGTCAGCGACAGCAGCAAATCTGTTTAAACTCCTCAGCATCTCTTCTGATCGGTGCAGAGTTGCCCAGAATTGTTGTATAAGAAATAAATTGGTTTTGAATACGGAGAAAACTAGTTTTGTTTGATTTTTGAATTTACATAAAATGGAATACAGTGCCGCAAAATACTTAATAATTAATTATTATAATATATTAATTTTTATAAATTATTACTTAAAAAATATTCTTTTTCTACAACCTTATTCATTTGTAGAGAGTGGTCTTTGTAATTTACTTTCTTATCTTATCTATCTTTGTGATTTTATTTGTACTTTTTTGTGTTTTCCCATTCTCAGCTTAAAGGCAATAATCTATTGACTGTGCACTAGGGTGCTTCAAAAAAATTTGTTTTTTATTTTAGATTCCCATTTAATTAACATCAATTTATATTGTTAAAGTTGAGACTTTCTTTAAAACCGTATAACAAAATATGATTATCATTAAAAGAAGATCAATTACAGCCGTTTAAAAATGACTAAATTTTGAACTTTGCAGAAATAGCTTGTAATAAATTTTTATCTACATAATTTCTCAAAATTTTTATCCTAACAAACCCTGATTAGAAGAAATGAATTTAAAAAAATTGACAATTTCAATTCTGTATAAGAGAAGGAATTTAAAATATTCAGAAGTATTTAAATGTTGTTATTTTCAATACTTTTCAATACATTTTTTTAATCAGACAATAGTCACTATTATTATTTTTATGGATTAAAAATTTCAAAAATAGTTGTCAGTATGTTGGTGGCAGAACTCATGATAATAATTGAAAAAATGAATGATATGTATTATTACATGTAATCATCGATTACAATTTTTTATATAATAGCTTATATAAAGTATCCAACAAAAAAATCAAACATATCCACTTTAGTGATTAGCTTATTATTAATGACAATTAGATTACAATATAACAGTTAAGAAAAATACGCCTTTTCGGTAAGCCATTAATTTAATTTACTACCACTAACACTACCGAGTGTTTTAGTACAATTCGGGAATTTTTGCCCGTGATACTGAACTAATTGGATTAAAAATTGTTTTTGCTCTTCGTTTCTCGTTAAGCAACGACTGATCTTGACTTTTTCCCCACAAATCTGGATAAACACCATGGAAACCATACGGCAATTGAAGCTGATCAAAAAGAAAAAGATCCTCCACACTAATAAAATCATTTAGATCTTAACGATATTGGCGATTCTTCATTTGGATTTTTTGAAAACAAACCCACTTGGCATTTTTAAGGTTATAAGATATGCCTCATATGTTATATAAAAAACAAAATAAACAAAAAAATCTCTTTTCTTTTTCTATTTAAATTACACAAAATTCCTAACTATATGTGTTAAGGCAACTCGTTTCTATGAACAAAATTATTTAGAGTTGAAGAAAAAGAAAAAAAAAATTGTCTGATTTGAAAATTTTATGCAATTTATGAATTTATAATTATTAATTAAACACACTGATAATACCGTTCCCCACTTTTTAAAAAATGTATTTTTCATATATAATTTTTACCTGCTCTTTTTTTAATTATGACAGAATACAAAAATTCTGCACATAACCTAAAAGTTATTTTTCACAATTTGGCTTTAATTTCGTTATCGACGGCAAATTCTGAATCGATGTGTTAAACAAGCCCTTTTCTTAATTCAATAAAGTTGAGTTAAAAGAAAAAATTAAGAAACTAAATTTTGAGAAAAAAATTCAAAATTACATTTACATAATTTTAAAGTTACATATTTTATTAAAATTTATATTTACTAACTTAACACTGACAGGCACAGACTACTTAATAAAAAATTGCTTTAAATACAATAACAAAATTTGAAAATATTAATCATTGATAATGATAATTGATAAATACTTGTATATATTTATATACCAGGGTTTTTTTGCATTCTTTTTTTTTATGGTAGCTTATCTTCTGTCAGACTTATATTAAAGCTAAAATTAATCAGGAAAAAGTGCAAAGTGCCTTAGGTACAATCGTGCAATAAAATAGTAGTCTAGATATAGTAATTTAGAGAAAATTATGTAATTTACTGTTACACTACTTGTTTTTGATATATTTGTAATTACTGCTCCGACTAATAATTTGTTTTAAGAACTTTCACAGTACCTTTCGCCGAAGTTTCAAAGTAGGGTATGTTGTTTTTCATCTGGCACCACTGCTGTGCCCTTTTGGCGGAAATCGCTCTCGGTTCCAAATCAACTTTGTTGCCGAGTAAAACGAATGGGAAATTTTCAGGCTCCCTCGGTGATGCCTGAATTAAAAATTCGTCTCGCCAACTGTCCAACGATTTAAACGTGTTCGGAGCTGTCACATCGAAAACTACAACCACCAAGTACATGATAAAACCTGAGTAACACAAAATTTGATTCGCTTAGTACTCACCCAAAACACAGCAATCGGCGCCTCTATAAAAGGCCACCCCTAACGATTGGAATCTCTCCTGCCCTGCCGTATCCCAGATTTGCATAGTGACAGTCCTATCGTCTATGGTGAGCTCCTTTGTTAAGAAGTCTGCGCCAATTGTTGCCTTGTATTGATTTGAGAACTTTCTGTTCACATATTGGTTCATCAATGAGGTTTTACCAACACTCGAATCACCCAGAATTATTACTTTCAGCAAAATCTTTTTCCTTGAGGACATTGTCTGTAACAAAGGAAATTTTTGTCTTAACACCACAAATAACTTTGGGATAATCTCCTAATCATTTAACACTGGGGGCGGGATAAAGTTAATATAACAATGAAACCACATAACAACGATTGGGGTGAGTCACTTTCTGAAAATCACGAAAAAATGCAATCAGCTGATTATTGAACTTCAAATACAACGAACAGCTCAACTCATTTGTTAACGTGTCCAAAATAAAAATAATAACTGATTTCACAGTTACCTTTTTTAAACGCTACCCCGAAAATACTCGTAAATGAACACTCGCACAATAATTTACTGCGTAATCACAAAACAGAAACACAAAATGGCGATATGTCTTTGCTTCCTCCTTCCTAGGTTTTAATTGGTCACTGATCGTGCGCCTTCTCTTTTTCTGATAGCCGATTGAGAAGAGACAGAAATATATAGTTCAACATTCCAAAAATGCTTTGAATTAAATTAGATAAAATTAAACTAAATACCTTTTTTTTAATAAAAAACACTTTACAATACTTATTCAATATTAAAATATTAGGAAATCATAAACAAAAGATGCCTGCAATTTCAAATTACGTCATCAAATTAAGACCAACAACTGAACTGAACCTTGGACTAAAAGCATGACCAGCAAGATCTACCGACATGAGCCACCACCAGTACATAATTAAAAAATATAAACTTAATTAAAAAAAAACTTCATGATTAATTCGAGACACGATCCCACAGTAACAAGAAAGAAGAAGGAAAGTAACCTAGCTAGTGCAAAGAAAACGAATTATTCTGCGCAACTGTCAACGTCAAAATCATATGTGGTTGTTTTGATGTCGGTTAAAAACATTTTTTGAAAATTGAATTATGGCAGACCCCGATGAAAGTGACATGGATCTAAACGTACCCATGGAAATGGAAAATGGCCACATAACCCAGTCATCCGAGGAAAATTCTGATGCCGATGTGGAAACGTCTGGTGGGTATCTATTTCCGTTTCCTTTGGGTTTTTTTTTTGGCAAGTCCCAGAATACTTCTTTTTAGATGAATATGAGCAATTAATGAATGCGACCGGAGAATATGATAGAGACTTACCTACATCCCATGGAGTATTGCTCATAGATGTTGCGTTTAGAATATCATGTAATCCTTGCTTGGTTTTAGTATTTGGGCACTTTAAATCCACTAAGTGGCTATACAATATTTGAAGATGGAGCAGTGTTACATATAATAGCGATATATACCAGTACTTTGGTATTTCCTGGATTTACATTGCCCCTAGTCATGAGCAACCATTATGAAAATAGAGTAATGCAGACATTTATAAATGAAAATAATAAGGTTTTCGTGCTACTGTGTGCCAAGTATGGCCATGGTGGTTGTTATATTTTATAGTTCACTTAGATTTTCGTTTTAGTTCGGGATACAATGGTTTGTTTGAGTTCGGCATCACAATGGAAATATTTGAAACTTCCATCAAGAACAATGTGTTGCATATAAAAGCCAAGGGCAGACAAAGGTGTAAGCGATTGCCGATGTCTAATGTTGAAAATGTTGCTGGTCGCATCAAGCTGGTTAATGTTAAAATTTTAGCTGAACCGCCCATAGTTCCACCGCTAAGCGATACTCAGCTTTTAACATTAAAGGGTAGAAGGCAATGGAAGTTGAATGATTTCAATGACCTGAAAAAAATTCATAAGTATAGAAGGTACCTTTTTGTAAATGAAATGCAAATTTTATCTTTTTCACACTCTGGTTTTCAATTTTCACACTTATATGTTGTGTATGCTGGCAATGAAAATTTTGTCAAGAAAGGTTATTCAAATCTCGATTTCATGAAAGTATTTATGTTATGTATGAATGTTAGATAATGTGATCAATGCCATGGACAGCATTAAAAAATAATTAATTAATTTAAAAAATCTCAATTTCCAATATTATATCATTTAGAATGTCATGCCTAGTCATATATTTTTTTTTTCTTCAAATTATCTTGGGAATTCCGTATCCCGAAAACAAATAATGCAATCCTTCTAAATATTTATTAACGTTTTGATCATAATTTCGCCCAGTAAGGGTAACTAGGTAGTATATTCGAAAAACGGAAGATTCTAGAAATAACATAAACGGTAATATAACATTAAATTTTTCCCCAAAATAACTTTTTAATTTTAGGTTGGGATGGAGATGATAAGATATGATTTTCGTTGGGTTGTTGAGCCCTTATTTATCAAACTAATGGCAAGAAACATAGTATTGCGTTTTTTCCTCATTCTAAAAATTATATTTTTGACATAACGTTAGGAAGCTGCACTCTGTAAGCGAGCGATCACAATCACTATCGCATTGATAGCTTAGGAAAAACCCTTTTTAACGACCCCAAAGTTTATTAAAATTAAATCTTTTTTGGGATTTTCTTTTGGCAGATTTATTGATTTTTTTTTTCAAACTTCAAACTATTCGTTTCCCTGTTATTGTACGTGTTCCCTGTTACTGGGACATCCGGTATATATACAGGGTCCACCATAGTTGACATGAATCACATAACCAAATGTTATAAATTCCACAAATTCCTCACTGTTAAATTAAAAAATATTTTAAAAGTTATTTTGAAAGATCATTGAAAGTGACATTTTAGAGCTGTATATGAAATTTTGAACAAAAATTGACGGTAGGGATCGCAAATAAAAAAAAAATCCGAAACGTAGTCGACTTTCCAGGAAACACTGTATATTTAAGAATTAAGTATTTTATTTCATACAAAGGCTGATAATTTTTTTGTTGAAATTTCATTGTTTGAACACCAGCAATTCTTGGGAAACTGTTGTGTAAAGAATAATGACAGTCTGTCTCTCTCGGTGCAACAAGATTTACATTATATTTCTAATCCACCAATGTTCGACCATGGCTTTCAAGAAAACAAAGGCTTCATTCATTGACAGTAGTACCAACCATTACTAAATTTACCGATACTGCATTTTTTCCAGCAAAGTCGTTGATAATTGTTTAATTTTTCTTTAGTGTTTTTGAAAATGTTTCATTCATAAGTAATCGTCTGAAAAACTTTTTTTAGTTCTTAGTCAATAAAATATTTGCAGCAAATACATAATAATGCAAGAGGGCTGAAATCAAAAACATGAAACATCGCAATATTGCCAAAATGGGTCGCCTAGCAATTTCGTTTTTTATTTAATGGAGTTGTTTGCAAAAAAGCAATAAATTTCGTCAAATTGTCACAAAATCAACCTTAACGCGTCAGTCATGTAAAATAAAAATAAAAATTTCAGTTCTCTGAGTTGATATCGACATCTGCTTTTTGACCCTCACTGTATATTTTCTGATTACTTGCAATTGAACAGCTGCTTTTTAAATGAATTTGTTAGGTATTTTAGCCATCCGCTCAATTTATGTTTGGTTAAACTTTTTTAAACACGGCAAAGGTGAAGAAATTTTGACAATTGACATTACCGATGAGTTCTTTTAGCCGATGTTAAACTTACATGCGCAAAGCGTAAACATAACCGTCATTTTAATTAGGTATCATTTGGCGCAGTATCCGAACCCCGGATGGATTTACGATCACAACGAGGTCAGCTTCTTCATGAACACTCTCAGGGAAGGATTGAAGTCTTACGGGGACGGTAAGCAAAAATTTTCGCCTTAGCGGCCGCACGAATTTTTTTTTTTTCAGAATATATACCCAGCGATCCCGAAAAGTTTTCCTATTGGTTCGTACAGAACTACCAGTTGAGCGTCATGGAGCGGCTCAGAATATTGGAGTTGAAAACCACTCTGGAACGGCTCAAATTGGAGTGTATTTACTTAAAACTGGTAGCTAGTTTATGTTAAATGTTATGTAATGAGGTGAGGCGAACTGAATTTTATGGATATTTTTACGTAAAATCCAGTGGCGTACTCAAATTTATTCTGCGCGCTAAAGTATTACGCGCTTTTAACGTTAATATCGTTTCAGGAACGGAAAATGTGCTGCAACATTTGCGAATCGGAGATCACCGATCCGGATAAAGTGTTCGCCATGTCGAAAGACGGATGGGTGGGCAATTACGTGAACCCGGGTGAGTGTTGTCCGACATATTTAGTGGTTTTAGTGATCGATCGCGACGCTTTTGCAGGCGGTCAAGTGTACGAGACGGTGACCGTCTTGGAAGCTAGAAACTTCAATTTGGTGGGTACGGCTTCGCGCAATTTCTCTTGGTTTCCAGGGTAAGCAGCTCATTGACTTGGCTAATATGCGATATAATTTTTTCAAGTGATAAGATACGATGTATAGGGTTTTTCACCGAACTTGTTCATTATAAGTTTAATGAGATGCAATTTAGAAACCCTTGACACTTTTGTTTTGTGTTATTTTAAATGGAACACCCCGTATATTATTAAATTTTGAGATTCTATATGAAATTGAGAACATAATTTGTGTGTACCGTCCTATACTATGTTTTTTTAAAAAATAGAGCTTCAATAAAAATGCAGGTGCATATTTTGTAGTTTTTGAAAATTCGATGCTCATATTGGTATTTTTAATTTAAATTTAACTCAACTAAGTATTTGAGGACACTTTTCGCTTGTTCTTTCTTTCGTTGTGGGGGGGTCACTTTGGTTTTGGTTTATGATCGCCAATCATCATGTACCTGCTTAGATAAGGTTTGAGGAGGGCGGAGCCAAAGGAGGGTCATGGACATTGTCTCTGATATAGAAATGGAAAGACCTGATTCAAGGTTAAGATTGTTTTGTTGTTTAGGGATTTCCATAGGTTCCCGGATTTTTGTTCTTGGTAAAAGAATTGATTGAGGTAGTTAATAATATATGCTTTGCGAATGACACAATAATCTGGAGTGAATCTTTGGAAGACTTACAATAAATGCTGTAAAAACTTAATTTGTGGTAGTGTCGAAAGAACGCAAACCAGTAGCCGCTGTTGATAGAAGAGCACCTTGGAACATGCATAACTTCAGAGGTAGACCAAGATTGTGTAATAAAAATCTGAATTGAAACTGCCAAACTGAGTTTTAAAATGAGTGGTCGCAATTACTATATGGAATGGACTCAAAAGACACTACAGCCTTTGCAAAACCCTAAATGTACTTGCACTAAAATACTAAATAGTAATGAGAAATTCTTAGAGATGGCACTGTAAGAAAAACATAGTAATGATAATTTAGATTTTTTTTTTCAGATATTCTTGGACCATCATGCAATGCAGCAGTTGCAACAACCACCTCGGGTGGAAGTTTGGCAGCAATAATTTGACTCCCAGGGAGTTTTACGGTCTGGCCAAGTCCGGGTTCAAGGTGGTCATTCCGGAGAAGCCCAGACCGCCGGACCTGGAGGAGCTCCAATCCGCGAGGATCACGTACGCTTTCGATTATATTGGTTTGTACTGAGTACGTTGGGCGTGGGTATTTTCATTTTGTTGAGATTTATTTTACTTAATGTACAGTTAACTAATTGCCTTGTATTATTTTTACCTCGTTGCCGACTACCTATTTTAAACAAATTATTATTCGTAAAAAGAAGTCCAGGGAGAATATGCTGGAAATGATAAATTGTTTTTATTATTATTACATATAAAATTGCTAGAAAATTCCGTTTTCTTCGGTTTTAGTGTCTAAAAAAAATGCAGATAAAAACGTGTAACACATTATGGTTATTATTGATATTTAAGGCAGAAAATGGCAAAAATTAAAATTTCACTTACCAGATCATCAGTTGATATTTTTTAAAAATCTGTTTTGATGTCTTTATGACTGAAACACGTTCGTTAAACTTTAATTAACGACATTTATTTATTTAATTATTGTATTCGGCGACACAGTCGATAGCCCTTTTTAGTTGTTTTTTTTTTTTTCTAGTAAAATAAATGTTATTTCTATAATCACTCAATAGAAAAGATTCTAGAACCGTGAGGTGTGGACTGTAAGCTGGCCATATTGTTGTTCCATGTTTATATTTGTTGTTGTGCTAGTCCATTGGTCTAGACAGATTCGTTCAGTGGAATATTACTTATAAATTCGTCTACACTTTCTGGTATAATTTTTTGATATCCATCACCTACATACAATTTTGCTTTTTTTTTTTTGGTATAACATGGAAGAAATTTTCCAGTTGTACCCTATAACTTTTTTTCTAAAATCTAAAGGAAAAAACTTGTGTGAACTAATTAAAACTAATATACAAATATTGGAGATATCATCAAAAATGACGTGGAAAAAGTTTATACACGACAAGCATTTAAAATGTGTCAGTCATACTTGCTACTTTCGAATTTTCAAAAGACGTTATAAGTGGACCCCTGTGTATGCTCGGCCCCCTGAACAGATCTTTCAATAGATTAAAAAAAAAAATTGGTTTAAGGGTGTTTAGTTTGTCAGTAGCCGACAATCATGTTCAATGTTCCAAAACATTTTACAAGACAACTGCTGAATGAGCTATTAGAGCAGATGAACAGGGACGAAGCTAAACGCACATGACAAATTACCATCTCAGAGAAACAAGTTCCCAAATAGCACAAGGACGTCCGTAAAACGTCCTCGGGATATCTGACGGGAAATAGCGTATATCCTAGGGATATCCTGTTTCAGCTAAGGGACATCCTCAAGGATATACGATGTTAGTAATTGGAACATCCTTCTTTTGATGTTTGTGATGTGTTTGCCTTCTTATCCGCATCTGAAAATATTTTAGTTTTGGGAAAGACAGGTTTAATACATCTGCACTTTTTCCTAGTTTTTTTTACTCGTGATAATACCTACTATCATAATAAAAACAATCCTTAAAAACTAGGAAAAATGTTTTCATGAATTCACCCAACAATCATAATGTGAAAATTGTAAGTACTTTGTTCTTAAAATTAATACTTTGTTTTTCGGGTGGGGGGGGGGGTGATTCTTGCATCTATTTTAAGAAAAAAAATTATACTAACTATACTATGTAACTAAAAATATAATTTTGTTCTGGTGGATTTTCTCTTACTAAAATAAAAAATTAGTTTGGTTTTGTATGGCTACATTTAACTGCTCAAAAAACATGAAGAGAAAGTTTATTTTATTTTTATTTTCAAAAACTAAGCAACAAGATACGAAAAGAAGTCTAGAAGACGTATAATATAGGTATATAGGTTACAAAAAACTCAGTTTTATCCTAACCCTGTGCAGCAATCACTCTTTTAAAAAAGTATCAACTAAGCAATCACCATAATTAAATTATATTTCTTATTTATTTTTATTGCATTTACGTCCTATTTATTAAAAAAAAAACAAAATGCCTTCTTTCCAAGTATTAATTTGGTCAATTTTAATTTTGAAAATTTTTCCTCTTTCTTCATGCCCAACCAATTAAACTTCATTGATTCATTTATTTGAAATCAGCGGGGTCAGAGCTTGTTTTAAAAAAATAACTGAAAGCAGTAAGCACAGTACACAAAATACTCAAAATAGATGCCAAGTCGCCATGTACCTTATACCGCCAACAAAAACAAGGCTGAAAAGATGGCGGACGACGAGACGGAGGAGAAACCGACGAGACTCGAGCAAGTAAGGCACGGCACGACCCCGAGTAGTTGCGTCATTGGTTGCAGCCGAACGGCGTTGTGTGTTTTTTTAGGACTTACCAACACTGACGTCGATATAAATGTGATAAATTGTTGCCAATAAAATGTCTCCTAAAACACCACAAATCTAAAAAACTTAGTATTTTCCTTCTCAGTTGTTCAAAATTTAATTTTTTAGGTTTCATTTTGTTTTACGGTTTTTCACTTTTTTCCCTTATTTCTATTCTTATATTCCTACTATGGCGCAAGGGGATATATTCAGGCCATCTATATAGAGAATATCTGTGGTATGTCTTGTACAGCAAAGAGTATAAGATAGAGGGGAAGGCTCCCATTGGTGGCAATGTTAAAAAGCGTACACATACGAGTTTCAACGCCTCTAGTATTCTTCTACGATTCAATTCAATTTAAAGTTTGAAAGGTAAAATGCGAAAAAAAATTATGTCGAAATAGTTTTATTTTCTTTTTATTAAAATATAAATAAAGTGCTATCTTTCACAATCTACTATAGTATTTTCAGTGCGGCGCATTACTTTAAACCGCCATGACAGTACTTTAGTACTTGGAAACAAATATTAGATGGCATTCATAACAGTATACGCGACCTTCCCACCTATTTTATACTCTTTGGTGTACAGTAAATCCGCAAGCCATTCCGTGAATATCCCTGGGATGTATTTTACATTATATCATTGGTATATATGCTAACGATTCAAATGGGACATTGACCGGATATATTGGGGATATTGTGTGCTATCTGGGCTTGAAGAGACAGTTTTTACGTTCTCTAGCTCGAACACAGCGGCATTAACGAAGATTAATTGACAGGTGACAATTTTATAGAGACCATCTAAGTGGGGACTTGAAGAATAAAAGTGTTTCAGAAATCTGTCACTAGAGGGCACGTTACCTAGAATATATTTTTTAATTGTATCTGTATTTTATATATTTGGACTAATATTGCAAAATAGAACTTAAGCCTTAAGCAGAATCACAAATTCTCAAAATTGTTACTACTATTAAGTCGATAAGTGTTATCGTTTAGCCACAAATCAACTATTTTATTCTGGGCCCGAATACTCTGGTTATGTACCTAATCACGATATGCATTTCTGTTACGGAAAAGCAAATGGAAATGCAGGCCAATATTATTAACCTGCAGACGACTTGTACTAAATTTTTCAAAACAATATTCTACAATTGAAAAAAGTGAAAAGATGGCATCAGTGAATGCAACATTTAATTTAAGTAACATAAATATATTCAGCGTTTTCGAAAACAAAAAAATATTAATAATAATCCGGAATTGAACAGTATACAGCGCTAATTACAGTTCATTTTCGAAATGCTCAACATTCATTTACAAACATTCTCTTATACATTGCCAATAATTCTGTCGAACACGTAAAATAACCTATTTTTTGGGGTAGCTTTTACTTGATGTTCTGATTTTCACGAAATTATATTCACTTGACAATTGTTTCATTCAACACCGTGTCTTTATCAAATGTAATATTTACAAACTACCTGCTACTATATATACCGAAAATTGACAATAAAACCTTAATTAATGTTGGTGTGAGAATTTAAGTTTAATAATGGAGAGGTATTTAAATTTAATTGAACGTTAAGCAATACATTTGAATGTTTCATTTTGTTAATCTCCATGGCTTCCAATAATTTAATTTTCTACTTTTTGTGGCTGTATGTAAAATATTTAAAACAATTACATACATAGGAGGACCCAGGGAAAAAGTTTCAAAAGATTTACCAAAATGTGGTTTAAAAATAGCTTTCAGAACTAACAACACAATAGGAAAATTAAAAAAAAAAAACAATAAAACAAATTTTATATCGGATAAACAGGAAGATCCTTCAAGAAAAGCATTAACGAACATAAAGGAGCGTTTAAAAACAATAGTCTACATTCTAATTATGCTACACACTTAAACACAGAAAAACACATTTTTGACAATTTTGATATTTTACATACAGCCACAAAAAACCATGGAGTTTAACAAAATGAGACATTAAACTTAAATTCTCACACCACCATTAATTAAGATTTTATTGTCATTTTTCGGTATATATAGTAGCAGGTAGTTTGTAAGTATTACATTTGATAAATACACGGTGTTGTCGAAACAATTGTCAAGTGAATATATATATTTTCGTGAAAATCAGAACTTTTAGTTCTTATTTATTTTGTTAAATGGATTTTCATCAAGTAAAAGTCACCTCAGTTCAAGAAATAGGTTATTTTACGTGTTCGACAGAATTATTTAAAATGTATAAGAAAATGTTTTGAAATGAACGGTGGGCATTTCGAAAATGAACTGTAATTAGCGTTGTATACTGTTTAATTCCCGATTATTATTAATAATTTTTTGTTTTCGAATGCGCTAAATATATTTATGTTACTTAAATTAAATATTGCATTGACATACCATTTTTTCACTTTTTTAATTTGTAGAATATTGTTTTGAAAAATTTAGTGCACGTCGATTGCAGGTTAATAATGCTAGTTTGCATTTCCACTTTCTTTTCTGTAATATAAATGCATATCGCGATATTCAGTATCACGTTTCTGTAAATTAGAAGTGTAGAAGGGAACATAAAAAAAATGTTTCTAGGTGAAGTGCCCTCTAGTGGCAGATCTCTGAAACACTTTCATTTTGTAACGATGACTTTTACTAAATCAGGGCTGTATGTAAAATAGCAGCTTAACCCGTTGAGAATTAAGAACACTGCGTTAAAAATAAAATTAAAAAAAAAAGAATTTTGACAAGGAAAATATTACAATTTTGAATTTTTGTACATGACTTACTATCACCACGTTGAATCTTTTCTCCAAGTTTCCGAACTCAATTTGCGAACACCGTGTGTAAGAGGGTACAGATTTTTTTTCGAATACATTCAAGATTTTTTTTGCCTTATGGAGGCAGTAATAAGTTTACTTTGACTTAATTTCTATGTTTTTGTTATCCATTTATCTATGAAAAATTAAATTTTTGTTTTTATCTGGTTTTTTGCTTATCACATTTCAAAACAAAATTTTATTTTAAATTAGTTTTTTAGCTTAAGGGTATGAAAACAAGGGTGAATGAAAAAAGGTTTATTTTTTATACACAATATATACAACTTTGCCTTTACTGCAATCTACGAACGCGTCTAATCGTTTTGTTCAAGACTCACTGCACACCGAGTAGAAAAATATCTTAATAGCTTAATAGCTTACGCTCACACACACACTGCAGCTTCGCCTTTCGATAACAAAAATAAATATTACGGATTACAACTCTTGGAAGAAAAAAAAAACATTCGTTATTTACACTCGGCGCCATCTGTCTTGGGTTCGGGGAACGAAAAAATCCGCCATGTACAGGGTGTCGCCGCAAAAATATTTACTATAAATGGAAGCGATCCTGATTTTTCTTAGCCGCAAATTAAAAAAATATATATATATACTTTCGCGATTACTATCAGTCTTCCGGATAAACTTATATACATTTACGATTCTATCTGGTGTATGCGGAAACCCTGCACATTTTAACGATTTACACTAATATTGGCACTAGAATATTTTGTCTTAAAAATTGACGAAAAAAATTAAATAAATTACATCGCTGACGATTATTGCTGGTGATTTATGTTTATTCGTTACGATTCGGAAGGTAAACATCGAAATCGGGTAGGGTAGAAAAAAAAAACAGCTATATTAGGTGAAGTTGGTCGGCCTTTTTTTGAGAGCTGTCAACCTTTGGGATTCAAACAAACCGATTTTCTGTTCAACTTTTCTGTAATTTTTTAATTATTCGCGTCTATTTAAAAGTGTTATATAAATACTGTGCTCACTTTTCATTTCAAAACGATCAAAACGGAAACTTACTCACATTTTTTACAAAAAGGCATAATTGTTAAGATACGAACGAAATCGAAAGATGTCTTTACTAGTTGTAGGACCTTACAGGCAATGAAACCCGAATCGAGGATATTCAAACAAACAAACAAATGTATATGTTATAGGAAATTTTTGAAATCCTGGCTGAAGCGAGGATTTCAAAAATTTTAATTCACATTCACATTGACATTTTAGAAAATAAACTTTTATTATTATGAAAAAAAAAAAGATTTTTCCATGGTTACAAAAGTATAATGTATTTTTGAAAATATTCCCTACACTTTAGTTAAAAAATCTGAGTACGCCACTGAATTATGGATCTACGTTCCAGACGATTATCCGCAAGAATGTCCAAAGAAAAATTCCAAAATTTTGCAAAAAATGACTTGGCGCTGGTGGACGGGAATTAAATAATAATAACCGTATGATAAGCGCATACAAATTCTTAAAAAATATACAGGATGTTAGAAAATATAACATCAGTTCGTATATTAAAAATTATACCATTTACAAAACGCCTGAATACGCCACGCAAAAAGAACTATATTGTCATCACTATATAGGGGGTTTAGAACTATTGAAATGGCCATATTTTATGCTTCACTCTTCAAACTACGTACTATTCAATTGTAATTATTAGAATTTGAAATCATACAACGAGTAAAGAGTAAATCAAAATATAATCTACAAATATTAATAGTCAATAGTTAAATATAAAATATTTAAAAATTTATAGGTTATAGGAGTAGTACACTATCGAAGAACGACCACGAAGGCTGTTAAATAATTTGAAAAAAAAAAGATTATGTTTTTAATAAAAGACTCTTAACTCGTTGTTTCATCTTCAATTTTAATACTTATCGAAAGTATATGCGAGTGAAAGTATAAAAGTACTAAAACGCTGGCCCGACAAATCAGTTCGTTTGACAGTTACCAATCGAAATAGCCGCTGCTACGTAGGGTATTAGACGCTGATAGAAGAAAAAGATCCACGACCCTTATTTCAAACCTTTGCAGATGTTTCCCTTCCAAAAAGAAGACCAAAAAAAAAAGTTGAAGAACTAACCGAAATCGTCATCTTCGAAAATTACAAAAATATACAATTCCATGTTCGTTGTGTGCCCGATCTCGATCCGGCCAAACACGCCAAAAATCGCGTCTCTGATCCTACGCCCCTCCCATCCCCACTACCTACCACAATTTCGCTCCAACCACTTACTTCCCCCCTTAGGGGGGCGAATGATGCCTGTTGGGTCTGGTGTTCCGCCCCCCGCCACTCTTAAAGTTCCTTTGGTTGCGGTTGTTGTTGAAATTCCTGCCGCGACGGCGGCCGTCCCGAAAACCGCCCCTGCCTCGCCCCCTGAAACCACCACCGCCCGGGTGCGGCTCGTTCGGCGACGGATAAAAGTCGTCACCGCCGAAACTGTTGAAACCGCCGCCGCCTCCGGGGTCTATGGGCGGGAAACCGCCCCCGAACACTGGGGGGGGCGCGTTGCCCAACAGACCACCGTTTCTCGGGTCGAAATTGATGGGGAAATCGGGCGGCAAGTTGGGGATGCCGGGGGCGGCGCCCAGAAGACCCGGCTGACCCATCATCGGACCCGGCATCTTGTTCAGAGTGGCCAGGATGGACAACGCGGGACCGACGCTCATGGGGGCGTTTGCCGACGACACTATGTTGAGGCTAGAGAGCAGCGAGTTGAGCAACGGGTCGTGGGACCCGCCCCCGCCCGTTTGATCGTAGCGCGACGCCAGTTCCTGATTGAGCATCAGTTTCTGGTTGCTGGTCAGGCTTTGGTAGAACTGGGAAGACTGTAGCATGCTCAGCTGCTGACTGTAGTTCAGCTGCTGAGAATCGGCCGTCTTTTCTTCGGTTTTCCGTAACCTGCCGATGTCAAGGGACAAACGTCAGTCAACATCACCCGGTCTTAGTCAAATTAATTTGAGAAAGCTCCATGCTCACAATGCATGGAAAAGTAGCGACAAAATTTTAATGGCGGTGTATATTATATATATATATATATATATATATATATATATATATATATATATATATATATATATATATATATATATATATGAGTGCTTGCTTGCTGGCACTACGATCAATGAGAGTCAAATAAACATTGTTTATAACTTCCTTAGTCTCAATAGAATAGTGTTTTCTACATTTGGGCAGGAGCATCTACTGAGATACACTAGACTAGCACATATTTTGCATAATTCCCACACAATTCAACACGTGCTGTATTACACGATAAATAAGAATGATTACTAATAAACTTAAACTAAGTAGTATACCAAACCAAAGAATATTAAACACAGGTAGGTATAAAATTATTTTCTATTACGGACCACAATTTTAAGTGAATTTAAATTCCGAAACTTTAGGTGATAATCTTGTTGCGTTGTATGTTAATGACCACCCTTGGATAATCCCATTCAAAAGCATTGATCACTTTCTTATATCTATGAACAGACTATACCTGGGATCCACTCGAACACCGGCGGAGGCCTTGGGACTCGCCTTGGGCGACATCGGGCTGTCCTTTTCTTCCGTGCTCAACCGGAACAGTTTCCTGAGACGCGGATCTCCCGTTTTTTCAGCGTCGTTTATACTGAGCTTTAGGCCGGTGTAGTCCGGTCGCGGTATCTCGACGATCGCCAACTTCCACTGGATCGGCAGGTGGGAATTGATACTCGCGTCGATTTCGGTAGCTGGCGTGTAATTCTCCATGCCCTTGAAGGGTAGCGCGAGGTTGCGTAGGTCGATGTCGGGCCGCAACGCGCCTGAAAAAATTCAATCCGTTATACCTTCATCCCGGACCCAAAATCCCAATGGTCCTCTTTTATTTAAAGTTGTTCATACAGGCACACTATTTATAATAAAAAATAACAAAGTCGCATAAAAAAAGCAACGATTTCAAGGTCTAATAAAAATCAATTTTTCAAAGAAACGTCTGGATTAATCCTGCGTCGGTTTTTGCTGAGTCGAACTTGCTGACGTTTCGCCAATCATCCTGCTGGTTTCTTCAGAGCTTGACAGAAACTGGTTCGCATTGTACTCTGTACCTAATTATATTTTGTTTGAAGGGGAGCGGAGCTAAATGAGGGGCATAAACACTCATATTGGTGACAGGTAGAGACCTGAGTCGCGGATAAGATTGTTAGGTTGCTTATAGATTTCTATCGACTCTCGGATTTTTCGTTGGTAGAAGAATTGATGACATGGAAGAATTTTAGTTTTTTATGTCCGGTTTCGTGATTGTGTTCGGCAATTGCTGATGAGTTTATTTGTCTTATTCTTAAGGCTCCTTCATGTTCTTTTAGCCTAGTTGATATTTTTAATATAAGAATGCTGTAAACTCTTGGCATCTCAAATGGAATTTTGCCTTTGACGGATCGAAGATGTTGAGAGATTTTTAGACAAGTGGTATATCTGATTTTGACGTTACATTTCGTAAGAACTTTTGATGTGGTCAGTGATGTTTTGAATGTAAAGGACAACAGTGGCGAGTGTGGGATTGCTTTCGGTTTCATTGGTATTGGAAGTTGTGGTGAAGTGTATTTTTTGATAGAACGCTTAATATCTTTAATGTGGAAATTATTAGAGAGAAGAGTAGAGGTAAGATGTTTTAATTCTGGGTTCAGTGACACGGGCTGAGATAATTTTACGGCTCTGTAAACAAGAGAGTAGATATTCTTACAGACGGATCATATCGTCAACTTAAAAAGGATCCTACGTCATCTATAGAACCCAACCTTAAATCTATCATTAAGGCTTCTTCTCGATCAGACTCCGTGAAAAAATCTGTCACCCCCCATGACTCTAAAATTCCTCGTCTCTACGGACTTCCAAAAATCCACAAACAAGGATTACCCCTTCGACCTATTGACAGCAAAGCAACCTAACAATCTTAACCGCGACTCGGGTCTCTATCCGTCACCAATATGGGAATCCATAAAATTTATAAAATTTATTTCAAATAAAAATTGACCATCTGCAATCACTTGACCGCTAGAGGGCCATAAAACTCTGCAACTTAAACAAGTCTAGGCAGCTTCTTTAATTTTTTTAATTATTTGTAAAAGATTTTCGAATTATGAAGCACCCTATATATTTTTACATATTTCAAATTATATGTTTTAAAATTGCATAAAAATTATCTAAACTATTTGATTTTCAAATTTTATCTTTGCTTGGATATATATGCACCACTGCCTATGTGCCATAATTAATAATAGTAGAGTCAACTTTCCCTTGGTTTGTTTTTGTTGGATCCAATGAATGGCCTGCAGGATCTCCCGATATTACTCCACTCGATTTTTTCCTCTGGGGATGTTTAAAATCAAAAAGCACAAAATTTAGACAATTAAAAATCGAGAAGATACGGAATAAGGTAGAAAAATCAAAATTTAAATTTGTTTTAAAAGAGCGAGTAATTTTTAACAGAAAGAAACTTCAAGGCAAAAGTAATAAATTACTTCGTTTACAAATATTGAAGAGTTTTTATACTGTTAGATGTTAAAAATGTCAAAATGTTAGATGTTAAAATTCTGAGCCTACCAGACCAAAAATAAAACCTCCTCTTGACAAACCCAGGCTTACATAAATCCAACACTAAAAGTAGGAATAACTTATGTGTAAATTTCATTACGTCGAATGTTACATATAAATCTTCAAAAATATATAGAACAAGTAATTTTTTGAATAAGCTACCTGCAGAAATAAAAAATTGCGAATGAGAAAGAAACTTCAACACAAAACTAAAGAATTAGAAATGTTTTTGCAAATTCGAAGAGTTTTTATAATAACGTGGTATACCGCATATGTATATCTTAGATGTGTGTTTGTATGGGTTCAAAAATAAAACCCCACTCTTGAGAAACTTATAAATAAATAATAAGGGACCAATAATTTTTTGGCAACGTACCTGCAGTAATAAAAAATTGCGATTTAGAAAAAAAACTGTCAAAGATAAAGAATTAAGAATATTTTTGCAAAGTTCAAGAGAAGTCAGATGTAAAATGTCAAAATGCTGAGCCTACCTCATCTCTCTTGAAAAACTTTCATAAATTTGACACTAGAAGTGTAAATAAATAATAAGGGACCAATAATTTTGTTGACAACGTACCTGCAGAAGAATTAAGAATGTTTTTGTAAAAAGTTTTTGTAATACAGTGGTATGTTTTTTTGCACCTTTTCACGACAATTCATACACAAATTATAAATTTATCTTACAGAAATAACTTAACTTAAACTTAAAAATTAGAAATAAGCAACTTTCTAGGTTCGAGGTTATGTTCGATTTCTGCACCGGAACCGGCTTTACATCACTACTTATCCGATTCGGGCCGCTTACTTTTAAAGTCTTCGTTTTCGATTTCTAGTGCCGCCTGCATGTCGAGCCCGCCTTGTTCGTAGATGCTGACCTTTTCCGATTTTTTCGCCCTCTCCTGACTATCGGAGGAACCCCGCCTGGCTCCCTTCCTGGGATCCGAGACCGTCGTTAGCCTGGGGTCCACTCTCGGCAACGAAGACTCCTGCTCCTGCTTCGCGATCCGCGGATCCTGCGGTTTGGAGGCCGTTTCGCTCTCGCCGGTGGAAATATCGTCCGGTTTGCGACTCTGGTTCATCGAGTTCAAAAGTTTCGTCACTTCGGCGGAAATGTCGATTTTGGACAGGTCTCCCAGCCTGCCGACTATGTCGTTCGGCTCGATCGGACCCGGTGACGGATAACCCCTGCGAAAAAAATATATAGATTATCCAAATTCGATGGGCCTCTATGGCTTTAAGCTTTAGCAGCATAGTAAGCCCAAAACTAATAAGCATGTTACATCCTCGTGATATATCAAGGCGTTTTTAAACTACAGAGTCATTCTCAAAAATGTGCAATTTTAAAGGCCCTCTATAACTTTTTTAATTGTAAGAATAGAGTTTTGTGAAAAACATTTCTCAACAAATCTCTCTATTTTATCTGTTTTGCCTTAGAGCCTTTAATTCCCGAGATATCACAGACGGTTATATTTCTTTGAATGTGATACCCCTTTTTTTATCAGCTTTTCAATAAAAATGTGACGTGCCGTACACCTATTTTTATTAAGTAGTTTGAAAGATATTTGCAATTTTTTATATTTACCGTAGTGGGCGCTAAATGTGTAGATGAAATTTTATTGATTGATGATTTTCTGCATTAAGAAGTTCTACCACACGAAGCTGTACGAAGTGCCTCTTCCAATTTCCCTCTAGTAGTTGGGCGATTTCGAAATACAAGATCTTTGATTCTCTCTCACAAAAAGAAATCGCAAGGGACAAGGTCTGGACACCTGGGGGGCCGATATATAAGAATTTTATTTCCGATCCAGTTTTCGGCAAACGCGTTATTTAGTAAAGTTCATTATTTTGCTAACGTGGAAAATTGTCGATAAACGGAATTACCTGCTCTTCTAGAATTTGTTGGTATATTTCGGCATTTAAATTTCCATCAAAAATATATATCCCCATAATTTGTCCTCTGCAAATACCTACCCAACTGAACCTTTCCTGATTCGCTTGTTCCACCACAATATGGGGATTTTGCTCTTTCCAGTAATAGTTATACCTGGTGAATATTCCATCACTAGAAATCGTTGCCTCATCCGTCCAAATAACTTTCCTGGCAAAATCTGTTTCTTGTTTGCATTTATTTAGGTACCACCTGCAAAGTGCACGTCTCGGAGCAAAATCTCGTTGCCGTAATTGATACACCCGCACGGCATTGCTTCCAGTGTTTCTCTCCACAGCCCTGGTGGAAGTTTTCGTGTTAATTTCTATTTCTCCCAGAACCCGTTAGTTCTTCCAACTCTCTATCTCTGGCTTCTATACGTCCCAGGCGGCGATTTTGTAAAGGATCCGTATTCTTGTAGATGACGTTTTAAATTCAAAAATATTTTTTAGCTAGGTTGCCTTCTTTCCGGATATCTCTGGAAATATCAATTTAACTCAGTCTCTCGATTTTCGTTACTTTCAATATAACATTTTATCATGTCGTACTTTTTAGAGTTTTCAAACATTTTTATAGCTTGACAAAGACGCCACTTTTGACCCTTTGGCTTGTGTATCATGGCAATTGTTTTTATCTAATCATAGCTAATTAGATAGATACCGTAAAACTACATAGAGTTAAATACAGCCTACTATCTTAATAGTAGTAGTAGTAGTAATCTTTTTAACTACTTTTTTTTTAACTTTGTGTTATATCTCGCTTTAAGACAAAATCGGTGAAACAGATAGATTTGCCCTTCAAAAATCTTCAAAATTGTTTTTAATAAAAATCTCTATCTTTAAAAATAAAAAGTTATAGAGGGTTTTTAGAAACGTACATTTTTAACGATCACCCCGTAGCTCAAAAACGCCTTGACATATCACGATGCGGTTTTCAGTTTTCGACTTCTCTCGAAAGAAAATAATTCGCAGTTGAAACCACGACGTACAAAAAAAAGTCCACGATGTTCCGTCAAAAATGGTGCCATTTCATCTTTAAAATTTTTAAATGGCAAATTTGTGACCTAATGTTTAGAATTGTGTAACAGATGGGCATGGAATAACCCTAAATTTTCTGAATTAGAAATTTGCAATGGTCTCTATGTGCCACGTTTTAGTGTGGTCACTTTCACCATTTCTATTTGTTGAAAAAAAAATCATTAATATAAATTAAAAACAATAATAGGCCCCACAATGGAGCCCTGTGGAACTCGGTCAATTACTGTTCGTAAACTTGACATTTCATTATTGCAAAAAACTGCTTGCTTTCTATCAGTACGCTTAATATCTTTAATGTGGAAGTTGTTTGAGAGAAGAGCAGACGTTAGGCGCTTTCGCGCAGAAAATATAATGTGAAGAAGAAACTTTCAACCAGATCAAAGAAAACGTGGATCTTTAAAGCAAAGTAAGATTACATACCCTGCAAGTACAACATACTATGAAAAATTGAAGATTGAGAGCAAGAAGAATATCAGCTAAAAAATCCCAACCATATTCAGGTACGCAGTCGTTGAAGAAGAGAAACGAGTGGTCGAGTTAGCGGATATCAGAAAAAATAAATGTAAAGGAAAGAGCTAACCATCAGTGGCTGTCCATTAGAGACACCGAAGATAGAAAAGAGAAGCAGAAAAAGAGGGTAAGGGCAAGTGTGGGGCTACCTTCGGTGGAAATTGTTTGAGAGAAGAGCAGACGTTAGCTGTTTTAATTCCTGGTCTTGCAATTGTGAACCCTAAGAATGGTGAATGAATGACGAGAATGATACATCATTTTAGAGCATTTTTTATGCTCCATCTAATAACGAAGGTATCCAATATGGCGCCCCTAAGAAATATAATAATGCACTAATCCACTATACTTATATCGGGAAAATTATATGGAAAGACTTACTCGGTCTTTTCGCTCTCCTCCTCTTTGCCTTCGTCCTCTCGCTCTTTCACCTTGTCTTCTTCGTCGACTTTTATGGTCAACCTGTTTTCGTCCTCGTCGTCGTCGTCGGAATACCAGTTGATGTTGGTGTCGTCCAAATCGAACCTTTCTTCACCTTGATCGGTCGCGGACACTGACTGAGACTGAGTCGGAGCACCGGCCGTAGTATGGTCTTTCTGGTTGGCCGTTATACGCGCTATCAGGTCGAGTGTACTCTATATTCGCATCCCCAAATATAATATTGACCGTTATTTTGATTATTTACCGCCAATTTTGTTAAAAAAGTGTGCTTTCGCACGACTGTGGAAGCCTTGTATAAGTGAGAAGCTGATATATTAGAGTGGAATGAGCAAGTAACAGAAAAACTAACGCAAAGAAGAAATCTTCAACAAGATCAAAGAAAACTTGGATCATTAATGCAGAGTCAGTTATCAGACCATACAATACATACCATACTATTAAAAATTGAAGATGGAGAGCAGTTCAAAGAAGAATATAAGCTAAAAAATCCCCACCATATTCAGGTACGCAGTCGTAGAAGAAGAGAAACGAGTGGTCGAGTTAGCAGGTAGCAGAAAAAATAAATGTAAAGGAAAAAGCTAACCATCAGTGGCCGTCCATTAGAGACACCGAAGATAGAAAATATTATGTGAGATTTCATAGAGAAGCAAACAAAGAGAACATTTTAATTTAGCAAGATGAAAAAACGCGTGGAAGATCATTGAAAACTTTACGAAAAATGAAAAAAAGCGAAATAAGTTTACAGACCATACAAGTATGTGAGTGAAAAACACACCATGAAAAATTGAAGATCGAGAGCAGTTCAAAGAAGAATATAAGCTAAAAAATCTCCACCATATTCAGGTACGCAGTCGTAGAAGAAGAGAAACGAGTGGTCGAGTTAGCAGGTAGCAGAAAAAATAAATGTAAAGGAAAAAGCTAACCATCAGTGGCTGTCCATTAGAGACACCGAAGATAGGACATATTATGTGAGATTGAATAGAGAAGCAAACAAAGAGAACATTTTAGTTTAGTAAGATCAAAAAACGCGTGGAAGATCATTGCAAACCTTACGAAAAATGAAAAAAGCAAAATAAGTATACAGACCATATAAGTATGTGAGTGGAAAACATACCATAAAAAATTGAAGATCGAGAGCAGTTAAAAAGGTCAATATCAGCTAAAAAATCCCCCACCATATTCAGGTACGCAGTCGTTGAAGAAGAGAAACGAGTAGTAGGGTTAGCAGGTAGCAGAAAAAATAAATTTAATGAAGAAAAGGAATCATCAGTGGCTGCGTGATATTGAAGCGAGAAGCAAAGAAAGAGAGCGGTTTAGTGGTGCACAAGATCAAAAGATGCATAGAAAACCTCACGAAAAATGAGAGAAAGAGTAAGTTTACCGACCGTACAAGTACATGAGCGCAGTTAAAAGAAATCATCTCAAAATCCCCACCATATTCAGGAAATTCCAAAAATGGCAGTAAAACCATTTGAGAATCCTGACTGGAGGTACTCTGACCAGAAAGACTTAAGGCAAAATAATATATATATATATATATATATATATATATATATATATATATATATATATATATATATATATATATATATATATATATATATATATATATATATATATATATATATACATATACAGCCAGGCCACGCCAAGTTCTTTAATTTATTTATGTGATCTAGTTTCGAAAAAAGTATATTCAGTCAAATAATTTTAAACAATTACCCGTGGCAAATCGAGATTCGGTAATATTGGTTCGCCTTTGGTGGCTCCATCTTTGGTCGACGAGTCGTCGAAAGGCTTCGGGATTATTTGACGGATGTCGACGTCGCCCATTTGAGAAAATCTAGAAACGGACGGGTGCCTGCAACACAATAAACATCAGTTTTGAGTTCCAGCTCGACATTAGTATCAATTCTTCATCACATAAGATTCAGTGAAAACTCATGTATATTCCTGTCACTTAACAATTCAGAATCCAAACTGTCAACAAGGGAGTGCCTCAGGGTAGTGCCTTAAGTGTTTGCGATTTTTAAATCATTACACTTTTGTTTTCATCACTTTGTGGCTATGATACTCAATTGTCCTTTTCTATTTCTTAACGATACCAGCAAACAATAATTGATGTATGATGATATGAATTACTTGATTGATATTGGTGATATTTGGAATTGATAATATTAAAATTCTCTACAAATAACTTTACTTTTTTGTAACAGTTGGAAAAGTTGCAAGTCTCTTAATCATTGTAACAGCGTATTCGCGCCTTGTCTAGATAATTGCGATATGTGTCGTATTTAGGAAGTTCAAAGCACCAGCATTACGAAGACGCAAGAAACTATGTAAATTCTAAGATAAGAATACTGGACACGGCTTACCAAAAGGATAAATGGTGAAAAATGGACAGTAAACGTATAAGAACTTTAACAACAGAGAGGGTAATACATGAAAAGTAGGAATTAGAAAAGAAGATCTCGGAAATTGTATTGGGTTTACATGTGCTTTATAGATAGGACTAAAGGCTTTGAAGAAAACCGACACAGCAGAATAGTGAAGATAATTGAAAACACTAACACTGACAACAAAACCAAAATTAAAGTCCAGATATTAAAAGACCACTCTTATTTAACATAATAATAGATATAAATATGAGAGAAATAAAATAGGTAGGACACGGATACGGAAGAGATCGGAGAAGGCCTAATATAAAAAGAAGAAAAAGAAGAATCAAAAAATGTCTCCTTAATGCTAAATTTTAGGCTGTAATAGTATCTGGCGATGTACCAGATGTCTGACTCCCTGTAATACACCGATAGGATGTTTGAGAATGTACCCAAAAGTAATGGTCGTAAAGTAAGTATAGTACCAGTAAAGTAGTTCAGTTTGCAAAAACAAGCGAGTTTTTAAAAGTGAGATACGCAGTCTGAAAATCTTAACCGGCGCAGTCGGTAGGATATCGCATAAACGTTTACTACGGACGAATTCGTCGATAGTTTTATCATATTTTTGTCCACCCTCGGAATCGTTTAGATAATTTACACGAAACATTTAGCGGGCACTGACGCGCAACAATATTGACAAGTAATCCGTCCAGATTCGTTGTTTGAAAATCTTAACTGGCGCAGTCGGTAGGATACAATATGATTGTTTACTGCGGACGATTTCGTCGATAGTTTTATCAAAAATTACTGCATTATCAACGTACACAGTAGTAACTGGTAGCTATGTGAGAACACCACTAACCTAATATCCACGTCCATGGAAAAAATCGTACTGGTCCTTATGTCCACGTCTTGCCTTGAAGGGCTCACGGACCTCTCCATGCTCAGAGAACTGTTCGACTCGAGCGAAGAGGTGGCGGACACGGACTGGGAACTTCCCAACATGGTCCCCTGGCTGGAGGACGGTATGGTCGGCAAAGTTCTCATATCGATGTCGCCGTTACTGTTGATCCTCATGTCTTGATCGCTGCCGTAGCTGAAAGCCTTCAGGGGGAAACTTGGACCCGAGTCGTTGTCCTGATGCCATCTCGAAGGTCTGCTACGCCCTTTTTCACTCTTTGGCGGTTTTATTTCTAACCGAGACCAGTTCATTAAGTAACGATTTTTGGAATACAAGGTTTAGTCTAAAATTAATGCCAAAACAAAAACTCGCACACCCAAACAATGACAGCCAGCCACTCTACCGATGCGCAGATCAACACGCGCATTGCCTTAGCTCCGCCTTTTGGGAGAGATGATGGCATTTGCCCTTGTCCAAAGCACACGGTCTCATTATGTAAACCTCCATTGCTTAAAACAGATGTTGTTTTTTTGCTTTTTGATTCATCATTTAAAAGGTAAAAATTAATCTGAACTTAAATTAATGAAAAACTTTGAATATGAAATTTTGTTTTGTCCGATATAAGTTTTGGGACATGATCCGCTACATTTTAACTTGTAGACTCGAGATTTTTGTGTTTTTCGAAAATTAGTTTTCATGTTTTTTAAAAATTTACCAGACCAAATATAGACGGATGTTTGGAAACATTCTTACTAGGTTCTCCTATGTATTTTTGTTGAAATTTATGAAGACTCTTGATCATTTAAAATTTTACTATTTAAGTGTGGATGTTAATCCACACTTAAATAGTATAAAAATAACTTTTTATGCCTTTTTTGATTTATTGATACTTCTGATTAATATGAGCCACATGGGTCTATGATGCACTTTCTAGGACCATTTGTAGTTCGTTAAGAACTCTCAACTGCATCTATTTTACTGCATTACATTTTTAACTAATTTTATTTTAATAAACTGCACTAAGATGTTTTAAACTTCAACAATTTTATTGTTTTATACATTTTAGGTTCCGTGTTTAATGTGGGATGCATAGAGTTAGTTGAGACTATTAAAGGTCAAGATCGGAACCGTTGTTGATTTGGGGGTAAACTAACACATATGATAGGGCTGACTTGTCTCTGAATGAGAATATCCGTTATGTTTAGTCAATGGTAGGAAATAGATTTTGGACGTCAAACTAAATTAGAATTGCCTTAGGAAGAATTTTAATGCATTTAACCTTATAGTTCGAACGAATCTTTGATAAGGTATGTAGGTATGATATTCTAAAATTTTTATTAATCTTTATAAAGGAACTACTGGCCTAATTGGCATATCCTGCTTGTGTAATTTAATTTTGAAGGTTATGTCATTATCATCATGTGAATTAAAGGAACATAAAGCTATGAAAACGTTTTTTTTTTAATTCTCTTTCAATCATATTTGTGTTGACTCAACCTGACACTTTGACATATCTCTCTTTTTTTGTTAGTTAAACAAAATGGATTCCAAAATATTAATAATGACAATTCTTTACTTTGGTGAGTGCAAAAATAACTCTTTTAAACTGTATAACAACATCCGCTGTCTTCTGCATCAAGAATACACTGCCACCACCCTACCCGTAAGCTTAATAAGTGCAAATTTGACGGCTACAATAAAATTACTGTTTCTTTTTTCGAAGCGTGAAAAATTAATCTGCGAAAATTTATTCTCCTTTCGAAAAATCGCTAAACGCGAAAAAATATTAGGGAATACTTGAAGCACTAGTGACAATTGCCGTCAGCAGCCTAAGACTATATACTTCGAGACACACCATACCCAGTGTATTACAAATTACGAAACCCCCGCAACCTCACTGTTTACCAAAAATAAAAAACATTCATTGCCAGGAAGATAAAACGAAAAAAAAAAAAAACTAACCGAAATCGAATCCCTGCGCTAACTCTGGCGGCACGGGTACATTAATATCAAACAAGGAGGGTATCCCACCTTTAGGTTCTTCCTTGGGCACAGTTTGATCGTCGCTAGGGGTCGCGGCTCCGTACTGATCCTGCAGCTTCTTCTGAGTCAGATTAATCAGGTTCAGCGCCTCCTCGCGAGACATTCGCGGGAAACCGCCCAGTATATCACGAGGCGCGGTCTCTATATGCTTGAACAAAATCTGTTTGAGGCCTGAAAACATTTACCGGGGGGAATTAAACGAAGAAAAAATGGCGTCCGATAAAAACGGCTGAATTTATTTAGATTTATGACAGCCGAATGGATCGAATTAAACACACGTTTCACTATGAATACAAAATAAAATCTGAATTCCCGTTTGATTTGTTAATTTTACGCCAACTAACCACAATTCATCTATAAAATTGCTACATTTATTGACAACGTGCCCATGATACAATCTGTTGTCACGGACGTTGAAGCACTATAATATAAAGACAACAAAATTTGAAAAATTTATTTTATACTAAAGAATGTTACTTGATCCTGCTTTAAAGTGGTGATAAATTCAGACCTCGGTGAATAAGATTTTGCAGCAGGATTAAGTAGAAATAATAAAAAAAGGAATATTTATACACCGGATGTCCCAATAAGGGGGACAAGGTAAGGTATTAAGAAAACAGACGGTTCTAAGTCCCACCAAGTGGATTTTTCTGACATAATCCCAACAAAAATGCAACCATCGAATTTTATGTAATTCGATAGTCAAAGAATTAAATAAATTCCACTTTACGAGGTTAATTGTCGTGTTACTATTTTGAATTTACCATAATTTAAAATTCCAACATTTCTATTATTATTATTACCAAAATCGTAATGGTCAAATATTATTTTTCTAATGCTTCACGTATCTTTTTGTCGTTTTTAAAGTTTAAAAAATTAATCTGAAAAAACCTTAAACTTTTTAAATGCAAATATATTTAAAACCTACAGAGTTGGATGGCATTTCGATAAAAACTTGAAAATTCTTGGTCAGGCAGAACACGACAGATAAAAAAAAATAAAGATTCGATTTATTTAAATAACACTTTCAATTTTTATTATTCCTCACTTACATAATATTCTGGTGTCTAGTACCTTTAATTTGAATATTGCTCATTCTTTATGAATTGTCCTGTGTACGTATGTCAAATATGCTGACTTTTTCAGAAATGCCGACCTACTTTGCAGAAATCCTAACTTAATTCTAAATTACGTCAAGAAATTCCGACATGACTCTCAGAAATTCCGTCATGTTTCTCAGAAATTCTGACATGTCCCTCAGATATTGTGACTTGACTCTCAGAAATTCTGACTTGTTTCTCAGAAATTCCGACTTGTTTTTCTGAAATTCTGAATTACTTCAAGAGATTCCAAAATTTCTCTTAGAAAATCTGACTTGGCTATAAGAAATTCTGACTAGTTGTTCAAAAACCCTGAATTAGTAAATTCTGACTTGTCTCTTAGATATTCTGACTTGACTCTCAGAAATTCTGACCTTTATGTCGGAAATTCAGACTTTCAGAAATTCAGAAATTTCCTACAAAATAATCCAAAATACTCATATGATATAGACGGGCATTCCATTTAGAAATATCAAGGGGTCGTCTGGCACGAGTAAACGTGGCAACGGTGCAAGATGTAGAAAGAAAGAAAGCTACTTGTACTCACCATCGGATAAGGCGACTCCGTGGGCGAACTTGCAGTCATCGCCCTGAGCGCACTGCAACCCCGTGTGATAGAACTTGCAGGGGAACTCGCTGTGCATGTACGAGCAGTTCTCGCCCTTGGCGCAGCAATCCATCAGGTAAAACTTGCACAGTTCCAATTTCATCGGCGGACTCGCTTCGTGGGAATACGGGCAATCGCTCTGCAGAAGATAAATAATGCAAAAATAAGTAAATAATGATAAATAAAAATATCGTTTATTTTTTGACACCCGCGAAGGAGATAAGCATACAGATATAATCAAGGGAGACAGTATTACTTCCGTTTTAAAATGTTATTTTCAAATAATTTATTCAAATAATGAAAATGCATTTTTCCAACAAACTTCCGCAGACCGTTGTATTGCTATTTGCAAATCTTTTAGATTCTGAAGTTTCGCTTGACTGAAACTGGCTCGCATTTTACTCTGTACCTACTTATATAAATGCTTAAGGGGGGCGGAACTAAAGGAGGGGACATGAAAATTGTCACTAACTGATTCCCATATTGGTGAAAGATAATTTCGACGATATCTAAGCAGGTAAAGAATAAAATGAGAGCCAGTTTCAGTGAAGCTTTCAAGAAGCCAACAGAATGATTGGCGAATCCAGAACATTGTAAATAATAACAAAAACGTAACACAAGTTCAACATTCAAAAAACACTATAATTGTATTAATATTTATATTCGATTTTCTTTTAAAAGCAATCACAAGTAAGCCACTTTTCTTTTCCAATACGATGTTGATGTTGATTATTGGATTCTGAACGAAATAACGACAAATTATATATTTTTGAAACTGGAACACAAAGCACTTTCATTTGTTTTTTATTCATATGTTCAGAAGATAATAGAGAAAAAATCATACAACTTTTATACATAAAAATTTTACCTAGCCCTTCTAATAAACTCTGTATCAAAAACACTTAAGAGACAACAGTTATTTGGAATCATTTCTACCATTAAAATATTATATTGTGATTATATTGTACGTCATTTTCGTGAGCAAGCAACAATTTTCTTGTCTTAAATGGATAATTTTTCATTTATAGTAATATCCTATGCCCAAGTTCTGTCGTTTTTGACATATTTTGAATTTTATGTCAAAAGTGAGATTTAGCGGTCTAAATATATCAATCGATTTCTCCTTTCTTATTATATATTTAGGGTTGAGTTCTTTCAGTGCTCTGTGTTGATCAAACGTCACCTAACTTAGTCATTGTCTTATTGTTATAGTTATTTTAATAAAAAAAAATCCCAAGTATATAATACGTTTTTCTAAAAGAAAAGAAAAGAACTAAATAGTGCCGAAAATACTATTAGAAAATGAATAATAATTATTTGCATTGCATTCGGAAAAAAATGTATAAAAATCGGAGTTTTTTTTTTATAAAAATAGATATTTTTTTATAATAGTAACCAAATTTTATTATTTAAAATGGAGATGCGCCAATTTATTTAAAAAGTGTTCGAACGTCTCTACCACAAAAGATTTTTGAAGTTTAGCATTAACATTGGAAATTTTTGTGGAAACCTAGTTTTGAAATTGAAGATAATAATTTGAGTACGCCATTGGATTCTACGCAATAATACCATTAAGAGTGCGTTTTTTCCTCATCTCATCTCTGTAAAGATCAAGTAAAAAGTCCAAAGTCCAAAAGCAAAGCCAGGCTGGCAACATTTTGAAAGTTTTGAATACTTAATGTTGCTTTTACTTCTTTGGGAGCTGTCTGTCGGTGGCATTGATCCTGGTTAGTCTTCCTTGTTAACAAGTGTCTTGTGTCTGGGGTTTTTCGTGACTCTTGGAAACCAGCCGAAGTACCAAAGAACGAGTGTCCAAGTGTTATTAGTGATTCTTAATTACACTCTTCGGGTTTAGTAGAGCGTTCACAGTATGGATCAGTCCATTCATCTCTTAGATGTACTAAAATACTTTGGGATCAAAGTTTTTTTTAAAAATGTCTATCTCAGAAACGATGATTGTCAGTTTATACAGCTGACAGCTGAGACAAGAGAAGGTCATCTGAGAACACTAAAATACTTTGGGATCAAAGTTTTTTTTAAAAATGTCTATCTCAGAAACGATGATTGTCAGTTTATACAGCTGACAGCTGATACAAGAGAAGGTCATCTGAGAACCCATAGAAAACTCTAAGTTATGGGGATCGGCCATCCCAGCAAGCCCCTTATTTAGCCCCGCCCCCTTCAAACTGTATGTAGGCAGGTACATAGTAGAATTGTACGGATATAAATATTTCTTTGACATTTTCTTGATTTACCTTGATTCCTAGGTTCTTGTGGAACCATGGAAGAGTAAAACGAATATTGTAATATCTTGATTATTAATAAAGGCAGTTTATTATTATTACTCACCTTTTGACACTTGCCTTGCATGTAAAACACGCATACTCCCTGCGAGTCCTGCAATTGCACCTTCTGGCCCTGCTGTTGCGGCTGACCGAGGTCTTGTTGCTGCAGCTGTTGCTGCTGCCTCCTGTCGCGTTTATTCCTCTCTTTGTGCTCGCGTTTCCTCTTGTTCCGCGAGCTCTTCTTTTTCGCCTTCAGGCTGCCGCTGCAACGGAACAAGGATTCGTTTTAATCCACAGACGTCCAAACTAAAAGAGACTGCATCAGTGGTTCATAAAATTCCGTTGCCATGGTAGACTCCGGCACACGATAAATGGACATGACGCAATGGAGGTGATCAAAGAACCACACGAAGGTCAACTTTACATAATACTTTTCTTTCTATTTTTTTATTTTATTTATTTATTTTTTATTTTATTTATCTTTATTTTCAGACAATTCCACATACATATATATATATATATATATATATATATATATATATATATATATATATATATATATATATATATATATATATATATATAGGTTCCTAAAAAAAATTAATTTCAAATGTTTCTTTTTGAAATAAAAAAAATCCTCACCAAAGATGAGTGAGCCCTGTACTTTTTCATTTAATTAACATGGGAAAAATAATTTTTTTACTAAAAATTGTTTACAAAAATCCAATTTATATTGTTAAAGTTGAGTCTTTAAGCTTTCCAAAACCGTTTAACAAAAGATGATTATCATTAAAGAAAGATTAATTACAGCCACTTAAAAATTACTAAATTTTGAACTTTTCAGAAATAGTTTCTAATAATTTTTTGTCTACAGAATTTCTCAAAATTTTTATCCTAATTAATAGTCAGTGTTTTATTTCTATGAATTTCAAATTATAAAATGGTTGTCAGTACATAATGTAGGTGGCAGAACTAATTATAATAGATCATACGGTACAGTGGTCAAATTATCAGTGTCTGCAACACATATACTAAGAAATTATTGTGTATTATCATTCTTCAAAGCTCTCAGTAATTTCAATTATTAAAAGTAAAATGGCTGGAGTATGGAGTATAAGAAAAGTTTTACAATTATTTTTCTACAAGCATACAGATTCTAGTCTCACAATGCGACAGTGTTTTGATGAAGTGATTCGTGATGTTATGAATGTTCGGAAACCTACCCGTCTGTCAACCATACAATGGTATGAAATGAAAAAAAAAAAGAAAAAAAAGAAAACTCAGAAACAAAAAATTACGGAGCATACATTTAAAAATCGCCTTGAGAATTTGTTTGATATATCTAATCATAACTCAGCATATTCGTTAACAGAAGCTCAGTCTAAATATTTACAAGAAAAATGGAAAACGTCAAATCGACATAGTATTTTCTTAACTTCTGCAAACTTAGAAGTTTCGAAAGAGACTATTATTATATTATATTTTATTATTATTATTATTATTATTATTATTATTATTGCTATTATTTTTATTATGGTTATATCAATATTATTATTATTACGATTATTAGAAACTAGCAATGATTTGTGCTGCGACTAAAATGGTTTGTTAACTTTTCTTGATTAGATCATTTGGCAAAAGATACATTGCTTAATATGCCAAAGAGAGATTATATTTAAAGGCTTACCTGTCCTCTGGTCGTACGTGATCGTCAGTCGAGTATTCAGAATCGTAACTCTCCTCGGACTTAGAGGGGGACCTGGAAGGTTTGTCTTGGGGATTACCGATGGGGGGTAACCTCATTTCGGACCCGGGAGATCCGCCCCGCATGTTCAGCACTTCGTTTTCGTCGATCTCGGACCGAGGAGAGTCATTGTTCATGGTACGCCTTTGTTTCTTCACCGACCAACAAAATCATATTGGTTAGTTTTGGTCCATTTTGGTTAGTTAGTCAGTTAGTAGTCGTCTTTGTTTATTCATCAACAAACAAAATCATATTCGTTAGTTTTGGTAAGTGGTTTCTTTACCGATGAACAAGAATATCATATCATTATTATATTATATATAGCAAATACGTTTGCCTCATAGCTTAAACGGCATGGGCCCTATAAAATCAGAACCCTTTCCAATTTAAACACGGAAAGTTTTGCAAATAATCGACCAAACAGGTTTTTCATAAATCACACTGTATGTCACGACCTAAACGCAATTTGGCAACAGCGTAAACGATTGTTCAGCAGTAAACAACAAGTTTTTCCAATTTTTAAAATATATTGTTTTTTTTATTATCATCTGAATTTAAGTACTAAGAGTACCAAAGCTGGAAACATATTTTTTTTACAATTTAAACGATGTTAAAAGGCAAAATAAAATTTTGTTTTATTTTACTATTTTCAAATACATTTAAAATAAATTCATCATATTATTATCTCATGGGTAATTACTTTTGGTTAGTTTTTAAATAATTTTATTATAGTATATATTGAACAAACCAAAATTAATTGCCACTTGACTTTGACAAGCAATCAAAAATAAGTGAAAATATTAAATACTGGAAAAAATTCTATGCCCTTCGAAGGAATTGTAAAAAAAGTATTAAAGATAAAAAATCGTATAGTTTATTTATTCTTTTTCTAAAATTTATTTGACAGAAAACGCCACCTAGCGGTGGCGTGCTAAGCAATCTTAATCGGAACACTCGTAGCACGATTCATAGCCTATGAAAAACCATCTTTAATGATTCCAACGACTTGAAAAAAGGACTAGGAAGGATCTTGTTTTGTTTAAAAAAATATTTTAAAATAAATGAGCAAGGGAAAATTATTTTAGCGAATTTTCAGAAGGGCAGATAAGTTTCACTTGCGGACTCAGTTAATATGGTCTCAAAGCATTGAGGTTTTTTAAAATCAGTAATCAGAACGATAGAAAATATACTTGAAACTGTGTACAGCCTAAGTGTATAATATCAATGTTAGTATCTCGTTCAATAGACCAAATCTGTGTGACAGATACCTTAGTATATTTTCGTAATATATTTTTATAACTCTGAAAACGAAAAGAACCTTAGTAACACACAATTTTGAAATTTTCTGTTAAGGAAAAGATACAGTTTTTGTTTTGACGTTTAAATATGTGTTTCCTATTAATTTGTGGTAAATGTGGTGGAATACATACACTAATTTGCAAGGTACCAAAAAATTATTGTTTTTATTTTATCTTAAATAGTTACTTCAAAATGGCTTTTTAAAAAAAATCTGTACAAACTACGCCAGCTGGCGGTCATTTCACAAAGCTCGAAAACAATTTTCTCTTGACCGATTCATTTAATAATGTTTACTGTCCTTGGGACATCCGGTATAAGTGTAAAAGTTAACTATGGGGCGTATTAAAATACTGAATTAATTTTATACTTATTTGACAATAGATTAGAAATTGCCCTCAATATCTCCAAATGGGCTGTTTAAAAAAATACTTATATACATTAACGGATATTATATACAAGGTGTTTTGGGTCCATTTTAAGAAGAAAACTTGATATGAACATATATAAAAAATAAAATCAATTTTTTTGAATATCACTTTAGATATTTTAATGAAATTTGGCACAAGACGCGTTTAGTGTACGACAATTTTTTATCTACATCAGTAGCGCAGGTAAAAATAAAACCTTTTTCTCTGAATCGTCATAACAGCATCTAAATTTCATTAAAATATGTAACGTGATATTACAGATATTAAAAAATATAGATTTTATTTTTGAAAATCTTATCGCACTGTAACTCAAAAGCTAAGTCGGTTAGGATATATGTTAAAATTAGAAAATAAATAGAATATTTAAATAAATATAAAAAATTATCAAATCTACCTTGTGTTTGTCTCGGTCGTGATTTTTTTTCCTTTTCTTCCCCCTCTTCTCCACTTTGTCTTCTTCGCCACTCGGTGTGGCAGCGGCTTCCTTTTCCTTTTTATTCAAAATTGTCGCCAACGTTTTTTCAATGTGTTTTGCGAAATCGTCGTCAGCTAAAAAAAAACAAACGTAAAAAAGTACATAAATAAAACAAAAGCACCAACGATTATTCCAGATTTTTTCGAAATTTGTACGTAACTTATCTACGATATGTGCAGGGTGTCCGCGTAGTGTATCATAGTAATATATCTCGTTTACTTGTTCTAGATAAACAATGCTAAATACAAACATATACAGGGCGATTCATAACTACGTGGGAAACCAAAATTATATTTTTTTAAACTGTTTGTACAGGATGGGTCCAAATGAAAAACGTTCATTCTCGTGAAAAAAGTTCTATTAATTACTCCAATTAATGCTCTTTCAATTTTATTAACCACTCCCTCAACTTAGTATTTTTTGAGCAAAACTCCGACAAAATGTCTCAAAAATATGGCGTCTTATAATCTCCTATATACAGGGAGTCCCATAAATAGCATTTGAATAGTTTACTAAAAAATGAGACAAAATTTTCCCAAGAAAATAAGCATTTAATAAATATCTCAAATATCCCTCGACTCGTTTTGTTGACATTGTGGTGAAATACTCTATTATTATTAAGTAAATTAAAATTATAGAAAGTGAAGTGTCGTCATATTGACAAAAAATGTTATATAAATATAAGATTAAAATTTTTAAATCCAGTGGCGTTTCCGGGCACTGTTATTTCCAGAAACTAGGCACCCATTATAACATCAAAAATATACCTTAAAAGTGGCGGAAATATTTGAGGACTGGTTTGAAAATAAACGGTTGCCAAAAATATCGCCAAATACTGTTGTGTTGGATAATGCATAGTATCATACTTCTTCAAATAAAGAAGACATTAAAGAATTTCCGTACGAAAATGATTTATATTGGAAGAGAGCTACACGAGAAAACAACTTGTGGAATTATTAAAAATAAAACGTTTTAATAAAGACTACAAAATCGAGTCGACAGCACAACAAAACGGACATGAAATCATGAGATTACCCCTGTATCGTTATTTGGTATGAGTTGCAACAATGCACCAAAATTTAGTGATAGTACTATAAACGTAATTCGGTAAGAGGTAGCTAAAATGTCAGTACAAAGCTGGTCTAATTGTGAAAAACGAGAAATAAAAGAAAATGTTTATCGAAAACGATTAGTGGACTTTATTATTATTATATTTAATATTTCGTATATTAACAATGACACTACGTAGAAATGTAATGAAATAGAACGTAATGAATTGTTACTTCCTACTAATTTTTTATGGACATGTTTCAAGAATTGGTGGGCGAAAAAGATTGCAAACATACTTATATCTCGCTTGTTAGTGTAGGTAAATAAATTCCTAGGACGGTCCTGGAATGATTGCGGGTATTGTACGACCAAAAATATAGTGAATTTATTGCTTCGACTTTTTAAGTATTTTGCAGTACCTTCGCAGGACTGTGCTAAAACCCATCTCACCCGATGTTTATTCTGCATTAAGTAGGTCTTGCCTAAGATGAACCGTAACGAATATTTGTAGAAACTAAACTGCAATATGTTCCTTAGGGTGCTTCAAAAAAAATTTTTAGGTCCTGCACTCTCAAATGTTTCTTTTTGATATAAAAAAATCCTCACCAAAGATGAGCTCTGCAGGTAAACTCTAAGGGGTGGCTATTTTTATTTTAGTTTTCCATTTAATTAACATGGGAAAAATTCTTTTTTCACTAAAATTAAATTTACGTATAATGTTCGAGATTTTTTACAAAAAAACAATTTATATTGTTAAAGTTGAGTCTTTAAGCTTTCTAAAACCGTATAGCAAAGTATGATTATCATTAAAAGAAGATTAATTACAGCCATTTAAATATTACAAAATTTTGAACTTTTCAGAAATAGCTTCTAATAATTTTTTATCTACATAATTTCTCAAAATTTTTATCCTAATTAATAGTCAGTGTTTTATTTCAATGGATTTCAAATTTTAAAATGGTTGTCAGTACGTAGTGTAGGTGGCAGCACTAATTATATTAGATCATACGGTACAGTTGTCAAACTATCAGTGTCTCCAACACATATATTAAGAGATTATTGTGTATTGTGATTTTTTAAAGCTCTCAGTAATTTCAATTATTATCAGTAAAATGGCTGAAAAGAAAATTAATTTTGGTTGGTTTTTCATGTAGAAAATTAAGTAAACGAAAATTACCGAGTATAAGAAAATTTTACAATTATTTTTCTACAAGCATACAGATTCTAACCCCACAATTCGACAGTGTTTTGGTTTGGTATTCCCGTCTGTTAACGCCATTACTAAAATCATGAAAGTTTATCGAGAGTGGGAACTTTTGAAAAAAAGAAAACTCAGAAACAAAATATTAAGGAGCATACATTTAAAAATCGCCTTGAGAATTTCTTTGATATATCTAATCATAACTCAGCACATTCTTTAACAGAAGCTCAGTCTAAATATTTAAATGAAGAATGGAAAACGTCAAATCGACATAGTATTTTTTTAACATTTGCAAACTTAAGACCCTAATGAAGTCAGATTTAGGTGAATAACCAAACAACGATTACACAGGTACTTATAATATGATTGATTCTACAAATAAGTTCTGTATTCTACAAATTCTAATTTATAAATTTAACAACATGAATTGTTTTTTTTTGTAAAAAATCGCGAACATTATACGTAAATTTAATTTTAATATATTACGGAAGTATTTGAATGTGATCAGTAAGTACGTACTTATGTACCTGATTCCCGAGCTTTGACATTAAATAGTTGAAAGGGCAGTACCTGTACCCTATTTACATTACAGGTAACTTTGCAAATAATCATTCTTGTCTTGTGTGCATGTCAATTAACAACCTTCTTCTTCTTGTATTTTTGTGTCTTCTACATAGTTCTTCGATTTGTAAACAACAGTCTTTTTTAAGGCTATAGATTATATTCGCGGTCGATAAAGGTACATCATAAGAATACAGCTAAATATGTGTTAGAATCTTACAATGAAACATTTTTTGAAGGTTCCTGTTTTTTACCACTTTAAAATGTGGAGACCGTGGAATGAGGCAGATGTTCCGCTGTTAGAAGCAGACACGGAAAACAACGCATAATTTGAAGACGAAGTGGAGATGGTAGTCGAACCCAATGACAATTTAGAAGACGAACTACCTCAGCAAATAAAAAAACGGATCCATTTGCCTTCGGATGCTAAACACATTGTTTCGAATGTTTACAATTTTATAAGAAATTCAGAAGGGGAAATAGGAGCAGCAGAAATAGAACGTAATAAATTGTTACGATGTACTAATTTTTTATGTATAAGAATTGCTGTGCGAAAAAGATTGAAAACATACTTATATTCCGCTTGTTAGTGTAGGTAGATAAATTCCTAGGGTCAAAGTAGGCAAAGTTAATCGCGGGGTCGGTTGTAAAAGTACTATATTTCTGGTCGCAGTATACCTAGCTATGACGTACCCAAGATATCGTCCTTCCTGTGCGTCTTCTCCCACTTTTCGCGTTCGCGCATCATCTTCTCCCTTTTGCGCAGGTGCAAGATGCTCTTCTCCGCCTCCGTCATGTGTCTGTGGTGGCCTCCCTGCTTCTCCTCCCTCAATCTCTCCTTCTCCTCCCGTCTGGCCGCCCTTCTGGCCTCCTTGGCGTGTTTATCGGCGGGCGTGCCCTGGGGCACTACGTCCGTTGCCTGTTCCGCTTTTCTCGGGGATAATTCGGGATTCGAAGCAGTTGTGGGCGGTACCGCGGGAGTCACCTGATCGGCTTGATCGGGCGCGACCGCCCCGGGAATTTCTTCATCGTCGTCCTCAATTTCGCCATCTTCCAGATCCTCCTCCTCCGTTTTGGCAGGAAGAGTTTCATCCGCGGGACGATTGCTTACAATCAAAACAAAATTCCTCCGTTTAACGAAACGCGACCTCAACAGCTGATATATCAACGATCAGAGAAACTATCGATATCGCAAAAGTTTAGTTGAAAAAAATGGAAAGAATCACAAAATAAACATCGAATCCCGTTTTTTTCCTCCGCGTACGGAGATTTCCATCGAAAAATGTCAAATAAGGGATATTGTCATTATATTTGAATCGACATCGAAGCCGACCTTTAAAATCCGCGAAACATCAAACGAGCAACCGATTTGTTTTTAAATATCGAGCCTTTACGCACGCAATCTACGTAGGGGATGTTCCGGCTGATTAAAGCGACATGAGTTTCAAATCTCCCGCCTTCCATGCGCCTTTTTGTAGGCGCCCAACGGAGACTCGCAAAATCGATCGGTTCAAGGTCGAGCGAACGTCTGTTGCGATGCAACGCAGATGCGGGCCGATGACGTCAGCAATACTAATGGCTCCGTGTCGAATTTTTGTCAATTGCGGAGAAAGTGCAAATGTCATTAACGGCTCTGATGCAACCATATTCGACTACTGCTATTTCTACCCAACACCAGATATGTTCCGCATCGTACCGAAATTGTGCGTGTAAAATCGTACGAGACGTGGTTTATCGATACCGCGTTTCAAGGTCAGCTCAATGATAACGCGTCGCTCGATATATTTTCACGTTGCCTGTCGTCCCGATTTTGAAATCGCTAAATTACCGCTCGGATCGAGTTTCTCGGTATCTCTTATATACTTACAAAAAACTAAACGAGTTATTTCGACACGGCAGCCATTAATTTTGGAAGTCGTTTTGTCAGAATAATAAACACGAGCCCGCCTAACAAGTTTTCAAAAAAGAAATATGCTAACATTAAGTTGGAAAACCACAATAGCATTATCACCGTCAATCCTCTAGAATGATTTAATAAAATGACTTTTACCTTTCCGAATTGTTTACGAAATCGTTACGTGTGCGGATACAAACGTCATAGCGACGCATGTTCTCTTTGTGGTGTACGAAACAGGCGAAAACAGGGCTAAATCGCAATTTTCCGCAGCTAATTCGCGTGGAATATCCGTGTGCGAACATTTAGCCAAGTTTTCGCCAACGTTTCGGCCTGCAAGTGGAAAACCTATCGCGACAACGCCCAACGACTATCAAACGACGCCACGGCAATATGGCGGTCCCGTTTCGCTTTCGCGCGACTATAATTGGTTTCAACGTAATATTAACATATTTCTGGCCTCGGAAACGAAGTCCTGTGGCGATTGTTGGCGTGAAAAAATTAATGCAAACCTTTTTAAATCACATACGAGCGCCATTGCGACCTAAGTTATATTCACTAGGCAGGAATATGTTAATGATATGGCATGAAAAGTCACTCATTCACTGTTATCTGTCCTGAGCAGCTTGTGGGACAGATGTGTTAAAAATAAATTACTCATGTTTTCGTGTATTAACCGACTGTTCTCTTCGGCGATGAGACCACAAATGATTTTCTTTGGGAGGAATTCCGATTATCGAGCCCGTTGTCCTAGAAACCGACCAATCACGGCACGACTTTCACCGCTCTTCTGCAACCACCAATCAAAGGTCCGTGAACTTCCGTCGCCCAGATTTTACCTGGTGCTGCGTTTTGAATGGAGTTTGAATAAAAACGAAATAAAAACTTTGAACGAGTCGGATATTACACGCACAGATGTGGGATTCGAATAAAACCAATGCGTCGACGTTTCATGGAAGCCTGCAACATGACTTCCATGAAACGTCCCATTGATTTCAACGAAAATATTAAGATTGGTGTTTTTTTTCGTGTTTTTGGCTTTGCTGATATTTTTTTTTTTACGGCTGAAAACCAAATAAGTTGTTTAAAACCGTATGAAGTTGACGCTTGTGGTACCATCTTTGGACCGCTGGCGGTTCCATTCATATGCATGTTCACGTGGGAGTTCTAGAATTCCTTTTCTATTTAGTTAAGTCGATACACAAAACAATATTTGAATTTACCGCGTGTTCAACATCTTTCTTGTTGCATTTCAAATCACGTAAACATTCTTAAAAACTCTAAAGGTAATTTAAAAAGTATAGACGCGACGAATGTGGCGACATCTCTGTATTTGTATCCAAATTACCAGTTGACTCCAAAATAATAAATCGGAAATCTGTGTCTTATGTTTATGTGGTCTGTGGCTACGTTAAGGTCCACATGATTATATATTTAACCAATATGGAATAAACTACAAATGTAAAGACATCTATCGGTGTATGGTATAAACGATTAAATTTTTGTCAAAAGTAAATTAAGTAATTTTGTGTAACCAGCAAAGAATTTCTAAAAATTGGTGCTCCATTTACGCATAGATAATAAAATGTTTAGTCTTCATAACTAGGCGATAATGTAATCTGTTTTATTATTAATAAATTATTTAGTTTATTGCTGCGTATGGACCGAAAACAATACTCCAAAAATTCATACGAACTTCACGTTCCGTGTTTACCCGCCAAATTCAAGCGATAAGTGCCCACAAACCCGGGAATTCCTTCTTTCACGTAAAATAGTAAACAGGTTTTGCATGTAGTCGTTCGTTTTCTTTTGTTTCCAGCCAGCGGATTTAAGGTCTATGTTCTGGTGGAGTTAGTTTAATGCACGGGTATTTTTCATTCGAGGTAAGTTTTGCTGATGTCTTTAGAATCTCGCTATCGAATTAAAATCATAAAACTACATATTGTTAATTAGCATTGTAAATTATTCCAACATAATGACGCTTTCGTGTGGTTTCTCATAATTATAATTTTTAAATATTAAATATCAATAGGTTCTGTGGTATTTTTTACATTACGCAAGTACGATGGAATTTTACATTGCATTTCTGGCGTTGTCTTACAAACTTTATTGTTTAATATAATGGCGTTCTAGAATGTTTATCCAGTTCGTCATTCCATTGGTTGTGGTTGTAAAAGTTGTTTCAAGTCAAGGGAGCTCTCCCTGTCCGGAAACATTTATTTACGAACCTAGGAACTCAAAGGAGCTAGATAGATGGTACGGAGTGGTTTCTTTGAGAACCGATGACGATTTGGAAGGAGTTTATCTTAAAATTCAACTGGACCGTCCCGCAGATCTGTTGGGAGTAGGTAACCAGAAATGTACCTATCATATTAATTTGCCTAGTACGGACAAATTTTTAGAACTGGTTCGGCGACGTAATCTCCCAGGACAATGTTCAATTTTCCATTAACAATGCCAAATACAAATTGGAGGCCGGCCCACCGGTATCCGTAAGATTCTTTGTAAAATACAATGCCGCCAGTATTGTACCGACCGTAAAGAAAATCTTATTGAACGGTAGAAGCATATGTTCCACTACAGTCAGTCCGGACAGGCGGACGCCAATCCCACCCACTCTTCACATAAGTAAACCGGCAACTAGCCCGGGGAATTTTAGCAACATGAACAAAAAGCCCGGCAAAGGAAACGGCAATACCATTGACCACAATGGGAATACGAGGCTTCCAGGTCAGACCAATATAAGGTAAACTAATAATCATAAATTTACAATATACATAAAGACTTTATCTGTAGGTCAAATTATGTGTGTTATATCAAAGTGACTTTGGTTGAGGTGTTTTCCACAGGGTTCTATCCTTGTATCACTAATTTTTACGGGTTTTACGTCTGACTAACTATCATATGTATAGGATGACCTGCAAATTTATCGGCAGCCAGAACCACTAATTGTATAAATGTAGACCAGCAAAAATTCTCTTGCTTATTTTCAAAAATTGTTATTGACCTGATCTCATTTAATATTTGCGCTAGATAATATTAATATTTTATAATGAAGTCAAGAAGTATTTTTTTTCAGATACATGTAAATAGGTTATGTCCAAAATTATCTTCAATGTTAAAAAATAGCTTTCAGAAAGTTTGGTTAGTTTTTGATATGTGGTACTCTTCTTCAAATTTTAATAACGCATATGAGGCAAAATGCACATGCATAGAATCTTAAAATCAAAAGAATCCAGATGCTGAACCGAATTTATGTTTTAAGAAAGAAAAACACGAGTGGGGAAGTTGTTAGTGTTTGCCCGATATCAAAAATTATTGTATTTCGATTTACTTTTGCGTTATTACGGGGCGCCCTCTACTGTAACACTGTACAACTAGCTTGGCCTGTTTTCTTTACATTCAACGCAGTTTTCCACAGCTAGTGCCAGTAGAGTTCGTTAAAAATTCGACAGCACGGCCATTTTTTTATTTATTAGGAAATAATGTTGAAGCAACTATTCCGAATACTATTCCTGAAATAGAGCATCCAAATTTAATTTGGCAACAAGATGACGCTGATATCAGTAAATTTTCTATTGATTGAGCAAAATGTCTTGTGGTCAATAACGGGCAATTTAAAACAAATGGTATACAAAAATAAGCCAATAGAAGTGTTGGATGATAATAAATTCGGGATGAACTTAACCAAGTAAATGCGCCAATTATATATTAAAAATGGTGGAAAATTTAATACAAAATTATTAAATTAAAAGTTTTGTAAAATACAGGTCAAATGCTGTTACTGTTTTAAAAATAAAATAATCTATAGTTTTTATAGTATTTTAAATAATTAAGTGATTATAGACACAGCAATTTCAATTCAATTTCAAAATTAGATACACTTTTAGAATTACGTTTAATTGCTTTAATGTTAAATTCCAAACGGTGCATCGCATACTTATATTTATCGTTGGATTCGTCCTCTAAAGGGAAAATTAAAAAATATATGTTTTGTTTCATTTTAAAAAATTGAGAAAATTAACATTTTGCGTAAGTTAATATGCCACCTGACTCTAACCATTCTGACATAACCTGAGTGTTTGTATATATATCGTTGTTTCATTTTAACAAACGTTTTTCGACCACCCCATATGTAATGCAAAAAATTAAAGATAATTTTACTCGAAACAACTTTGGTATTCAGACTTTTTTTTATAACAACCGTACGTGCGTTCAATTTATCTTGATAACATTTTAGTTGGCTGCAACTTTTTTTTTTTAGAGATATCAAGGTAAACAAAAAAAACAAAATGTAGGGTTAGTAGCCAACTTTTTTTCCAAGTGAAGTATAAAACAAAACACAATCATTTTTCTGACATATAGGCCTACATAATATATTATTTAATGGAACACCCTGTATATTATATGTGTTTAATAAAATATCTTAGAGCCGCGACTCACTGCAACAACGATAATTATTTCCAAATTAAAGTAGAACAGAAACACTAAAAATGACAAGACGCACTAAAGTAAAAAATTCTTTAACTATTCTAAATACTGCTGCATTTGACCACCATTTTCCTGAACACACACATTGTATGATTTCTTGCATTTAGTAACGTTTCTGGATTGTCTCTTAACTGACTGATTGCTTCTGAAATCCTTTTCCGAAGTTCCACGACATTATTACAGGGAGTTCTGTGAACTTGATTTTTTTATGTCTCTCTAAAATTGTGTTGTTGCGTTGTGCAGTTTGGCGACGTGACCTGTTCTGTGGGTGACGGTATTGTCAATTTATTTGCAGACTATTTTTCGGAGATATCAACCCCTTACACTTGAACATTTCGATTTCATCTATTTACGAGAAACTGTCGACTCTAGACAAAAAGAAAGGATCTCGTCCCGATGGCCTCCCACCATATCTTATTAAGCAATGCAGCTTCATACTTTCCAAACCACTTTATATAATCTTTAACCATTCTTTAAAAACGGGGACTTTTCCAAATTACTGGAAATCAAGCTTCATTACCCCTATCTTAAAATCCGGCGATAACTCGCAAGTCAACAATTATAGGCCCATCAGTATCCTGAGTTGTATTCCTAAAGACTTCGAAAGTTTAGTCTGCGACTATTTGTCTGCTGGCCTTAAAGGTTGCTTCATCGACCAACAATTTGGATTTCTCCCCCATCGCTCCAAGGAGCTAAACTTGCTCACATGCACAGATTTTCTGTTGGAATTTTTTGGGGGGGTGGGGGGTCTCACGTTCATTCCATTTACACATACTTTTCAAAGGCTTTTGATCGAGTAAATCATCAAATCTTAATAAAAAAATTGCGAAACATTGGAATCCAGGGAAAACTTTTGGAATGGTTAACATCATACCTAACTGAAAGAGTGCAGATAGTGCGCGTCCAGAGCTTCCAATCCACCGAAATTAGAGTGCCTTCTGGTGTTCACAAGGATCGCACCTGGGACTCCTGGTCTTCAATGTCTATGATATTGCCTCATGTTTTCATCACGCATGTTTTCTATTATTTGCTGACGACTTAAAATTCTATATGAGAGTCCATAATGCTGATGACTGTATAAAAGTCCAGTCTGATTTAGTTCACCTATCGGTATGGAGCGATTTGAATGGAATGGAACTAAATATTAATAAATCCCCATACATTTTAAGTATAACATAAAATGGCCTCCATAATAAGGGATCTTGGAGTGTTACTCGATTTTAAGTTGACTTACCCACAACATGTTTAATTCATTGTGTCTAAATCACTTCAGATCTTGGGCTTTATTAAGCGTTGTATAGTGGACTTCTAGAGTGTTACATCTCTCAGATTACTGTTCTGCTCCCTCGTGCGTCCCCCTGGATTATTGTTCCTATATATATAACGTCCACATGTAGGCCATAGAAAGAGTGCAGCATAGGTTCCTGCGGGATATAGTATTTAAGGAGCACCAAGGACTTGAGGACGTTGATCACTCTGAATTGAAAAACTCGCTCCAACTTACAACTCCAGATTCATCGCATGCAGAGGGATCTCACCATTTTTTATAATCTACTGCATTCAAATTCCCATGGACCTCAGCTGTTATGTAAGATTGGGCTTCGCGTTCCCATCGTACTAACTGTGGACAGAGTTCTTTTTTTACTAGGTCAGCTGTACTAGCGAATCGTTTTTCTGACCAACTTGATTGCTTCCAGAGTGCAAGAATATTTAAGAAAGAACTTAAAGACTGTCGGTAAAACTATTCCGCTTTTCCTCGCAATAGTTTTGTATACCATTGTGTTGGTGACTCGTTACTCTTATAAGTGTCCTTACTGTCATGGCAACTAACTATACGAATATTTAATATTTTCTAAAACCAATGTTTGTCATATTAAGGTAATCTGTATATTTCATTCTGTTTTAATGTTGTTTTATTTTATTTTGTTGTTTACTATTTTGTTTATGTGAATCCTATTTTATATTGGGCGGTTGGCCCGTTGATAAATGAATAAAAAAATATTCCATGTTTCCAATTTTTGACTTGCACAACATTGTGAAGGGCACCTTGGTGCTGCTATATAATCAGCGCTGATATATTTAGATGTAAATCCTCTATATATTGTTCTACCTCGAGTTAACTTTTGATCTATAAATATTGGACTCAAAATATGCCCATCTATGACAGCATACCATGCATTAATTGATTGGTACTCCTGGGTTTTTATTAAAACCCTTTCTTCTAGTGAACGAACTTTCATCAGTCCATAATATGTGTTTCAAAAAATTATTATGTATTTCAAAAATCCATTGACATTTGACGTTGTTCTGCACTTAGTTTTCGAGTTTTACGAAATTTAAATGTATTATATTTATATTCTTTCAAAGTTTTACGAAATTTAAAAGTATTATATTTATATTTTTTTAATACTGAATGGATTGATACCTGTCTCTGCATATACTCCAGTAATAGAGGGATAGAGGGAACTGGATGTGCTTCATTTTCCTCGTTTAAAATATTATGATTCGGGCATACACTTTTACCATTTAATACGTTAAAATATTCTATTAAACGCATATATAATATTCAAGGTGTTATTTAAAAGAATATGATGTAGGCTTCTATGTCAGAAAATTGATGGTATTTTTTTTATACGCCACTTGGAAATAAACTTGCATACTAATGCTACTTAAATGTTCAAAATTCGGGAAAGCGTTTTTAAAAACATTTATTACAAAAAAAGCGAAATAAAGTTTTATTCGGACTAGCCGATACAAAGGCTGGAATAATTAAGAGCGTATTTGCGACAATCGAATATATTCCAATTTAAAGCATGCTATAAGTGAACTTTCGATTGCAGGGATGAATTAGAGAGACCCACTTTTCACGAAGTCCAGTGAGTAAAGGTTACAAGTCATTCGGACCCCTAAAGAAATACTGATTTTTTTAGGAAACCTAATCGGGGGACCAACATTGACTCCGGACACAGCCAGAGGTCTGTGGCCGTTAATTTTTCGCCAGTCTAATCAGTTTAGATTTTTCAGGCCTACCAACAACGTACTCAACATCGAGTTCCATTCGGACGAAGACGGAGAAGACGACTTCTTCTCGGGCGACCTCACCAACGTAGTTAACCGACCCGCTTTGAATCGCCCCAATATTTTGCAAACGCCCAAACGTCCTGGATGTGGTATCGTGAACCAAAGAGCCAACGCGTTGGTCAGCCACGGGCAAAACACGTCGCCAGGTACAAAAGGTGCATTTCTTAAGCATGGACGAGACCTCTGGCGGAAAAAAATATTACTGCAGTTTGGAAGTAAAATTGGAAGGAGTTGAGGTTTATTGTTTGCCTTGTCTTTATTTTATTCTTCACAGACGTCCAACCAAAAGTCATTCATAAAATGGACATTTAGGTCGGGAGTGTTGCCTAGAAATGGTTGGTTTCGGCAAAATTAATAAAAACAGTAAAACTATCTAGTTACCAAGCATTGTTTCAACACACTTAGATAAATATATAGACAAGCAAAAGAGAAAATGATAAAGATGCAAACTATTTCACAGTGAAGACTATTCAATATGGCCCAGTAAAGAACCATCAATTAACCAACAAGTAAAAACCTACCACCTACCTACTGACCAATTAAGTAAACCCAGCGCTACAATTGAAAAAATGTTCTTGTTTACAACTTTACAACCAATGAAGGAAGATATTGATGATGGAAAACCTTTGAAATAAAGATTGATTTGAGAGATATTGTATGCAGAGAGTCGTTTGATGATAGAATGATAGAAATCCTAAAAAACGTAGGACTGAATTTAAATGATGTCATCAACACAACTGAGGAAGTGAAGATAGTGATGGGTATAGGACAGGGCTACATACTTTCTCCGTTATTATTTAATATTTATTCAGAATTCATATCCAGAGAAGCCTTAGAACACACACGACTCAGGAATATCCTGGAATGGAGAAAGAGTAAAGAATATGAATGAATAATGAAACCTGGGTCCTTGATTGCTGACTGGAGTAAGTTTAAATTTCCGTCAACATACACCCTAAGCTCTGCAAGCAAAATAGAAAAAAAAAGTGGGTTTAGATTGTTACCCTGAGAGGCACCACTGATGGTGGTAAATTTAAAAGACTTGAAGAAATTATGCTTAACAAATAGTGAACGCTATGATAAGTATGACCTGACACCCAATCAGGTCATCTTGATGGCAGAGAGAGTAGCTATGTCATTCTGTAGAACTTGGAAGTCATCTAGTGTACTTATTGCCTCATATATTTTCAAGAAGAAAAATCTGACTTAATAAAAATAGAAACAAAAGATTGTTACCCTGTGAGTTAGCACAATGACTTGAAGTTTAAATCAAACAAATACTGAATGCTCGGATAAGTATGACCTGAGAAACCAAACCCAATTTTTTTCTTGAGTTTTAGCTGGCACTACCGATGACTATAAAAGACCCAGAAGGAAGGCTGGAAGTAGTCTTCAAAAGTGTAAATATTCTTTAAAGAAACTCACGAGTTATTGTATTACTATTTAAGACTCTTCTGGATTACTTCTGCATCGATTGTAAATAAATCAAACTTGCTGATGTTTCATCTCAAATTTTCAGTGCTTGCTTAGTGTCCTCTGACTCGAGGTTAAGATTGTTTGGTCGCTTTGTGGACATCAAATTTTATTCGATAAAACTAAAATTTTTGCATGTAACCAATTCTACCGAACAAATATCCGAGAATCAGGTTGCTTCACCAATGTCATCAGAGATAAACTCAGCAAAAACCGATGCAGGAGGAATCCAGAAGTTTTGTAAAAAGTAAAAGAACCCGTAGTATAGAAAAATAAAATATAAAGGAAAGAAAAAGAAAGTAAGTAATTTTTGTTTGATAATCACAAAACTGTAATGACGATGATGGATGTGGACCTAAAATAGCACCCTTGAGGTACTCCCTTGGACACAATTATTACATTTGAGACACCTCACTGAATCCTATACGGGCCCTGTGTTTCTTGTAAAACTTTTCAAAATTATTGGTCTACGGCCGTTTGATATCGTAAAATTCTAGGGCAATGGCCCTGGCACGCAGCACTGTACCACTCCAAAGGCATCCAGCTGCTATACACATGCGGCGGCACTTTAATATCCGACAGGTATATCGTGACGGCCGCCCACTGCGTCACCAAACCTCAGACGAACCAGCCTGTCAACAAAAAGTACCTGTTGGTGTATCTCGGTGCGTAAAATTAACACTTCACTAAGCCTCCATTTACATTGATTTAGTATTAACGAATCATTAACATTAAGGTAGTATTTAGTAAATCAATCTCCTTATTATATAGCAGTAAATAATGGTTGCTCATTTTCTACATTAAAATAATCACACAGGTGTAGGTAGGACCTTTAAACATACAAATTAAAATTAACTTGTAACATCTTCCAGAAAGATACTATAAGTCTAACTCTAGACACTAAGGCATACTTTCAGTGTACCTGTTACTCTCTAGACCCTTGACAATCGTTATAGGTACAATACTAAGTTTCACAGTTAGATATTGATTTCAAACTTTTTCACACTAGCAAACTTTTCAAAGATGATGGTTTAGTGGGGTTGCATGTCCATCTGGATTCACGGATCCACCTTTAAGTCGAGTTAGTGAACTTTTGTCGCCTAGTAAGGACAACTTGTGAATGTTTTATCAATCGTTCTGTTGGCTTCTTCAGAGTAGAACCGAAGCTGACTGTACTCTGTATCTGCTTACATATCGTTTGAGGAGGCGGAGCTAAATGAGGGGCTTGAACGTGGTCTGGAATAATTGGCGAATCGCGGTTAAGATTGTTTGTTTTTTCTCCTAATCCGGTTCTCAGCACTCGCGAGACAATTGACAATCATCGTAGGCACAATATTGAGTTTCACAGTTAGATTTTGATTAGGAAACTTTTCAAAGTTCATGGTTTAGATCCACCCTTAAGGCGACTTAGCGAACTTTTGTCGCCAGGTAAGCATAACTTGTTGACGTTCGGGCCGGAGGTGCAAGATCGCGCCATCGAGAACATCCACGTCCATCCGCGCTACAACTACAGCGTCTACTTTAACGACATCGCCCTGCTGGAGCTGGTGACCGCGGTGGAGCTGACGGATTTCGTGCGGCCTTGCTGCCTGTGGGAAGGGAATAGCGATCTGGAAATTCTGGCCGATCGCCTGGGCTCCGTCATCGGTTGGGGTTTCGACGAAAATCGGCAGCTATCACGCCAGCTGATGCAGGCCCAGATGCCAGTCGTGTCCACCGTGAAATGTATCTACTCGAATCGCGAGTTTTTCTCGCAGTTCACATTCGAAAACAACTACTGCGCTGGGTTCCGAAACGGTAAGTCGCCTATCGCGAACGGTTCTCGTCATTGTCGAAATTATTTCGAGAAATACTGACTTTCACTTCAATATTGACAAAAATTAGTATTTCTCTAAAGGTGGACAAGGATTGATTGTCAAAAAAAAACGTTTTTACCAATACCACAACTTACCAAATGAACTCACCAAAACTGGTAAGTTTTCGCTTGATAACGGCTAGTAGTTAAAAAAGTTTTTAGACAATGGAAGTTCCAAACTCTAGTATTGGTGTTTATTTTATTGTTTATTTCTATTTTACTTAGAGGAAACAGGTTAAAATAGAATACGTCTGCTACGTAACGCACGCGGTAACGAAGGGCTTTTTATTTGACATCGTTTCCTTAGATCATGTGATCCAAAAGTACAGCATAGTATAAAACTAAAATCTAAAGTCATCACCGTATATAGGATTGATACAATTTGATCATGTGACAATTGGCCAAAAATTAATATGAAATAACAATGAAACTAACATTTGGCAACGTGGCATTTTCGTTAATGGATTGGCTTTTACTTTGAACAACCTGTGAATCGGTTCACATATAAGAAAGCAGTAAATTATACTTCGGCCAGAAATATGGTGCTTTTACAAACGACCCCGTGATTAACTTTGCCTACTGTTTATTACTCCTAGCCGAACAGACCCTTATCCTAGTAATTTATCTACCTACCCTAACAAGCGGGATGTAAGTATGTTTTCAATCTTAGTACGAAGTAACAAAACAAAATTAGCATAGAGTAACAATTTATTAAGTTCTACGTCACTTGTTTTTATTGCTGCTCCTACTTCCCCATCTGAATTTCTTATAAAATTGTAAACATTCAAAACTATTTGTTTAGCATCCGAATCCGTTTTTTATTTACTGAGGTAGTTTCCTCTTTTAAATTGTCAAAAGGTTCGACTACCTTCTCCACTTCGTCTTCAAATTATGCGTTGTTTTCCATGTCTTCTTCTAACAGGGGAACATCTGCTTCATTCCGCAGTCTCCACATTTTAAAGTCTTAAAAAACAGGAACCTTCAAAAAATGTTTAATTGTAAGATTCTAATAAATATGTACCTGTATTCTTAAGACGTACCTGTATCTACCGCGAATATGTAGATGACACAAAAATATAAGAAGAATTTTTTTAATCGACAGGCAAACGAGACAAAAATGATTATTTTCAAACTTACCTATAAGATGAACAGAATTCAGGTACTTACCTTTGCCCTTCGAACTATCCAGTGAAAAGATCATCACAGGGTCAAAGCTCGTGAATCAGCTACATAAATACCTCCCTAATATATACGAACATATTTCAATTTAGATTAAACTGTTAAGAACGATACATACCACCTGATGTTAAAATACACGCTTCTACTTATTCGAAAATAAAATAAAAATTTCTAGTTTATACAAATATTCGTTACGGTCCATCTCAGACAAAGCCTACTTAATCCAGAATAAACATCTGTCAAAGCAATAAATGCACTATATTTTTGGTCGTACAATAATTTAATATTCATTTCCCGAATATTGCGACCTAATTGCATTCCGTTTAAATATCCTTCCACTTCGGCCAAATTTCCATCATCTTCTGCTTGGTCATCGTAATCTTCGAAAAATGTAATATTGTATACTCTTTTTATAAAGCAAAAGCAAAATGAAAATATGAAATCCGTTTTCTGCAAAAAAATTTTATACTTAGATTGAACTATGTTTTAAATCTACTAATAGATGGCGTTTTCTAATGTAATAGCAAAAAACATTTTTTTCAACATTACGATAAAAAATCTATCGTTTTGTTCCAGTCTAAATCGTTTCAAAAATATCACAAACATGAAGTATAAACAGTAAATAAAAAAGAATATTTTTTAGTTGCTTAATCCGTTTAATTACAAAGTTACATTCTCCAAATATACACTTGCCGTAAAGTTCTACACCGCATTACACAGTCCGTTTCCTTTTCTGTCATTGAATGAAGCAGCACAATACTTTTAAAATAATAGTTGCATAACGTAAATTTAGAAAATGTAAAAGATTAACAAAAGAGATCCATCTTCGCGGTTGGACCAGCAATATCTGCCTCTGTGTCATGTCATTTTTTAGATGTTGCCAACTTAAAGTTTTAAATTTCATAATAACGATCGGATGGATCGGATGAGATTCTCCAGTGATTTAAACAAAAACGGAGAATTAGGGGGCTTAACTTAAAAATTGAATACTTATGTGTATGGCATTAGTAGTATAGTACATATCATATCAAAACCGTGTTGATGTTTTAAATTATACTTAAGCTTGGATATTTGTCAAATTTTCCAAAGAAGTGAAATTATAGGCACGTCTGTGTGTAACGGAGATTCTGGCGGGGGAATGGTCTTTCCAAGAACTGGAACCAGCGGTGCAGATACCGTATGGCAGCTGCGTGGCATCGTGTCTGTAGGAGTTGCCTTGCAATCGCAAGGAGTTTGTGATACGTCGCACTATATAATATTCACTGACGTCGCCAAGTACTTACCGTGGATTCGAGAGTTGATGACTGTCACTAATTGAGCGATACCTTCAGCCTTCTAGCTTAGGTTATAAACTTGTGATAATCATTTTTTATAATATTAATATAAACAAATTTTTGATTTTCTACTGGTCACTTTTATTTCATAGATAGTCTGACTCGCGACACTAGTGGGAATATACCCAACGGCCTTTTAAAATACGATTCATAAGGATTCTTCGTCCTGCCGGGGTCGACATTCTTTTCCGCCAGCCATGTCGCTTAATTCTCTTTGTCTCGGACGGTCTGGGGAAATGCACCCTAATTACAGACCGTGAAGGGATGCTGAATAAGTTTGCGCCGGTTAACACACCCGGGTTGCTGTTTGGCACTAACGAGTGAAAATTTGAGGCCCCCAGTGCCAACGGTTGCCTAAAAAATGATTCATTAAAAGACCGTATTGGTTTGGGTATTGGTTGCTGACTTGCTTGAGTGTAATGCGTTTTGCAGCAACCGCAGGATTACAGACATCGTATTTTTGCAGATCTTATCATGGAATAATATAACTATAACCTCTATTGAATTATGAGCTACAAATTTGTTAGGCAAAAGTACTGGGATCATTCGCCCATTTCAGACACTTGTACTAATCCTCTCTTCTTCTTCACTTCTATAGCTACCGTAAACAGTCAAAGTTCAAGTTCAAGTATGCGTTTCACGAAAAATGTTGGGCTCGACTGCTAGGATCATTCGCCCATTGCCGACTTCCGTCGAGGATCTTCGCTTTTGGTCATTGACCAACACGTACAGAGAAGACATATAACCAATATTTGCTCGACTAGCAAAAAAACAAATTTGACCGATACCAAAAAAAACCGACACCCCCCGCTTCCGCCCCGGACCATCCGGGCCCATCCGGCCTCCATACCGGCGTGAACGGGGAAAAACGAAGGGATCGGCGACGATTATCAGTTTACAACGTTCACAAAACACTGACAACACTAAATCCACTCAGTGGAGACCGATTTCAAAATTTTTGGACGATTACAAAGGATTTTGTAGGGAACGAACGCAGGTTAAACCTACGCGTGCAATGTTCCACCACAGAATCCACCGTAAACAGTCCAGATACAGCGAGGCATATCTTCCCTTTTGAGGTTGACATTTTATTTACAACTTATAAGGTTCATTTTGCTTTGCAGAATTCTAAAAAGTTTTTCTTAAAATATAATATAAGTGGTACTGGTCTTCGCAGTGGACAATAAGCCAAAAAGAATTGACCATCGATTTATTTCCGGTAGCACAGTGTAATCAATGACGTCACCTAACAAAGGTGAAAAGAAGTTCTACACGTTATTTGTATTATTGGAGTCTTGATAAGTTCAAACAGTGCTATCAGTCGAATTCGAACCCATCTTGAAAAACTAGTGTGAAAAACGTTAGTCGACGGATGTCGGTAATAGGCGAGTGCCCCTCGTTGCTTGCCTCGACTGTTTGTAAATATAAAGTGTTCTGTTACACATGGCAACATAGCATGTTAACGTTCCTGCCGTAGAAACTTCTAGGATTTAGTCGTCTATCCTTAGTACTCAGCATATATTCATACGCGAGCGCCATGTCCTCAGGCAACGCACGATAACCGGCATTGTATTTATTTGAAGTCGTTACAGAATAAATCTTTAGTTTCTGAAATAACGTATTCATTTAACTGTCGCACGAACCCCCGACAAAACATAAAGAAGAAGAATGTTCTTCGCCTGTTGCCGGTTGGAACATTGCTATAGTTTGGAGTTGGTTAGAATTTAAAATATTTACATTGTCTACGACTTGAAAATGCTCTCTATAAAGTTATTTGTTAAATTATTCAATATTTTTCTGTGAATAATGGCTCAGAAGGTAAGCAGGCTTAATGGCGTGTTGTCGTAATATAGCATTTGACTTTAGTATCACCTGAAAGAAAGTAGTACGAGCTGGTCCAAATACGCAAAAACTTACGACCCGATAAAATGCGCGTCGATAGACGGAACGGACACAACCCCTCACGATAAAGCTGTCGAAAGGGCGTTACTTTCCGAATACAAACCAAACCGGCACGTTAAAGGAAACGCAGGATGTACTATATTTATCAGCAGATTGAATCATGAAACAACCAAAGACACCATCAAAAATATATTCTCAAAGTATGGTAAGCTAAAACGTTTTCGAATGGTGAAAGATATAGTGACTGGCTTGCCTAAGGGATATGCGTTTGTGGAATACGAAGAGGAAAGTTCTGCAGAGGACGCGTACAAGTTTACGAACAAAATGAACGTTGATGGAAGCATTATTTTTGTTGATTTCGAGTGTGAAAGACTGCTGAAGGGTTGGAGACCGAGGAGACTAGGCGGCGGGTTCGGTGGTAAAAAAGAGTCGGGGCAGTTAAGATTTGGAGGTCGAGATCGGCCATTTCGAAAACCGGTTGCCTTGGAGGTGAAGGAGGAAGAGGAGAAGAGGCGCAAGGAGAGAGGAAGGAAAAAAAAGCAGGACGAAGAAGAACATAACAGTCGACGGGCCGAAAGAAGTCGGGAACGGGATAGGAAACGTCGCTCGCCACCTTTGAAAAGGAGATGAAATGTTCATATGATAAACATATACAGTTTACCTAAAAGTTATGCTGTGAGTCATATTGAACAGTTAGGAATAACATTTCTGTGCTGTTAAAAATTCAAAGGAATTGCAAAATTTTCAGTTGATCTAGCTTCCAATATTTGGATTTTCTTGACAATTAAATATATTTTTTTTAACTAATTTGTATCCTACAAACCAAAGCTACGCAGGTTACGCTTTGCAACTGCAAATTGGTCATCCGCAACCATTCGGTCGCTTGTTTAAACTCTGCAACTTAAACAAGTCTATGTAACTTTTTTATTTGAAAGTGAAATTTGAAAAAACAGAACATGTCCTTTTTGCGAGTTACTAATACAAAATTAAAATATTCTAATGAAGCAACATATAGTTTTACATCTAGAAAAAAGAAATAAAATTAGGGCTAAGCAAGATGTTGACAAGTTTATATAAATTCATTAATATACATTGTGAACAAACATATAAATATCCTGTATACCTAAAAATATAAAATTTTAGAACTAAACAGCTTTTGTCTATTTTTGTATGGTGTTTGCACATTTTAACCTAAAGTATCCCATAATACATTTTCTTTCTTTGATAAAAACGCAATCTCAGTCTCTGCAATTCGGACATTACTATTGGTTCATTTCGTTAAGTTTTACGGAATTAGACAGGCGAGTGGAACGACCACAGAATTCTTCTTCTTCTTCTCAGTTTATAATTGGGTAAGTCAACTAAAGACATTTGCTCATTTCCGCCGAACAATTTTTCTTGTTCCTAATAGACCAAGACGTACACAAAAAGATTTAAAAATTGTTTATATAGGACTCCCCCTCGCAAACTTGTATATTTAATGTGGATGATATGAAGACTTAATTAGATCTGAGAGAAACCCGAGTTATGATCTCGATTCTACGCATACGCATTTCGAATGGAGTTTTTTTTATATTTGCACTAAATACACCTTTAGTGTTACAGATTTATACCTAACTTCTAGTTGTAACGACAATGTTTACGTGTTTGACTTTCGTACGGCAATCGACAATAAAAAACTTATCACCAAGATGTCTTCGGGGTAAGTAATTTATACTCTAATCTCATGACAAAATAATATAGCTATAAGATATTATTCAATAGCTATATGGTTTTATCATACAACAATCCAAGGCAAAAGTGACTTGGACGGAAGGATCTATAAGGAACACGTGTTTACCGTTGGAGTTATTGATTTTATAGTTTTTGCGTGAGTTTTACCTTTACATTTGCAACGTTTGTTTTATCGATAAGAGACAACTTATATACTCTCCTTATAAGATGAGATTTTAATATATACTGTTATATATGAAAAGACCAGAGGTTATAGAGCGAAGTTCCAACAGTATAACTTTCCTGTGGAAACAGTTTTTCTGTGAAAATGAAACGACTACACGAGTTATTAAGACACCATTCAAATTGCAAGTTTTAGATCATCTAAACGAATGGAAAACGATTTATTTGTGAGGAAATGCAGGGTTACTGTTACTCAGGACTCTGATATCCCCTTTTTAGTGGCTACGGAAGTCGATACAAAGTGGAACGTTTAGCACCGTGCGTTTGCTATAGTTTCAGAACAACTTGCGAAAGGCCGGAACGTTGGGTTTATTTTAAAGCTGCGACAGAAAATATCGGACCTTTCACATTGGCAATGCACATCGAACGTGCTGTAAGGTTAGGAAAAACATCGCTCATTAGAAAAATCGCGGCGGTCAAGTAAGGGAAATAATTTCATTACGTTTGAGTTAATATAGAAAAAAACTTAATCATGAAAGTTGTCAGGATTCATTTGTACAGGGTGATACATTATAAATAATTATACCTGTTTCTAGTTTGAATTTTCTCGACTAAATTATCAAGCCATGAATTCGGGAGCACCAAATTTTTATATAAACTTTCTCCCCACTTAGCTGGAAAATCAACAAATAGATTCTACATCTTCTTCTTTGCTTCTATGGCCAAGGGGATTACTTACTCCTATTGCGATCGTTTAAGGTGTCGACAGTATTGTTATTTAACTGTGATCATAACAATGTAGAAATAAAATTGATATTTATATACACTATATAAACATTACCAATAATTATTAGTGTATCTATACAACACATACTTAGACGCGGTTACATTGCAAATGCGGACACCATTCATTTATTCTGTTTCGATATTTACATTATTTATTTCAGTCCCAATTCCTTCTTTTATTATATTGTTTTCTTCCCTATTACAACAAATTTTATTTTTTAATTGACCCGATAAAATTCTAGACTGTTAACTGGCCATATCGTTGTTCCGGTGTCTTTTAACCCATTCTCTATATTTATTGTTGTTAATTTAGCAACATCATGTGGAAGCGCTCCATTATGTTGCCAAGTAATTTATCTATAAACTCTTCTACGTCTTGTGATGTAATCCTTATTGATTCCTGTCCGTATAAAAGATGAATCGTTCATGAAAATATGAAAATACCCACTGGTCTGTTATCATATATATACTTATGTTCTGTAGTGTTCTCCATCAGGTGCTGCATCGTCACGATTTAAAAAGATGCCGTTGGTTTTTCTTTAAAATCCTACAGATTTTTCTAAACCTATTTAAACAGTTGTCTAGTTCTTCAGCCTGGTTTGAAATAGTTTGAAATGTTTTTCTCCTTTTTAAGCGTGTGTTTCTCTGAAACACGTTTAAAAGCCTTTCTAGAAGGTATAAACGTGGATTTTTGTTATTTTTAATATATAGATTGAGGATTTCAATTTTTTTTTGTGAAACTTTTTTTATTTATTAAATTAAATTTTATTAAACTCTTATTTCTAAAATCGGTAAAAAGGTTAGGGGGTATTTTCAAGTAATAGCTTTCCTATTTCAAATGGAACACCCGTATATCGAGACATTCTAGGCGTAATATTTCACCTCTCACCATTTTCAGCTCGAAATATAACTAACGATTTCTCCAACTGAAATGGATCTACTTGATATTTTGAAAATAATTATTTGCAGGAAGTAAAAATTTAAATATAGAATAGAAATAAAAACTTTCAGTCTATTGAACAATTAAAAACCGTTACATTAGATGCAAATGATATTCTGGTTAGTTTAAAATTAAAAAATACACTTCAACACAACTTTCTAAAGAGAATGAGACCGAAAACAACCCCACTTTGTCACTGTTGTCATTCAAAACATCCCTGACCACATATCAAAAGTTCTTAAGGAATATAATGTTAAAACCATATTCACCAGTTGTCTAAAAATTTCTCAACACCATCAACGACAAAATTCCATTTGCGTCGCAGCACCACTCTTTTAGGCCGATACTACTGAATACGGAGAATAGAGAAAATAAAACACCCTTATTGGAAGCAATCGATGTCAACGACATTCAAATGGTTCAGTTGTTAATAAGTTTGGGAGCCAATATAAATAAGCCTTTGGAATACGGGAAAAGGACACCTTTAATGATCGCGGTTTTCAAAGGGCATCTCGACATTGCCTCACTTCTAATGGAAAAAGGTTGGTCTAACACCTATGCAATGTAATACCAACGCTGGCAGAAAGAATTCGGGCTTTTAATTGCTGCTATAATTTAACCGTTTCTGGGTGTAAGCAATCTGATAACATTGAACAGACCCCGATGAACCTGTAAAATGGATAATGGAAAAATATAACTATCCACTCGTACCAAACACCAACCTGGAAAAACATACCCTGCAGCAGAATGTAAATTGTAAACAACAAACAGCAATTTGTATTGTACTGTATTTGTATTGCCGCGTATCTTCAAAATACAAGATAACAATTACGCCCTGTTGGCCATTTCCGTACACTTAGTAATTTTTTATTCAAATTTGTAGGACTTAAATAGAGACAACTAAAATGCGCAACTATAAATTAATAACAGTAAATAATAAGTGGTTAAAAAATTCTCCAAAATCTATTTTTTATCTCCAAAATACCCCAGGAATGTTTGTTACATTTGTTATAAACAACTGGCATGTGGTTCGAGTGGATGTAAAACCTAAAATCCTGCTGAAATAATGGCAGGATATCCGTCATATTATAAGATGAGACTTTGAAGTAAACGATAAGGTCGGAACAGAATTGCTAAACAACTTTTCTTAACATTTGGCTCAATTTTTTGAAATAAGGGTACTTTACTCTTGTGCAAATTTTGCATTTTCTGTCCTAAGCTGTACGCTGTTTGACTTGACTGTACGATCATGGAACTTGCACCAACTTTTGACAATATACAGCCACATTTTACAGGTGCTAATATTTCCGCTGTCGATGTCAACGGGTTAAATCTATTGCATTACGCCGTTGATTCTAACGAATTAGCTAACGTCACCTTCGCACTCAATACCGATTTGGATGTCAACGATAAAGATTGCAGTGGTTGGACTCCTCTACTAAGAGCAGGTGTGTTAAGGCCAGGTTTGGCAGTTTCGTCGAACTTATTTTTTGCTTTATGTATTTCGTTACTTTATAATAATGCCTTGTAACAAGATTCGAGAATTAGTAGTAATTGGTCGGTGACTGTGATCCGTAGTGATCTTGTCCATACAGAGCTTTATCTATCTATTGCCTCTGGTACATGTGCGGTTGTTTCTTTCTCTTCTTCATAGATGTCTCTCCTACCCCTTTCTTCTCTAGCTTAGCAAGTCTTCTTGAATATTAAATTGAGACTTAAATAGTGAAGGTGCTGCCCAAGACACAGGAAAAAAAAGGTATGGATATCAGACCAGTACAGAAAGTAAGATAGCTTCGTAGTGGGAATGTGACGATCGCCCAAGTCAGCAATCTTCTACCGCGACCATGAGCAGAACGTACATGAATTCTGAGCAGGTCGTTAGGAAGAAGGAAATACTCTCAATAATGCTATATTAGAATGAGACGAAAGATGAGGAAACCAAAGATGACCAACTGGAAACTCTTAGTTTACTTACCTAATTTAGGAATTTCGGGTCACGCAGCACAATGAATTGCAAATAGTAGAACTTGCAACATCACGGACCAACCGAAACATATGTTGTCACGATGATTAAGCAGTAGGACCACTCTGTAGAAATGAAATGCTGTTCAGTAGAGGAAACCAAACTGAGATTGCTTAAACGCTGCGTCTGGTCTGTGCTCCTGTATGATGCTTTTGAAATGTTGATAGTGTTTCCAACAAAGTGTTTTAGAAATGCTTCAAAAAGCTGGACATAATTATAAAACGTAAATTCGAATATAGAGTCAGTTCAGTTTGCAGTCCAGGGAAAGATCTTAGGCAGAAGAGGTTCTGGTTGAAAAACCTGAGAAGTTGATGTTTACCAGACATTCAGAAGAAGAAGAAATGTACCTGTCCATTATTCTCCCTTGCACTTGCACTATCGCCATCACAAAATAAAATCCTTTTTCAATTTCTTTTCGCGGATCTTGGTGCTGTTAAAATTGCTTCAACCAAACCTTTCCATTTCTTATGAGATACCCTTTTATCGGTTTGTTTTATTATTACTTTATAGTCTTTGGGAAAAATTCGGTACATTTTACGACCAGATGGTATTTAACTTCCATTAAGAGCCTGAATTTGATTTCAGCAATACTCGGCTGCTCAGATGTTATTTTAAAGGTCTTACTCGAACACGGAGCAGATGTAAATGTCAATGACAAATTCGGATTAAACTATAAAAAACAACGTGCACTTCCGTAACAATGCCATTGTCAATAGCAACGCGAATTATTGGTAAGTTGTTTCTACTATCTATTCAAAGAGTCAGTTTCATTTATATTCTACGCTGTCTTAAGTCCCGACGATAAAGTTTATCTTTTAAAAGTTAACACGCACGGGATTAAAAAAAATTGAAATCCTGTACGTTCAGATGTAGATAAAGCTCCTTTACGATGCTCTCCAGTCCACAGATCCGAAAATATTGCAATAAGTGGTCCAGTTCTGATATCGAGGGTATTACAGGGTGAGGGAGGATTTTAGTTCTACAGGTTGGCTTGAACGTTTTAAAGTTTTTCTGGTGAAGCAAGAGATGTTAACAAACCAAATTGCTTTCGAAAAATCGTCACTGGGCGGGGCAAGTTCATAGCGCGAAACAGCTTTTTATTACAAAAGGAAAGAGCTTCGCGGTTTCGTGTGGTAAAGGGACGCATTGGACCACTATGAAACTTTCTCAAAATCGACGTAATTTAATTGTGCATGCACCCTGTATAAAATGTCCTTCACATCTCGTCGAACTTCAAAGTTACAGCAAACATCGGGAAATATTAAAATTTGCACAAATAATAGCGTTGTTGAATGATATTTTTTCAAATATCTCGCGCCCTGAATAATTGACGAAACCTGACACTCTCTCACGACACGGTTTACGATATTGTTCAAATAAAATTATTCTATTTTTAACAGTTTTTGATTTATCGCCAATAATTTAAACAGAGAGAAGCACATCGAGAATATGAAATTTGTATTGAGAAAAAATAAACAAACAAAAATAACGATTTTTTTACTCAAAGAATAATGTATGCCTTTTTGTTTTTCGTTTTTTATGCCTATATTAGTGTTTATTAGTTTTCTATTTTTATATAAAATAAGTATATGTACTTACCTACATATTTTTTTACAGCGTAGTTCTGCTTATAGAGTACTTATTTTCTGGTCTATTATACCCAATTAAATTATCCAACCAAACAACCATCACCGCGACTCACCAATAGACACGTCCCTCTTTTAGCTCCGCCCCTCTCAAACCATGCATAAGCAAGTAAAGAGTTCAATGATTTGCAAATTGCACAGAGTAAAGGGCGTCTGACAAAGTACTACTAACTAAATTTTAATGCCTAATGAATAATACTTATTTTGGCCGCCTATTGCTTTTAGAGCAACATCATTTTTTTAAACGAATTTACAAAACTCCAAACGACTTAAAGTCCAGTTGCACTTTGTAAAAGGTGACTTTTTTCGCTACTCCAAAAGTTGTTCATAATTGAAAACATTCTTTCTTCTTCTGTATTAGGTAGGACACAGTGCAAACGCAAGCATCAAACATATGTCATTACACCCCAATTGCTTTTTTGTACAATTATGAAAACATTGACACCATTAGCTCACCAATCTTTCCACTTTTCATTGGTTACAAATGCCTTAATTAAAGATATTTCGTCAAATACTTCATCTTCATTTACTAATGTTTCACTCGAAGTAATACCTATTTAAATGTATCCATCACATTTTTCCATCCGTGAATCAATACGTGAAAAAAAATTATATATATATATATATATATATATATATATATATATATATATATATATATATATATATATATATATATATATACATATATCGTAGAAGATGCCAAGTGAGACTTAGGCGAAACGTCTGCATATATATATATATATATATATATATATATATATATATATATATATATATATATATATATATATATACTGTACTGTAGAGCCTATTGGCTAGATTTATCATAAGATAAGGTCATAAAAATATTGCCTTTACTTTTTTCCCATTTGGCTTTAATTGTAATTTTTAAACCGACAGAAAATTATATATATAATATATATATATATATATATATATATATATATATATATATATATATATATATATATATATATATATATATATATATATATATATATATATATATATATATATATATATATATATATATATATATATATATATATATATATATATATATATATATATATATATATAATATATATATATATATATATATATATATATATATATATATATATATATATATATATATATATATAAGTATATATATATATATATATATATATATATATATATATATAATATATATATATATATATATATATATATATATATATATATATATATATATATATATATATATATATATATATATATATATATATATATATATATATATATATATATATATATATATATATATATATATATATATATATATATATATATATATATATATATATATATATATATATATATATATATATATATATATATATATATATATATATATATATATATATATATATATATATATATATATATATATATATATATATATATATATATATATATATATATATATAGATGACACTATACTCCGGGATATCATCCGTTCGCTCGTTGAACTCCGACTGGACTCGAAGTGTTCGAAGTGTTTTCGGAGCGCAAGCATTGAAGATGCCAAGTGAGATTTTGGCGAAACGTCTGCAGGATTCCAGTCGGAGTTCAACGAGCGAACGGATGATATCCCGGAGTATAGTGTCATCACATTTTTCCATCCGTGAATCAATACGTGAGAATATATATATATATATATATATATATATATATATATATATATATATATATATATATATATATATATATATAACCTAATACCAAATACCTAAAGTTCTTGGAGGTGGTTTATCAGTGTTGTAGAACGATTTCTGCAAAATGGAAATAGCATATTTTGCAGCAAACGGAAAAAAAAACAGTGTAGGTCTCAAACGATACGTCGATACAAAGTAAACCTTTTTTCAAATGTTACACCATGAGTGAAATTTAACTCGTAATTCACGTAGCATACGTTTTGAGCAAAAGAATAAAAAACGGAAACTTTTTGAAATGTTAAGTAGTTACACTAGTAAAGTTTTTAAATCGTTACAATTTTATTTGTATCAATAAAGATAGTGAATACGGCGCATCTAAGCGAACCAAAACAATAAAATTTGGTTAGTTCCTTTCCCAGATTTAGAAAACGAAAGAATTTACAGGGTGTCCCATTTGAAAAATCCAATAAACCGTGTTTCCAGAACTCTCGTACAAAATCTTATTTTTGAAACGTTCTATATGCTACGCAAGGGTCCAAATAGTTTAAAAATCTAGGGAATTATTTTTTCTTCTCTTACATCACCCTGTATAATTTCCCTTCACCAGATATTGCTAATAGGTCATAATTTGCTTAAAAACTTTTGTGTAGTGCGAGTATAATATTCGCATTTTTTTTGACTTGTAACAATTGCGATAATTTTTCTGTCATTTATTAGAAATCGACTTTAAAATTACAGAACTCGATGCGACAGCTAGGTTATAGATGGGGGAAATACTGTAATTTACCGTGCGATACCACAGAAAACAAAAGACCATCACTGGATGGCTTTGAAAAAAAAAAAAAACTTTACGGGTATTTAAATGGTATATTTCGTTAACGAACCAAAAAAAAAAAAACGCAGATTAATTTCGCATCAACTTTAACCGTAAGGGCAACCGTTGGCCCAGTGACCTCTGTCGCCGCATTTGAAGCATCTAAAAAAAAAAAAAAGAACATTCCAGCCGTCGTACATGCAAACGTACCTTCCATATCCACCAAAATAAGCTCCCGGTCTGCCATTGTACTCATATTCGTAATCCCTAGAAAGTGATAAAAGAAGAATTGTCCTAAAAAAGAGACGCGTATCAAGTAATTAACTAATTTCGGACACTTCACAGGCCGACCGGAACAACTCTGGCATAGTTAAGACACAGATGATCCCAGTACACAGCTCGGGTGCTCTTGGCTTGACTTAGCTCCGCCTTTAGGAAGAGAAAGTATCACCTTTTTTGTATTTTTGAAGATAGGTGGTTGCTCAGTCGGAAGGTGTTGTTTTTTTTTTTCTAATTTTTCGATTGAATTCGAATATTTAGACAGCGCGTTACCTTTCTGGAATGACGTCATTTTTGGTTATTTTCATTTTCTCAAAATTAAGTAATACATTATTTTAACACCAGACAGCAAAACAAAATTCAAATGTAAGATCACCATGTATATTGGCTTTTTTGATGAGATAAAATGTGACTGACAAATTCTAAAATAAGATTGAAGCAATAAAATGGAAAAACCGTTATAGAGTGTAAACTTTTTTTTACATATACTTTTGATCATTTGGAAAATATTTGTTATTTTATATTGTCTCTATGAATCATGTGTCTGTGTTTGTCTTCTAAAATTGTAATTAAAGATACCTGAGTGAAACAAAAATGATACAGTTTGAGACCCCTAACCTGGTTAGTTAGTTAGATCAAGAAGTTATGGGACATAATTCTGCCTATTTCTACTCATTCTTAATCAGCTTATATTCGCTGAAGCTAAAGTCAAATTTTGCTCATACCTACTTTAAACTGTGTTACTTAGGATTATTCATTACAAGGTTCTATACTTGCATCACAACTAGAGCAATTTTATGTTAACATGTTTTAGAAAAGTAAAAAAAACTTTTACTTAGACAATATTCAAAATTGAAATATTTTTATCAAATACACACTTTTCGAGACATGTTACGAGACTACCTAAATAATCAATTTCCTTATTGTTGGATTCATGATGGGACATCTTGACTGCCTAGGGGTCCAGATTTCGATACTATTGATTTTTGTGTTTCGAGGTATATGAAGACGCTAGTGGGCGAAAAAGTAGTTCATATTCATGGAAATCTTTTTGAACATTTATTGCCGAATAAAAATCTTTCTTACAATAGTTTTCGTATTTCATTTTAGTTTAAAATTAAATTTGTATTTTCATAAAATTGTTTTCAAGTTTTTTTTAGTCTCTTGCTGTAACCATCTCAAAATAAGTAATATTAAGAACGCTGTACTATCACATTAGCTTTATTATAAGCATTATCTATTTTTTTTTAAATTCAATATGTACTGAAAATTTCAACCAAAACTTTGTAAACATCTGTTAATGGCCATGCTGGTTTTTGAAAGAAGCGATGTCATTGGTTATAAACGAATTTGTAAATCTCGCGCGTGCGCACGTTGAATTGACCTCAAAATTTTTTCTTAGTTTTATTTTTTCTTCTTCTTCTCCCTTTTATTATTTATTATACCATCAACCAATTATACATTATATAAGTTGATGTCCTTATTTAGTTTTGTTGGCAAGCGACATTAAAAAATTGATATGAAATACAAAAAAACATTTATAAGACGAGACAATAAATGGCAAATCTAAAAAAAAATGTGAGTTCACAGCCTTTGCCATAAAGTAAGATACCTGTTTAGCCTTATACTTACAGGAATAATTTGATGTAACAAGTTCACAGTCTGTGTAATAAAATAAAGCAATTTAGAATAATGCAAAAAGAATTTCATCAATTAACAAAATTATGACATAGTTCGCAGCCTATGTAATAAAGATGAAAATGTAGTTTTTTTTTAATTTATGCCATAAAAAATAAAATTTTAAATATTTTTTACTGAAAACTGAAAACAAGGTGTAAAAATCTGCTTACGCTAAGGCGCGAAAAAGTTAGGAAGTATCAAATGCGCGAAAAGTATTATCTGCCTCGAAATTATTCACGAAAATTCATTTCTCATTTTAAAAAAGTCCGATTTGCCAAATTTTGTGCGAAAAGCTCGACTATTTCAGGGATTATTTAAAAAAATAAAAATGAACTTGAAACTTTGACACCTTGTATCTCGGTTGATATTAACTTTTGTACTAAGGTCTGTTTCAGTTAAATTTTGGGGACACCCTGTATATGGCGTACCATTATCATTTATATCTTTTACGTGAGCGTATATGCGTGTTCTACCTTCAAAAATATCGTAATTTTTTACTATTAGGTTTTGGTACGTATTATATCATCGATATCTACGATATATACTCTATCAATGACTCAGCCTGTGCGTCGGTGGGCGTTCCCGAGCTGTGTGTGTGTGTGTGTTTTTTTTTACGCAACATTTCGCTTACAAATCCTCGTAGTCGTCGTCGTAGTCGGAATCGCTTTCGCTGCCGCTCGATGACGATGACGAATCAGCTATGGTAATAATGGGCGGTGCTTCGGGAGTCGCCCTTTGCGCAGTACCATTTGCCTGGTTCCTGGCGCTCCTCCTCGCCGTACTGTTTTGGTTCGGCTTCGATTGTGCGGCCATCTGCTCTACGAGCAGTGCCCTTTCAGCCAATGATTTTCTCCTTTGTTCCTTGACCTCCACGCACGAATTCTCGACGAACTGAAACGAACTTTGCCGAGTGTTGTTCGATCGAACTTCCCGCCCGTTACCTTCTCTATAAAATTATCCAAAACCAACGTTCTGATGGAGAGGGTGATTTTTTTGCGGCATATCGGACATTCCGATTTCTTCTTTTTCCACATTCCGATGCAGTACTCGCAAAACGAATGCGAACAATCCAACGTAACCGCTTTTATAAACAAATTGGCGCATATCGAACACATCATCTCCTCTTCTACGTCATCAAGCTGATTCTGAAATGCATTCGATAGTGTAAACCAAAGGATTAGACCCGGAGGCAAATTGGCATTAGGATAATGGACATTCGTGAACAATGATTCGGTAGAAATGTTAAGAGGTTAGTAGGAGGATTTTAGGAAGAATATATCGAGCACTGCATAAATACAGACTCTATACTCCAGATAGTAATGGAACTTCCAAAAATCCACCAAGATAATGTATGAATCAGACCTATCACCAGTTCGAGGCAATCTACAGCCAGTAGCTTAAGTAAATTTCAGCTTCAAATAAGTGCAGATACTTCAGACAAGTTTGTTAGCTTTGACGTGGAAAGTTGTACGTTTGTTTTACGTATGAGATGATGGCATATTATGCTTCTGCTGCTGCTTGCTGACGTTTCGACAATTGTCCTGTTCGCTTCCTCAGAGCTTAAGTGAAACTGGCTCGCGTTCTACTCTGTACTTGACACTTTGCAACGCAAGCATGCAGACCGATCACACAGAAAGGACTGGACCAATATCATAGTATCATGTCAGATACATCTTGTGGACTATGAACTTTCGCTACTTTCCGAATTTTTTAGGCAATATAGGCAACTATTTAACTGAGGTGGCTTTTAATTGATGAAAACCCATTTAACAAAATAAATAAGAACTAAAAGTTCAGATTTTCACGAAATTATATATTTTTACATGGCAATTGTTTGGACAACACCGTGTCTTTATCAAATGCAATATTACCAAACAACCTGCTACTATATATACTGATAAATGAATGTGAGAATTTAAGTTCAATAAAGGAGAGGTATTTAAATCTAATTGATCGTTAAACAATACATTTGAATGTCTCATTTTGTTAGCTCCATGGCTTCCAATAAATTCAATTTTCTACTTTTTGTGGCTGTATGTAAAATATCAAAATTGTCGTCAAAAATGTGTTTTTCTGTGTTTAAGTGTGTAGTATAATTAGAATCTAGACTATTGTTTTCAAACGCTCTTTTATGTTCGTTAATGCGTTTCTTGAAGGATCTACCTGTTTGTCCAATTTAAATTTTGGCACAAGATCCGCATTTCAACCTGTAGACACCTGATTTCGTTTTATTGTTTTTTAAATATTTTCCTATTGTGTTGTTAGTTCTGAAAGCTATTTTTGAAACACATTTTGACAAATGACAAACAAACTTTTACTTAAAGGATGTTCTAATATGATATTTTCCTAATTATCAATAAAAATTTCGGCTAAAAAAGGATTAAGTGGGTTTCCCATAATCAAATCTTCCTTGGTAAATGTATCCATTAAATTCAAAATAATTTTGGTCTAAAGATACCATTAAGCAATCTAATAAATCTCGTTTCACCATTGGGTTAACCTGTTTCCGAGTTAGGATGAAACAGACTAAATCTATCACATCCATAGGTGGAATACTGGGAAATAAGTTTTGTACATCAAAAGACAATGGTGTTGCGTTAGAAAGGATTTTGATATATTTTTTTTTTGATTAATTTAATTAATGTTGAATAATTCAAAAGAATTTTTTATTGCAAATTTTGTTTAAAATCTGGGTGGAACTTTACAATATTTACTAATTTTGTTGAGAGTTTAACTGCTGGAGCTGTTACATAATACACGACTGGTCTAATGGGCATATCTTGTTTATGTAATTTCATAATTGTTAATAAATACTTGTCTCTGTCACTAAATAGTGTGGAGTTAGTAATTACTTTCTTGACTTGATACATTGGAAAAGTTCTGGTTTTATTGAGCTACAATAAGGTCGAAGCCAATGATAATTTGATGTGTTCATCAACTAACAACACCAAATGCATGTGGGATGTTATAAATAGAAATAGAGCAATCCATGCAAAAAAACCCTCATCAGATATCGTAACCTCTGAAAGGGTACTGCCACCAATATAGATCCCATTTCATATTCGGATAAAATTGAGCTATCCTCTCATTTTACGCTTACTGAACTTAGTTTTAATGAAGTTAGGGAAATCATAAATAGTCTCAAAAATAAAAATAGTCTATACGTATTTGGCATAAGCACTCGGTTAATAAAGTCTGTCAAGAATGAAATATTACGGCCTCTCAAACTTATAAATTTAAGTATTCAAGCCAACACTTGTCCAGACATTTTAAAAAAACCTCTAGTAATACCAGTATTTCAAACAGGTAACCCCGATGTTAAAAATTTCCACTTCAAATTGTTTCAAAAATTGTAGAAAAATATATAGCTATACAATTAGTTTAATATTTTGAAATTAACGGCATTTTTAATAATAATCAGTTTGGTTTTTGAAGAAATAACAGTTTCAGGCATTCTTAATTTAGTTTCAGATATTACAGCCTTCAATTGTGTCGATCATGGAATTCTTGTGCGCAAGTTAAAGGCTTACAATTTTTCAAATAGCAGTCTTAGTTTGATGCAATCTTACCTTAACAATAGATGCCAGGTGATAAAGTACTCTGGAGTGACATCAGCGAAGAGTGAGGTGAACATTGGAGTGCCCCAAGGCTAATTTTGGGCCCCATATTATTTTTAATATATATAAATGACCTTCCCCTTGTGGACCCTACATCTGTTTACACACTTTTTGCTGATGATACCACTGTGTCTGTTTCTGGGGATTTATAGGAGACACGTTGGAGAATTACAGGATCGCACAGGAAAAGGCTGAACACTGGTTTAGTGCAATTAAATTAGTTTTAAATAATAAAAAAACAGAGAGTGTGTTTTTCCATAAGAAATTTGTTGTGAATTTATGAACACACGGGTGTATTAAACTAAAATAACTTCATTAATAACGAATACACTGATCTTAAATTAACTCTCTCATGTTAGGTTAGGTTCTATTCTGCACCGTTTCCTCTTCTCTTCTTACAGTGGATTAATGACAAGTAATCACAACAAAATTTAAGTACAGTCAATTTTAATAAAACAAATACCAGAGGTCGGGACAATTTGGTTATTACCTATTGCCGTTTAGGGACGTGTCAGATTGGTCCGTTCATTTTTTTAATGCACTTCCAAATGCTGTTCGTAATTTATCATTTGAAATGTATAAACAAACAGGGAGACGATTTTTAATTAATCAGTATTTTTATTCTTTTGATGAATATTTTATTTTTATTTATTGTTTTTTTTTGATTTATTGTTTGACGTATGTAAATCATCTGTGATAGTAACATTAATAAAGTATTCATATTCGTATACTGTTTGAAAGGAGCGGAGCTCAAACGTTTGAGATATCAGCAGTTTATAGCAATCCAACAATATCAACTAGATTCGAAGAACATGAACTAAACAATCTTAGCTGCCACCAATATGGGAATGACGTATTCGAGACAATATTCACGCAATTCCTTTAGCTCTGCTCCCCTCAAGCAGTATATAAGCAGGTACAGAGTAAAATACGAGCCAGTTTCATTCAAGCTCTGAAGAAGCCAACAGGATAATTGGCGAAACGTCAGCAATTTCGACTCAGCAAAAACAGACGCAGGAGGAACCCGGAAGTTTTGTAAAAAGTAAATAAATAAATATAAAATAGAAAAATATGTATTAATATTTTATATTTATCTAATAGCAATAATACCGAAAGTAAAATGCAAAAGGAAGCTGGAAGTGCAGTCCCTAATTTCTTGGTTATTTATTTTTACAGGCATAGATCTAACCAAAACTTAAAGGCTCGACTGCTTGCCTAAAGTACAGGCTTGTTTGATACATAAACATTCATTTAAAAGCAGACCATTAGGGGATATTGCCCCACAAATATGGCAGAAAAATTATGTTGTAATTTTTTATATATTACTATTATTACTATCATGAAAACACACTTTTCATCAGACTATCATTCTTCTTAGTAAATTAAAGGAAAATAAATCTTTTTTTTATTTAGAAACTTTGGTCTCTTGCAATTTTTTCATAATTTATTTGATAAAAAAAATAGCGAACATCTTAAGGCGTCTTCTTATTGCTTTATTTGACATTGCGCAGTTAGTTTTACCACGAAATACGACTAATTTAATTTGTTAACTAACCATTCAAATGTTCAATATTAAAAATTTTGGTTAGAAAAATTGGCAGACAAATTACAGGAGAATTACATACCGATGCATCAAATGTATGCAGGATATTACAAGAACAAGATATATATTCACACCACATACAAAGGGCTCAATCTCTTTTACCCAGAGATTTTGAATCGCGGATGATTTTTTTGCAGTGGTTTGGTCATATGAATGATCTGTTTTTTTTTTGTTCAAAAATCTAGTTTCTCAAGAGACCCAGCTCAAAACTCAGTTTGCCATTAATGTTTGGTTAGGAATTATGTTGATGGAAAATTTTAAACATATATTAATGTTAAATATAATAGAGTACTACAGCTTTTATGAGGTTTGGATTGGAGATGTTGGACCATTTTGGTATTTTGTATAATTTCCTTGGTGAATCGTATAAATATGGCGGTTTGGCAACAATGTAAAGCTTAAAACTTCCCATCTACTCAATATGTAAACTGCAGGATTAGAGGTCTTTAAAGAAACCTGTAAGGAATCAATTTTTTCATTAATCAATACTCCAAAAAATCCTAAAATTATTTTGTGAAATATATGAAATCTTGTGGTTATTTTTAGGTGGAAATTTTCCCTTGTGTTGATTTATATTAAATTATGTATTTATGTTTATAACTTTAATTAAGTAATTTTCTTTACAGTGCAATCAAAGTCAGAAACAATTTTGAATCAATGTGAAGTGCAAATACTAACCAAGAAATCCTAATATCAGTTTGTGAAGCCTGTGAAATCTTATTGCTATTTTTAGGTGGGAATTTTCCTTTCGGTTGATTTATTGTGAGTGTCCTACGAAAAATTCTGACAGACCTAAATTCCAAGCATTTTCGAAATATTTTCTAACATATTATACAAATTAAAAATGTTAAAACTTATTTTTTAAAACCTTCGAGTTATTTGAAGGTATATTTATAACCGAACCCTACACTTTTACAGGAAAAGAAAATTGCAAACTTTACCTGATTCCTCTGGCATTTCTCAGGGTTTTTAGTGCTGGAATTGCTAGGACCAGCTTCTTGATAGCTGGTAAGGGTCGTTTCCACATCAACTTCATTTATCGGAGCAGGTACATTATTCTCACTTAACAAGTCGTCAAATACACTAGTCGAGCCCGAAGAGGTAGACGAATTATTCACCGTAACAGTGACAGTGGTGGTAGTGCTAGTGGTAGAACCGGAATTAGTTTTGTCAGTACTATTTTCCTGCCCTGCCGGTTCTAACTTGTCAAAAGTGAGTCGATCTTGCTTAGCATTGAAGTCTGGAGCTTTAGCTTGTTCTGGAGGTAGCTTAATTTTTATTACCTTCATATCATTCTGATTGGCAGTGTTTGAAGTTTTAACAGTAACCTTAACCCTTTTGTTTCTGTTCTTGGGACTCACGAGCGCCACAGAACATGAGGAATTTTCAAGAGGCTCTGCCACATTCGATTTCGTCATTTCAATACATTTTTTGCCAATGTTACCATCAGGGCACTGAACTTCAGGGGAACATTTATTCACCTCAAATTCTATTGTGTTCATTAAACCACTTCCTTTATTTGTACTTTCAGCAGTACTGTTCGAATTATTAGAGCCCGTACAGCAGTTTATTGCTTGCTAAAAACAATAAATTATCAACGTTATAACTCGATCAAGTAATTATACCACAGTGTCTGTTTTCTCAACTTCCTTTAAAATATTGTCAGCAAGGTTGCTTAGAAACTCATCACTAACGCCATTTTCATCAAAACTGCTAAGGGTGGATGTACCACTCAAGCTGTCAATGTTAGCATTGGACTCTGGTTTGGTATGAAACTGGTAAATAAGACCCATGTTTACAATATCATTATGCTGCAAAGGAATTGTCTCGCCTTTTAAGTGTTGCGAGTTAACTAAGGTACCATTCGTGCTCTACAAGTAGATAATGTAAACTGCATTGCTGTAAAACCGACATAAACAGAATATACCAGATCAGTTAGAGACCACCCTAATGCTGTTTTCGTCAGGGTACAATGTTTCCTGGATATTATCTTGTTTTGTATCACATAATCGCATTCCAAAGCTCGTCCGATGCAAAACTATCACGTAGCGTCAATTAGTGTGACACTCTCAAATCTTACCTTTAGAGCTTACGGGACTTTTGAGAACTTCAATTATTTCGCTGGATCGAACGTTTTTAAGCACTGGATGTTCCAAGTCAGCCATCTAGGATGACCACACTTCGAAATATCACAGACACTAACAAAATTTCGGCCGATAATCTTCAAAAATGTTTTCGCAAATTTAAACAGCATGGTCCATGAATAAAAACAAAACCCACAAACATTGAAAACTGACGTATCTCTGGCATAGAACAATGCGGCCAAAGAAAAATGTACTCCATTCGGCCATACCATAGTATACATAATAAAATATCTTTGTTATTAAATTTGACTAGTTTTGGTAATTTTCTGATATTTTCTATTTGTTGACATATCTATTTACCAGGTGAATCAAACAATTAAATAATCTTTTAAAATAATTAAGTCCATACCTACATAATGGATGATTAATGGAACTCTATTATAATTTAAAAATAAACTGGTATTTTTGCGATGTGTTATTAAAAGCGTCTTATAAGATGACGTTTTTAATATAAATCTGTTTTAAAAAAACGACCAGATGATGTTTACAAACGAACGGAAAAATCTGGCTATGGTCCGCTAACAGTTCAGATATTAATCCCACAGAGAATCTTTGGAGGCTAATTGTAAAAGAAATATATAAAAGAAATTTCACAATTCTAATGAATTGCGGATAGCTTTAAATAGAAAAAAATATATATACGTCAATATTAAATTGTAACTAAATATATCACAGTTATTGGTCTTTATTATTTGTTGCTGGTTACTTTGACTATAAAAATTTGTGTTGAAGTTATTGAACTAAGCAAAACTAATAAATTCTTTAGGTAGGCACTGCATTGCGATGAGCTTAAATAACTTTTAATACAGTAGACCATTTAATAAACTTAAAGTAAGAGAATTTTGTTGCATCGGGATTTTATTCGGTGGTCTGTGGTGTTTTACCACATTGTACGGTTTTGAGAGGTTTGAATATAAGACTTTAAGTAATCCTGTAATATAAGGCTTCCACAATAATGGAAAGTATGAATTAACGACATGAAAGATGCGTAGCGTTTGATCAGATCTTTTATTTTCTAGAAATAGAGGCCCTGTCTATGCCGAGAATACGGAAAATTTGAGAATTTCCATTCAAAACGCGCATGCGCGTGGTTTCAAATCTAACCAATGAGCTTGCGGTATTCGACAACCAACATGGCCGCTGACAGATCGTCTATAAGTTTGGATGCGGAATTTTTACGGCAGTGTGTTTCCAAAATATACCTAGATCTCGCTAAATGTTCTGGAATATCGCGTTATGTGTGGGTTGAAGAGTTTTTTTTTGTTTTTATCTAAACAAGCTTCAAACATTTTTCATATCGTTATTGTGAAATTCCCTCGATTGTCCAGTTTTAGTTAGTTTAAATTTATTAAATATTTGTTGAATTAAAATTGTGTTATTTAAAGTAATCGTAATCGAAAATAATTTCCAGATTATCTCTTTTTAATTTTTTAACCAATCAAAGCGTGTTTCTGTGACTGATCACTATGGTAACGGATGAACTATATTATTATCACGGCAAATTTGTTGACATTTACAATGATAGTCTGCATTTTATTTGTTTGGGTGATTATTTTTATAGCTTGAATTACAAAGCTTAGATGTTTTCTATATTGATTATGTATAACTTGGAATGAGATTAATCAAGTGGTTTTATGTAATAAAATATATACAATATTAAGAGATGATTTTATTCACCGTTTTTTCATTTAGCACTTCGAATTTTGAGTAGTTGAGAACAATTCGAAACAAATTTTCTCTCTTCAAGCGAGAGCCACAACCAACAAAAAACAACAAACAAGTTAGAACCTTGTGGCGCCCCAAAATTAACACACCCAGTATTACTTTTAGCTCACGATCCTCATTGTGCACGATCACTATCTTCAGTTCTGCGAAAATTGTGCAACCGGAATGAAATATGTATTCAACGTATCCGATGGTAAGACAAACATAAAACGGCCATACTTTGAATTGCGTAATTTCACTCGCGAGGTAAACTTGATCTAGGATCGCTTGCCCCCGTTTTTACTTATTTGGCCGAAAAATCTAAACACACTTCAGTAGTAACAAAAGTTCGTTGGTTAAACATTCTTACCACGTAAGTAACATTTGCACTATTTTTCTTTTATGGATGTACTTTTAAGGTAATTTTGCGATGGAGTTCTGTGGTCGTTTAGTATTTTTGTACTATTTTCCAATCAAGTTCCAACAAGTGACGTTTTGAGAAAACACTGCCCATTCAAACTTATTGACGATCTGTCAGAGGCCATGTTGGTTGTTGAATGCCGCATAGTTGCTTCATGTATTATCAAGATGGTCTGCAAATAAAATTTTCCGAAATTGAACTTCAAAAATTTTACAAAAATCTGAAAATTATCTATAACTAGACTGTGTTTCGGTTGCCAGTTTCTTTTAGATGACGATGGGGCCGGAAAAACAGCTAAAACTTTTGTATTCGAGATTTTTTGACCTATTGTACAGAGTGTTCCCTATTTTTCGTGCAATATAAAACATGTATTCAGTCTCCTAAATTTGCAGATATACTATATTGAAAAATTTGTATACCAGGAAACGTGAGAGATCCAGGGCTATAAATTTACTCCAAACGTTTTTTGGATTATGTACAGTAGGGTGCTTCAAAAAAAAATTATATTTTTTTAGCTCTTACCCTCTCTCTTGTTTTTGATATGAAAAAAATCCTCACCAACTCTAGCGCAACTCTAAGGGGTCGCTATTTTTATTTCCCATTTAATTAACATGGGAAATATTCTTTTTTAACTAAAATTAAATTTACGTATAATGTTCGCAATTTTTTACAAAAAACTAATTTATATTGTTATAAAGTTGAGTCTTTAAGCTTTTCAAAACCGTATAACAAAATATGATCATCATTAAAAGAAGATTAATTACAGCCATTTAAAAATTACTTAATTTTGAACTTTTCAGAAATAGCTTCTAATAATTTTTTATCTACATAATTTCTCAAAATTTTTATCCTAATAGTCGGTGTTTTATTTCTATGGATTACGTATGGAATACGTAGTGTAGGTGGCAACACTAATTATATTAGATCATACGGTACAGTTGTCAAATTATCAGTGTTTGCGACACATATATTAAAAAATTATTGTGTTCTTTAAAGCTCACAGTAATTTCAATTATTATCAGTAGAATGGCTGAAAACAAAATTTATTTGGTTGGTTTTTCATGTAGAAAATTAAGTAAACGAAAATAACCGAGTATAAGAAAAGTTTTACAATTATTTTTCTACAAGCATACAGATTCTAACCTCACAATTCGACAGTGGGTGTGTAAAAAGAAAAACAAAAATATCATGAAAATTGTCGTTTTCTTGGGAAAGTTATTAGCCATAATTGGGAAACTATATAAAACGTGGGATTATTTAGCTTAAACAGTATCGTAAATTGTGCCGAGAGAGTTTCAGGTTTCATCTATTATACAGGGCGCGCGAGATATTTGAAAAAATGGTACTGGAAATCGTTATTATTTGTAAAAATGTTTGTATTTACTAAAGTTTGCTGTGACTTTGAGCCTCGTCGATACGCGAAACTCAATTTATTTATTCTATCAAAATTATGTTAATTCTCAATTACAGACAATACTAAATATTCCCTTGAATGACTTCGGAACTAAATTCTAAGATTATTGTGTTCGTCTATAATAACTAAAAACAGTGCAATGTCTGAGATATCAACGATTACAATTTTCTTCTGCAAGTACATTTCATCCTTCACTGCCCTCTGTTTTAACCATCCAATCAACCTCCGCTGTGTCTATGATTTTCTTGGAATATCCTCTAAAAGGGCGGACTGATAGCTTGCGTTGTCGGTCACTATCAGACGTTTTGTTACAATGTTCATTGGACTTTCTCACTATGCTGCTAGTTATAGACTTAAGCTGATTTAAACTTGTGAAGACGAAGAAGCCATTCGATGACAAAGATCAAGCATTTTGTGTTAATTTCTGTTGCTATGATTCAAGTAATCAAATCACCATTCTTAGATAAACTTATAAATTAAATCCGATGTCGAAGAGCTTAGTTTAGTTTTAAAGAGTATTTATAGCAGCTTCGATTGGCATGTCAATATCACGAAATTATAATTCTTTTACGAGTCGGTACGAGGCGCTTCTTGTCAATAACAGCTATTTTTATGATTTTCTCGGAAATTTTAAATATAATGGTATAAATATTTTTAGCTAGGAGCTTAAAAAACACAGCAAGTAGTGGAAACGGAAATTCGTTATAATTTATTATGAAGAAAACGAAACAAAAGCATCCGCTTAAACTAAACGCAATTGCTTTTGATTTGCTTGTTACTTCCGAAAAATGGATAAAATCGCCTTCAAATTTGGCAGGCAAATAGCGTTTGGTCCTCTAACGGAAGCTATTGAAATTGGGCGTTGGGGGGTCGGCAAGTATTTAAAAAAAAAATAAAAACTGCGGTTGCAAGGGTCTAAGGGAAAGATCATTTCTCGAAAACTGTTTATGGAATCGAAAAAAATCTTGAACGAGAACACGTAGAAGATTTGGCAACTTTTATTCTTCACAATTTTTCAAAAATGTGCAGTTTCGTTTACATACACAGCTACAATTTTGGTATTTAAGGTTTTCACCTATTGTACAAGGTGTTCGCAATATTCCGTGCAATATTTACAAACGTAATAGGTGCACCAAATTTGCAGCTACCGACTTCAGATTTGGCAGAGAAGTAGAAGTTCAGACCCAAATATAAACTATTAAAGTCGAGCGCAATTAAATACCGCAAAGTATTTTTTTTTAAATTTTTGAAAATTTTTTTTTGGTAATTTCTTTAACTGGCACACGCGGAGGATCTAGTGCTATAACATTGATTTCGATTTTATACAGGGTTGTTAAATTATAGGCAAAAATCTAAAAGACTTTGCAAATTGTTCTTTTCCAGAGTAAATTATTAACCGCAAATCAAAAATCGTAAAAAATATGGCTAATTTTTGTATTTGCGGTTTTCATCTGGCGTATGCGCTGTTCGAAATATTTGCAGAAAAATCATAACGAAAATTACCATTGCTCGCCCTCAATCTAGACGCGATGACGCCATTTAATATTACGACGTACAAAAAACAAGAATTTTCTCATTTACTATTACGACGTGCTGCATAGCTTCAAAAAACAAGTATTTTTTCAAAAAAACCGTTTTTTATATTTTACAGTAACTGAAAGTAAATTTCCAGCTTTTCCTCTTGGCTGATTTACCTATAGATATATAATAATAATAATAATAAAGAGCCTTTATTCGGTTTCGAAGGAGATATCTACAAAAATATATAACTGTGGGGGCGGCATCAAACATAGTTGTTCTCTTGCAACCCCCTAAAACGATTATATGACACAATTTAGCGAGGTGATTGATCTCAGTTGGAGAGGGAGTTTGTTGTAAGCCTTGATAGCACTGTACGTAAAACTGCGCTGAAACTGTGCCGAAGTATGTTTGGGAACGGTAAACAGCCCCCTATGGCGAGTATTAACCGAATGAATATCTGATCCACGAGTAAGTTTGTCAAAAATATACGTCGGACTTTTTTAATTAAGACTAAAAGCTGCGACTTAAAATGTTGGTCTAATGTTAGGCAGCGAGAATCCTCTAGGCTAGTAGATATATGATCAAATTTACGAATATTGTATGAGAATCTGAGACAGCATTCTGAAGACGCTGAAGACTAACCTTGTCCTTCTGAAGTAGGGCAGGCCAGTAAACTACCATACAGTATGAAATTGTGGAGAGAATTAAGGAATCGGTAAGTTTTTAATTTAATTGATGTGTCCAGAATATATTTATTATAGTAGAGAATCCGAAGCTTGTAAAACGATTTCTTTATCAATGAAGCTACGTGACCTTCAAAACGCAGATTATTATCCAAATGCAGACCCAGATTTTTGCATTCGGCAACTGGCCGTAAGAGAATGTCATTTAAGCAAATTTTGGCAGCGTCTAGACTAATTATTTTTCCTTTATCTTTACCAAAAATTATGAGTTGCGTCTTATTTTCTTTAAGTAACAGACCGTGATTACTAGAAATATCACTGAGAGCACGTAGGTCATTGTTCATATTATTAACGGCGGTATTAATTTGAGAGTAATTAAAAGAGAGATATACTTGGGTGTCGTCTGCGTACTGATGGGAGGAACAATGCTTAATAAATTTCCAGAAGTCGGAGGTATAAACGGAAAACAGGTCGGACCTAAAATACTACCCTGTGCTACACCTTTGGGAATATTTACATCATTGGAATAGCTGTTATTGAAGAATACTCTTTGACAAGGATCAGAAAAGTAACTTTTGAAAAACCGCAACGCACCAGCCCCCACACCAAAGTATTTCAGTTTCGGTGGTCCAAGGTGTCAAATGCCTTACTATAATCATATATATATATATATATATATATATATATATATATATATATATATATATATATATATATATATATATATATGTATATATATATATATATATATATATATATATATATATATATATATGTATATATATATATATATATATATATATATATATATATATATATATATATATATATATATATATATATATATATATATATATATATATATATATATATATATATATATATATATATATATATATATATATATATATATATATATATATATATATATATATATATAGCCCCCACAACAAAGTATTTCAGTTTAGCAAAGAGCAGGCGGTGGTCCAAGGTGTCAAATGCCTTACTATAATCATATATATATATATATATATATATATATATATATATATATATATATATATATATATAATATATATATAATATAATTAATAATAATATATATTATATATAATTATTAATATATATTAAATAATAAATAATTTATATAATATTATATATAT